GTTTTAAATGAATTTCATTCTCGATTATCTTATATGTAAATACAATTCATATGTCATTTTATAAAAAAATCCAGCGTCCAAAAAATTTATCTTTTGTTCAATTTGAAAAATAATTCAGGTGAGAAATGGTTAAATAAAATAGACGAACTGGATGTTATGGAAGGAGATTGAAAAAAATAAAATGAGTTAATCTAGTGCAATTGAAAAGGTTTACTCGACCTTGAGATGACCCGATGACAGGCCAAGAGCCAATCTGGTGTTGCTTGCCTTTATTACCTTCATTTTGAAAAATGGCTCTAACTAACTGCCACACAAATATAAGAAAATCCGTTGCGATAAGAGTTAATTGACATTAAATAACTTCTCAGATTCCATTAAATTTCGAATCATGGACCTTTTAACTAATTATTATTAGATCTTCGTGTGTAGGTTTTTGCATTGACTGGTGTGGATTGACTATAAAGCAGATTGGTATTTCTTTTTTTATCAATTTTCTGGAACTTTTCGAATTTTTTGTCTACTTGACATATGCACTTAATTTGTTTACTTAAATTGACTGTTAACAGTTTCTCCGAATTTCCGTATCTACTTAAACTTTGTCTTAAAATGATATGTCTTTTTCTCGTAGATTTTTTTCATGTATAGACATATTTTTGAGACAGGGCATTAATAAGTTAACATATCTGTCAACTTTAAATATTTCCAAAGATTATTTTTCCTAGTGATAGTATTATCTAACTTCAGTTACAGACAAAAATATTTTTTATAATTCTGTGAAAGTTTAAACACTTTATAGTGCGATTATCGTGTATTTTTATAACTATTTTTTAATATTTATATATAGAGCGTCACACAGTGCTACTGGGACAAACTTTAAGAGGTGGTAGAGGGCATCACAAGCAACCCGTGGTCGGAAAAGTCATGGGAAAGTAGTATGACAGGTACACGAAAGAGACACAAAACTAAGATAATACTTTTCAATGCACCCCAAGGAAATCAATGTTGCTTAAATCAGGAGAACGTGGTGGCTAGAGAGCCAGTCTATTACTCCCAACCAATCTTGTGAACAACATCACTTAGCGACGTTTACGACAATGGGTTGCTATGGATATTCTGGATCCTTGTGATATCTCCTACCTCCTCTTAAAATTTTTCTCAATAATCCTGGGACACACTGCATATATATTATATATATATGCATATTATGTATATATATTTTATATATATATATATATATACATGTATATAGATANTATATATATATATGTATTATATATATACACATACATACACACACACACACTTTAAATACTTAGTTTTTATAGGTTTAACTTTGGCACGAAGTGCAATTCAGGATATATATATATTGAACATGTTGATACTTTCATATTAATAAAAGTAAGTTATTGTTATAATGTTATCGCTTTTAAAAGCTATCTGTTATATTTCGTATGTAAGATGATGACTAATCATAAATCCTCATTATTAATTTTCGGAAAGCAGTATTCACTACAAATAGATCATTGTGTTACTGTGCTCCTTCGAAAAAATAAGTATAAATTTGAAACACTTCAGATTTTATCTTGGGCCATTGTTGTCTTACGCAATTTCGAAAAGAATTTCAAGGCGTTACGCTTCAATGGCTGCATATCGATACGCATTAATGATTAATTTTTTTTCTTCTCTTTTAACGATACAGAGAAAGTCAGCGCTCTCTGAATTCGTATGTACTTTTTTGTTCCAGACAGAAGCTATGAGTGTTTTTTTCTATTAAATTTAATTTTTTGATGGGAATCCTCAGTTCATTATTCAAGGCTGCTCTTGAAAAATGGTGTAACGAAATTGAACTAGATGTTTATTCTAAAGTTTTGGTTTAAATCACGATAGTCCTTTATTATATGTGGTCTAATTGTTTTTACTTCTATATAAAGCGACTGAAAATATGAATGTTATATCACTTTACTTTCCTTTGAGAGATAAATATGCATTGGTAAATACTGCTGACTTACGTCGCTTTTTCTTTGAACTTAAATTTTTTGAGGGAAATCCTTAATTCTTATTTGGGGCAGCTCTGGAAACAAGTTGTAAAGAAATTGCATTGAATGTTTATTTTAATGTTGTGGTCTAAATCATGATAGTTTTATATTATATGTGGTAAAAATGATAATAGTTGTATAATATTTTATTGTAGTATGTAGCTAAGTAAAATTTTGACCCACGCTTGCTTGCCCAATGCAGAAAATTTCTGTAGTTTTTTAAAAAAAAATTTTAAAAATCTTCTCCTTTTTTTGATAAAATCAATTCATTTCAGTTTTGCATTGTTTTTAAGCTCTTAATTTATTTTTTAAAAATTATGCTATTGTGTTAAAGTAATAAATAGTGTTTTTGTGCTACATAAGAGTTATATTTAAAAATTATATATTCAATTGCAGAAGTGTGTGGCAGAAAGTGTTGTGTCCAATATTAGTAGACTAACTATCCTGAATATCTAACGTATACCCTCGATATACTTTAGACATTTTCATCACATTGTCAAAATCTTTAATAGGTTCTTTTTAACCAAATTTAATAAAGCTCAAAGTATTTTTTTGTTGACAGAAATGGGAGTAATCCAGTAAAAATATAACGGGAGACTTGCATAAAAGCATTTAGGGATTACTGAGTTAGTAGGAAGCATTTACTACATTAAATTAATACATAGGTTTTTACCAAAATTCGTTAAATGCTTAAGCTAATTATTCTTTCCTTGTATTTTCCTTACTTAGTTTAGCTTCTTCAGATAAATGTATATATGTTATATGTTAGACATATGTTATATGTTAGTCATTAGCCATAGTTTGAATTGTTGTTGAATTTGGTCTAGTGTAGTCACTTCGGATTCTTGCGCTATTAAGCCTTATATTTAATCAGTTAATCTTTCATTCTATAGATAAAATATGCACATTTATGGCAAAAAGGCTGTAGAATATAAACGCATAATTCTAACGTGTGTGTTGACTGCTGGTACAATGAAGATTTCTTAGTCTCTGTATTAATCAGTGAACTAAAATAAGTCCATTATTTTCGAAATTTGCTGTCATTAGACTTAAAACATCTCAAAAACATTAATCAAAATTTATCTGCTTCCTGCAATTTGTAAACTACAATTGTAACTTCCCTTTATTTTTTAAAAAAAATCCTCATCTTAGTTTCTTTTACCACAGTTAATTAAATCGAACAAAGATTCTTAATGATTAAGTTCAACTCATAAAAGGATCAAAATGAAAGAAAAAAAAATGATCTTAACATCTTTATATGTTAATAAGAATGACTCACTTAATGAAAATAATACCAATTTTTCCTCGGTATATTCTTTCAGATTTTCTGATTGTTTATAAGTTAGTTAACGCTATTCAACCCCATATCCATACATTTCGTGTCACTGCCCGTATTGTTGAAAGTAAGAGAATGAAATAAGAATGAAACCAGAAGTGGCAGATTCGGGTTCGTGGGGTTCAAGGAACTACAATGCTATTGTTTCAACAAGAAGAGGGGGGGGGGAGAGAAAAATGCTTGTGGAACGCCGTTTTAGAGCCGCAAAATTAGCAGCGTGAGTTAACGAGAAATAGCTAACTTGTGACGTCATCATTTAAGAGCAAATGAGCGAAAGTTAGACAATGAAAAGTGGCATTGTTCTTTTTGCAGACGATAATGCAGCGAGAGTTGTGAAAATTAGGTCTATCTGGCAGCAGTAGTAATTTTAGATCGTGTTAGATTAGATTTCTAACCTTTGTCCTATTTCGAATAGTTGCGCTAAAGTATCGCAGATTTGATAAATGATTCTATTTTATGGTTGAATGAAGATTTTCGAGTGGTAATAGTATTAGTTTTGATCTGTGATGAAACGAAAGAGAGAAGAAAAGAATTCCGATAGAATCCGAACTATTCAGAACACATTATCTTAAGTGCTAATCGGAATTTCACGTCGTGACTGCTAGTTTTTTTCCCTTTAGGGAAAATTAGTTAACTTCCGAGTATCATACTGGTTTTTATTATCTTTTCTAAAACTATAAACCATTTTATATCGAAATACTCGTAACAAATGAAGCTTAAAGAAAATCAAAATCAAAAAATTAAAATCAAAAATAAATTTATCAAAGGTTAATATCAATATAGAAAAAGTTTATTTCTGTTGGCCAACAATGAAGTAGACATATATATTCATTTTTAAAATAAATCAGTTTATTTTTCAATCCTTTAAACGGTAAAGACATACACATTTTTCATTTTGGGGAGAATTTCGTAACATACTTAAATTATTCGTCTTATATGATGAGGATTCGAACGAGTTTGGTACTTGATATCGATATTAATTATTGTAATTTTTTTTAGTCTACATAAATATTTTATTTGTTTTTCAAATATTATTTAAATACATTTATTAGAGAAGTTTAAGTAACGTTGTTCAGAATATACAGTTAAGTAAGTAAAGATGTGTTCAGATTGTTAAAAATACATTTATATTAATGAAAATAAATTTTATTTATTAGTTTTTTAATGAAAATTTTTTTTAGATTGAAATAATACATTTCCTGTTAAATTTCCTGTGATCATGTGAATAAATCAGTTTATTTTTCAATGCTTTAAATGATACAGACTTATACATTTTTCATTTTGGGGAGAATTTCGTAAGGTGCTTTAATTATTTGTCTTATATGATGAGAATTGGAACGAGTTTGGTGTTTGCTATCGATATTTATTATTGTAAAATTGTTTTAGTCTACTTAAATATGTTATTCGTTTCGCAAATAATATTTAAATACCTTTATTAGAGAAGTTTAAGTAAAGTAATACAGAATATAAGTAAAGATGTGTTCAGATTGCTTAAAAAATTTTTTTATTAATTAAAATTTAGATTAATTTACTATTTTTTAATGAAAAAATTTTTTTTGTATGAAATAATACATGTCCTGTTAAATTTAGCAACAGAAAAATGTTAACTTTGTATTTATTTGTATTAGGAGCCTGGTACAAGTAAAGACATCTCACTGTATGGCAAGTACTTCAACCGCCAAAGCCCTAGTGAAGAACCGCCTTTCTAGGACTCGTCATGGCTCTACAAAGAGTAGCAACAGTCACACATTTCGTCGACCACCAAGTCCAGACAGTGCTTGCGAACACGATGCCGAATGGGTGATGGGTACTGTATCTGGTCCCGAAGATATGACCAGTGATTTGTCCGAGGAAGGGGACAAATCTTGTGGCAGGGATATCCGCAACGTTTCCGCAATTGATGCTACCACCGAACGAAGTACATCAGAAAACTCAACATCAAAAAGTAATATTTCATTTTAAATTATGATTAAAATGATCACATTTTCAAAACATTATCTCTGTATCTTTTTCTTAAAATCCCTTTCACTAAATTCGAAGTTTCGCTCCCGAAGCTAAAGATTCTTTTCAAAATGACATTCTTAGTCTATTTTTTGTCGAAATGTGTATGTTTAAAAGCGTAATATATAACAGGAGGTTGTATAAATATTGAGACAAATTTTGAGGGGAGTTAGAGCATATCATCAGGATTAAAATTGCTTAAAAACTTACGACCCGAAATATCGAATGCGGCTAGGGGGGCTTCCCTATTACGACCTGCACAAAACCACTCGAGGATACAGTGGTTCGACGTTCGAACCATCCTAGCGGCATATGACGACATTTCTGGGCATGGGTTTCTATGCAGGTTTAATCCTGATGATGTGACCTAACTCTCCCAGAAGTAGGTTGCAACAGTTTTCGATCTCCTGTTATTTATTACGTTTTTAACCCTTTGCTTACGGTGTGCAATGCTGTACCATCATATGTGGCCCACATGTTGTACTATCTAATGTGGTTCACACGTTGTACCAGTCGTAAGCAAATGGTTGAACTTGTACATTTTGACAAAAAATAAACCAATGACATTTAAAAGAAACTGCAGCTTGGAGAGACAAACCGATTGCAGATTTGAAATCATTGACGTAAAAATATCTAAGATCTTTTAAAAAAATCTCATGCAATAGTAAAAATAAAAATAAAAAAATTGCAGTGAAATTGCAGCAAATTTACTGTCGCTATTTTGTTCTCTAATTCAGTGTTAAATTATAATTCATTGTAATGGGCATATCGAGACTTTTTTTCAGCTTGTTTTTAATAATAAAAAAATTTAAAAAAAAACATATCTCTAACGAAACAATTAGTCTTAATGTGGTGGATATCTGTGACGAATTATGATGTTAAGATAATGATATTAAGTGTTTTTTCGTTGTAAATGATTGGTTACTTATTACTTTTCCCATCCTTATTCCTTTAAATCTGTCGCCGTTCATTTTGTTTATAGGTGAACGATAAACCCAATTCATTATGATGTACTCAAACAGCTTATTCAAAGATTTTAAAACAGCATTTTTAGGATAATGATTCTACTGTTCCGTTATTAAAAAAAGATACAGTTTATGAAGATAGAATACCTGTGGAAATGAAGCAAATCCGGTCGTAATTTATCCTGTTTCTTAATAAGTATAAATTACGGTTATAGTTTAGGTCTATTAACGCATTCGATCGAGGGTAGGGATTAGGGCTGGGCAATGTCAGAATTTCGATATTGTGGTATATTGTGAGCTTCATATCACGATATTATGATATACCGCGGTAATTAAATTGTTATGTATATTATAAATGCTAAGACTATTTTGCAATTAAAAATTAATGTGTTTAAAGAGCATCATTTAAAAAAAATGGGGTACTTATCCTATATTAGCTCGCAGCATAATTATCCCATGGAATCAACTAATTATAAAGCATCATTATTTTAAAACAGAAAAATTTTATTAATATAAACATCAATTACTAATATAAACATCAACACAATTATAAACATCAAAACAGTTATAAACATCAACACAATTATAAACATCAACAATTATAAATATCAACACAATTATAAACATCACAAGGAGATCCGACAATCTCGGATATTTTTAAAATCAGAAGCACGCTATTCTCAAAATGAAACCAAAATCAGTAACTAAGTATACCATGGAGGGTTGATATAACGCGCGGGTGTTTGAAATCCGATATCGCCAATACCACGGATATGACGCATGCGCTTTAAAGTCAAATGATACCACAATATATTGTAGGAGAAATTTCTAGCTGCCGAGAGGAGGTACCGTAAATATTACGCGCAAGCCTTTGAGTTCTTCACCCCTAAATCAATCACGTGCCATACCAATACCTCCTAGATACCATACCATACCGCCACTTCCTCGCCGCCGGTCGGCCGAAGATATTGGCTAGCGGTGAGTACCGAGAGGTGCAGGCATACCGAAGTTCAATAACTCGGTATTGCCGAAGAATATACTTCCGAATATCATTACCGCGGTATCAAAGAAATACCGGTAAATGACGGTATTACGGTATATTGCCCAGGCCTAGTAGGGATTAGTGCCAAGATCTTAATCTTCGGTGATGCTTTTACTTTCGTGATAAATAGCTCTTTTTTTATCATCTTATGTCTCTTCGAAATAAAGTAATTAACACATTTTGGAATTCGTTTTGAAGGATTAAAATTTCCTTTTCTAGTGAAACAAAGTTGCTATTTTTATGACTGTTACTCTTTATCGCTGTCTCAAAACGTAGTTAATTTTATGCGTTATTACAATCAATTTCGATTTAATAATAAAAGTAGCACACTCATTAACATATATTTGATGTAATGTTGATGATTTTAATGTCATAAAATGTCTCTTTTGTATATATTTTTGTTTTAAAAGTTGTGAAGTTTTGCTAGTCGTAAAAAAATGAATACAAGCTTTAAAAAACTTACTACTTTTACTAATGAATGTGTAGAAATAAAATTTTCATGATATTTATACATGAAATCTTGAAGTAAGTATTATTAACAAAACTTTTGTTTAAGCAACACTTAAAGTGATGACTTAAAAGAAGTGGTGATTGGAAAAATAGTTTTACACATCGGCTTAATTTTGAATTTTAAGAATTTACACTACATCTCAAATTATTTTTCTATAAGGATAATTAAAAGCTCTGGAAATTATATTAGGAAATTTGAAAGTATATGCAATCAAGATTTGAAATATTTTGTCATGGATAAGGAAATACTGGAAATTTCATAAGTGATCAAAAAAGTGTCAGCAATGTTAATTAGATTTTTTTTCTCGTCGCTTTTAAAGTAGGAAAAACATTAAATAAATAATCTCAAGAAACTAAACAGTAAGATATTATTTGATTAAAAACTTCATTCTGTTTAAAAAATTAAAATTATAATTTTTTGACGCAAATTATGGAAAAACGTTTTGAGCTTAGATAATTTATAAATATTTAATATTCCTTTGATTACTGCTTTTATACTTTCGATTTCGTTAAAAAAATTAAACACAGTTGTTTAGAACTAAACGTTTTAGATAATTATAAGTAAAATAAGATTGAGTAGTACAAAGATTTCAATATCCAAACCTAGTTTAAAAACACCAAAATTTGATGTAGTTTCCTACCAGTCCAATTTTTTAAAGATATTTTGACTTACAAAATCCCCCTATGCCTAGTATAATTTACTTCAATGATGTGGAGTTTTGCTTCTTCCCAATATGCTAATTTTTCTTAAGTTTGTTTTATGCTATTATAGGCATTACATACTTCCGAGTCTTTTAATTTAACTTCAATTCTTAAATTTATGTTTAATCGTCTAATGCTTTACTGAATAAAATACCCATTTAATGATTTTCTCAGAAAACACGCGTTGCAAAAATATGATTTCATAAATATAAACCATTTATTTAACTTGCTAACATATTAAAATAAATATTTAAAACGTATATGTTAGTCACAATTCGCAATATCTTTATCTATCTGTATTTATTTTTATATTAGTTTTATCTTGCACAAAATAATTTGACAATACTTATTAATAGCAATTCTCTTGAATTTCGTGAAATTGCCAAATAAGGAATTTATCTCTGTGCTCAAAAGCGGCTATTTCTTCCATAATTTTTATGTAAATTTTCATCTAACTGCTCATTTGAGTTTCTAGACTTCCTCGACCAGTTTCTTGTAACGATCTTAACAAAATTTTCAAAAAATATCTTTTTGTTAATAATGTTTGAAAAAAAGCAAATTGAGCAGCTGTGTTACAGGGGGTAGAGCATTTTTTTTCTCAATGTGGTAACCCAGGTTCGAATCTCAACGATGGGGCTGGTTTATACGAATCCTTCTTCCAGCTTGCACCGACATAGTGCAGACGTAAAATATCCTCAGTGGTAGACGGATCATAAGTTGCCATCGTGCCAAGTGTGGGAAGTTTTCGTGGTATTCTCTCTATGTAAGACAAATACGGGTTAGTTTCATTAACACGTTGAATGCCACGCTAATTTTGCATGGCTTTGCCCGTCTGGCCAAAATGATTTTCTCAGTATGTATTGCATTAATTTCTTCGAACCATTTTAGTAACGATAATAATATTAAAGAAATTAAAAGCATTAAAAATATACTCGAATTATGTGTTTCTAATAATCTTGGCTTCGCCGTTAACCGGTGACCCTCCGTGGCGCTATGAACAAACTCAGTGCCGGTCACCGGTGACCCCCATGGCATTCAACTTGCTAAAGTTCTCCGCGAAGGCTAGTTTAACCCTATGCTTGATCCAGGAGTCCTGAGTTCGGTTCAAAGGTACAAGACTACTGTCTGTGGTGCACATTGATAGTCGTAAACTCAAATTTGGGTCGGTCATTCAACGCAGATCGTAAAATAAAAGCAAATTAATCTGCAATGTCTTCAAATTGACCACCTGGGAATATCTTTACTTTATCGCAATCTTTATGGAAGATCTTTTTTTCTTTTAAATCTTTTTGTATATTTGATGCATTTTTATTGATTTTGCTGGTTACTATTTATTAACTGTAAACCTGCGACGTAGAGAACTCTCCTGAATAATAGCCAATAAACGATAATTTCCATCAACAATCACCATTATACGTAGTTTTTGTTTAAACGTTATTTTAATAATAGTTATATGAAACAAAAGCATAAATCCTCATCAGTTTTTATCCAGGTCTTGCTCAAACATATTTACCAACAACAAACTATTGTTAAAAGAAAATTAACCATTCATAAATTTCCTAATCTATTATATTCTGAGGATAGTATACTCAATGTTCAAGCTTCATTTTATTTATTTTTTTACCGACGCTCAATCCAGAAGCATCTCGTGTTAACGCAGGGTTATGATGATACCAACTCGAGCTTTTATTTACGATCACAAAAACACAACCACCATATTTATTTTTGTTCTTCTTTCTCCTGTGTTATTGCATGGAGTGTGAGCAGCAGAGGAGGAAACAGGGAAGATATAACAATAGTTCCATTATACTTCCAGAAATAGTTCCTGTTGCTTTTGCAGCCTTGACTTGAATGAAATATGGAATAAATGCGGCAAATGAGTTGTTACTTATGCTTTTCCGAAAATGAGCACGAAGCACGTAAACATCAAAGAAAACGTTTTAAGGGTACTCTGTTATGTATATATTCAGGTAAAGAGGTTCTAAGTAGCTATCGTGTCGTGAGATTTATTTTTTAAAAGAATCCCCTCATTATTTATTTTTTTCAATAAAGTTAACTTCAGATATTTTTGCAGACTTTTCCTATTAAAATATATTTTCTACGAAAAGTTTGTAAAAATACTAGCTAGTGGATGAAGGTTGTAAGGGACAGGACCTCATAATTTATTTTCTTCAATAAAGTTGGCTTTAGATATTTTTGCAGACTTTTCCTATTAAAATATATTTACTTCGAAAAGTTTGTAAAAATACTAGCTAGTGGATGAAGGTTCTAAGGGACAGGGCCTCATTATTTATTTTTTTTCAATAAAGTTGGCTTTAGATATTTTTGCAGACTTTTCCTACTAAAATATATTTAATATGAAGAGTTTGTAAAAATACTAGCTAGTGGATGAAGGTTCTAAGGGACAGGACCTCATTATTTATTTTTTTCAATAAAGTTGGCTTTAGATATTTTTGCAGACTTTTCCTACTAAAATATATTTAATATGAAAAGTTTGCAAAAATACTAGCTAGTGGATGAAGGTTCTAAGGGATAGTTTTGATCAAAAATTGAGATCTCTTGCGTAGGATCGAACTTTAATTTTAACTGAACAACGTTGATTACTTTTGCCCGGGCGTTAAATCTTGGAGATCGCAGTGGGTGACGGTTCTAAGTGTCAGTCTATACCCTTTGACGCAGAAGATTAAACATATATTTTTATTTTGTTTTAAATAATGTTTGATCAAAATAAGTAAAAAAATAATATAATTAACATTTTAATTATTTAAAATTAAGAAAAACAGCATGAATTACCAGTGTCTTTTTTCTGCATCAACCCTTTAATGGGCCATTTATTTCTAGTAAAGGTAAATAAAAGTATTTTTGGAACTGAAATTGATATAAGAATAGCAATTGATATAAGAAAAAAAAAAACATTTAGCTTATAAAAAATATATCTAAATTTTGAAGCCATTATTTTTTTGGTGGTAAGTATATTTACCACGACCTATGAGGAACTTATTGACTTTTATTTTTCGTTATTTATAAAATAAATTTTATAAATGCTACAAACTTCAAAAGAAATTATGTATTTTATAACTTTTATGCGTTTTCTTAAACCAACAAATGGTTACCAATTTTATTCAAACGCGCTTCAAGAAAGCTGAAATTATTAACAAATGGAAACCTAAATTAAAAGTGGTAAAAAAAATTCACCATGGACTTTAAGTATTGGTGGTAAGTATACTTACCGCGGCCTTAGAAAGGGTTAAAGATAAAATCTTCCTAACACTAACAAACAATAATTTTTTCAAATTCGCAATACTTAGATCTAAGAAACAGAAAATAGTGCTTGGAGTCCCTCCGCGCGGAAGAAGTGAAACTTCGTAATGTGGAAATGAAAATAGGAAGGGGTAGAAATTGATTTTTAGTGAAATCATATTGTTTCTTTAAGACAAACTTTATTAACATTGCTTACAATTCACAATTGATCGCATCTTTTAATTATCATTTTCGAGTGGAGAAATATCCAAATCTATAACATTTACAATGGGATTATGATAACTAAAGGAAGATACGAAATGTTTGAGTTCTATTTTTTCAATATTTCTTGCAAAAACTGCATCAATGGTAGTTCCCCCTTTGATTGTTGGATCATTCCTACCATTTATCATTTCCAATCCAAATTTGTCTTTAAGGAAGGTTAATAATGTTTCATCTTCAGGTAACGAGAAATTCACATTAAAATCTCCTGCAAGGATCACAGGCCGCTTGTTGCCATGGTAGCGTTAAACGTTTAACGCAAACTTGTTGGAAGTCGCATTAGAAGTTTCACTTCAATTATACACAATTAAAATTTCTTTAATTTGAAAAATCTATTGTTCTTTAAATTACAAAACTAGTGCTACAAAAAGTTTTTTAAATGATAGATATCCAATATTACTCTCAAAAGGCAAAATTGTCGAAAAGTAAGAAGTAGTGTACGCAAATACGGCCCACTGAATCGAAGAGTTCCGAAAACTGAGCATATTGTGCGAAATCACAAAATTACATACTTTCTAATACAAGTTTTATGCGTTATGTTCATTTCAGCGACAATCACTTACTTCATTGACAAGCTGTTTCATCGGCACAACTTCGCCGACAGATCATTTCATCGACTAGGTTATTTCATCGACGGGGTCATTTCGACGAAATGGCTGGTCGACAAAACGACCCTTTAGATGAAATGATCTGTCAACGAAACGGGCTGTCGACGAAGTAATTGTGATGACTAAATCCATATTTCATTTGTGCTTAATATGTAACTCTCATTCATTTACGTCATTTTTTATATTTTATCTTTAATAGAAATGTATTTAGATTCATAATATGTTTAATAGAAGTGTATTTATAGAAATATTTACCAGCCATTTTGTTTTCCTTTGATTAAAACAGTTTTTCATCTTAAAATCGATTAAGTTGTTAATTATCTTAAATTTATCCACACAATGTTTTAATTTGTTTTTACACTAAAAGTGATAATAGTTACAAAAGTTATCAGGCGTATTCTCCAACCAGGAGATGTAAAAAAAAAAATTGTGTTAAGTTGATTCAGAATTATGTCACACGTTGAAATATTTGTTAAATTTGGGTGGTTGGCGTCATTTTGCCATTCCAAGAATGGCAACAATAGTTAAGTGTAGAGGCTTAATAAGAAGGTGATTAATCGTGAAACACAAATATAATTTAAAAATTTAATTTATTCTTAACACTAAATCTTCTTCAAAAATATTTCGAATAATTTCCGCATGGTTTAGTTAAAATATTTACGACATGACAACAACACTTGTTTGACATTTTTTTAAGAATATTTGAGCTCTTCGTTCAAAAACATCTCAACGATCTCGTTCACGTCTTTCTTTTTTACCTCTTTAACATTCCACGCCTCAAAATTTACAACCCTTTTGTAAGCAAATCTCTTCCTACTGCAGTTGTTGATTGTTGCGGATGTTGAGGGGAAAAAGAAAAAAAAACAATTCTACAGAAAACTGAGAACACGATTCACACCGACCTCAAATATTAAAGACAATATTTTTAAACTTTTCTGTCTCTTAACATTCCAAACTTGTTGGTTGTAAATAATATCGAGCAAAAGCAGGGGAATGTGGCTTTGATGTACGATAGCAGAGTAACCTACAACGAAGATATGATGCCAAGGCTAGCAGGTTCTACTACTCTCGCTTACTGCTCATTTTTTCCCTTTCGAATAGAGGAGGAAAACTAACTGGAAGATGTTCCTCTAAAAAGTTTCTCTCGATAAAAGCTACTTTCGAATTTCAGGTTTATTATAATAATTTTTTTTTTTATTTTCGTTTCAAAACTACCGTTGGCCATATTAATAATCTATTGGCGGACATAAATAATTTTGTTCCGAGATATTTTTCTTTAAAATAACTTTCGTAACATTATTTTTATACACAATATGTGCATGCACCAGATTTAACTATTAATTAATTAATGTAATATTAATTTAGTAATTTATAATAATTTGCACCAAAAAATAGTAATCGTAAAGCGGTTAATAAGTTTAGGCACAGATTTAAATTAGTTTATCCTAAAATGTAGCGTAATATGGTAATATCATGGAATTACGTTATAATAAAGAAACAACACTTTGTTTTAAACTCTTAATTTAGAAATGAGTCAAAAGCGTAATAATAGCAGAATAATATTCTTAAAAAAAAATTCATATATAATATTACAATAATATTACATTTAATAAATATTCCAAATATTCCATTACCTTTAAATTTGGAATACAAAATTATTTTGCTCGAAAACAATACCTTCATGACTTTCTGTAATTTTATACAGATAACGACTAAAAAAATATGGAAATCAATATAAAAAATTTTTTTAAAAAACTTAATTCTAACATGTGATTTTTTGGTCAGTAAAACTGTACCGCCAACAATGGGGAAACTGTGTCGATTTGTATAATTAAATTTATTGATCACGAGATAAAACTTTCAGACTACAATATAAGACAACTGTATATTTATTTATATAGTTAAATGCACCGTTTTTTCCTCACTATATTTTCAATGAAGGCACTGAAATAACTAACGCTTTAAGCGATTTTTCAATGTCATTTTCCCTTTGAAATGCTGCCAAACAGGATTTTTTAAAAACTTAAATAGATTTTTGTGTAATAATTGCAGTCGATTAATAAAAAAGGAATTTAAACAAGGGGCCCCAAGTATTGACCTTGAAAACTTTAAGGACTGGATTTAAAATTTAATTCTAGTTTCTTAACTACCAATACATTTTTGTAGTAACTTTTGAGCAATTCTGTGCTTAATATGACTACGTTGTAGTCAAAACTTTTTCTTTTAGCTTTCATTTTCATGCATGATTTTTCTTGCAAGCTATTTCTTTTTCATAAAACTAAGCGTTAAAAGTTTTTTTTTTTTATTATTATTGCGTTGCATGCCAGGAAATATTGTTTCGCGCATGTTTGACATTTATACATTAGATATATTTCAAACTTGTGTAGATATTAAGCTGGCAACTTTTACAGATGCAGCTGGACAAGATCGGCAGGACAGTGATGTAGATTCAGGAATTGTTGCCTGTAGAAAAGTTGGTGAACGAATCGGATCGACGTCCTCAGCGGATACCGATAGTAGTCAGGAGTCTAGACCTAGAAAAGAGTAAGTATTCGAAAGAAACCTTAAATTAAACACTTGTAGACTTATTTGAATAGCTGAAAAATTATTTTTCACTGTAGAAGAGTAATGTTTCTAACAAATTTGTTAGCAACACTAGCGGAATAATTTAACAAGTGAAGTTACGTTTTTTATGGAAAAGAATTATTCCGTTATCTCCCAATGTTTGCATGATTTAACTGTATTTTTTTCTTAGTAGCTTATAATATTTGTTTACATTATTATTTGTTTACTTAAGTTATGAATTACTTTATCTATTAATGCTTTTAGACTGTATAATTTAGGTCAAACTGACCACGCTAAAGTCGGTGGTCTTACAGGAGGACGTTTCATTTTCAGAAAATAAAGTTATTGAAACCTATACAGCAATAATTAAAAGTCTAAAGTAATGTTACAGGCAATAAGTGTGTCGAAAGAAAATAAAATTAATGAAGAAAAAAAATAGATCTGAATTTTTTTTATGAATTTGTATCAAAAACATGAACTATCTAAATACAATTCTTAAGTTCGCTTTTTTTTCATGCTGTGCTTCTCAATTCCTTCTTTGACAAGGGGGCATCTGTTATCACTGATTTGATACAAATATCTCTTAGTAGCCATTTTGTAGCAAAAAAGATTTTAAATACAATAATTTAAAGAGTACTGACCAAGAATAATTTCTTTTAATATATACCAAGAATAAATACTCGATACACAAAGAGAGATTTCATATCTTTATTCCTTACCTATTAATAACAAAGACAATAACACTGGAGAGAAAAAATTGCTACAAATTTTTTTTTCCGGATGGAAATATTGCATGTGATTTCTCTGAGTTTAGTTTCATATGACTGATGGACAGAAACAATAGTGTGTTTCTGCTTGATATCATGCTGCAAATCTGTTACTTATCAGCTAAATAAATAAGTTTTATGAATTAGCTTTATAAATTTAAATATAATTTTTTTTTTATGAATAAATCTTTTTTATTCTTAAATCTTCCTTGTTTTGCCCACTTTGAATGTTCCGCTGCTCCTGGCTATTTTTCCAAATCATATCCCTTAAGATAAGTTTGTAAAAGTACTGATTATTAGGGCTAAAGGCTAAACATTACAGGTTTATATATAAATTAAATGGAATTATTCTTAAGCATAATTAGTTCAATGTTTTTCATGTTTAATACAGTATGTTGATTAAAAATGTATTATCTTTTTTAACCGTAAATTTTCCTGGAATAGACTTTTTCAAATTACATAATAAGTAATAAATTAAGCTACTATTTTTCATAATTACTTATTCCGAATATATTTCGTTTTCCGCAATAGCATAATTAATAAATTATTAATTAGAAATTATTAAATTAAATTATAATATAATTATAATTAAATTATAATTATTGTTAATTATTAAAAATATTAATTATAAAAGTTTAAAGACTTTAAAAGGTCCACAAAAAAAAGTACTCTGACTTACATGTGACTAATAGTCTTGAATAATGAATCATAATTCTTTTCAAATTCCTTTCTTTTACATTTACTTCATGCAAGAACTGCCAAAACTTATTGAAAAAAGAATCATTATTTATGTTTTGTAATTGAAAGCGCTATTAGATTTCTTTTCAAAAAAGAAAACAGCTGTTATCTGCTATTATGAATGTTTAATCTTTTTTTTTTCCCTTACCAGTCTGATGGCGTACTTCCCGACTGGTTCTACGGAATTCTTTTAGTTTTCCTCCTCCCTAATAGATAATCCTATCTTTTATTGTCAAAACTTCAAGAACAATAGCTCTGTTTTTTTTTCTTTAAAAATAAAAAAAAACTAGAAGACCTTGATCGCGCTGTTATAGAATTCGTTAGAATTGGCATTTCATTTATTTTGGAATCGAATGGCGTTTCTGTTATTTGAGTACCAAAACTGTGAGAATAATGCAATTTTATTAAAACTTCTGTTGAGATGTTTTCGAGTTAATTTAAAACCAATAGAGACAGAAATTATGTATTCAAATTCGCTTGGATACATTTAAAAGGTAAGCATATTTTAGAAACAGTGTCATTAAACGTTTTATAATTCTTTTATTTTTTATTTATTTTTGTAATTTTTTGTTATGGAAAGTTTCTCGAAAATGTTGTTTGTTAAAAAGTTAATTTTTTTCTTTAATGATTAGTATATGTTTTCAGTACTTGTGTAAAATCCAGTCAACCATTTATAGCAAAAAAAAAAAAAAAAAAAAAAAAAAAAAAAAAAAAAAAAAAAAAAANAAAAAAAAAAAAAAAAAAAAAAATGGCGCCAAACACTATTTATTTTTTTATTTTTTTTGCCAACTATGGAAAACTGTATCTCGAATGCGTGGTTATTCTTTTAAAGATTTTTTGTTAAAATAGTTTTTTTTGTTAAAATTTAATAAATTTAAAATTTTTATGGTTAGACATTTTCGCAACAACAAAAAAAAACTATTTTATGAATTGTTTTAATAATATATTCTAAAATATTAATTTCCACATTTTTTTGTTTGTTTTATCGTCGACCTCTTTCCGTTAATAAAGGAAAATAAATAGCTGCTAAGTATTAATTATATGTTAATTTACAAGATTTCATTAGCTACGAGATTATCGTAAGATACGTTAATCGATTACGAGATCGCCTATCGAATTCTTATTTGACGGGCTGGTCATTTTCGAAATAGAATGGAAAGAACAGTCGCTAACAAAGAAATGACACGTTTCAACAGCCAATCAGAATTGTTACGCACTTTGACGTCGCTTGCAGGGATCCAATAATGCCCCGAAATATTTTATCACGCAACAATAATTTCTAATATCGTACTATGCATAAAACGTCTAAACAAGTATCGAAATTTACAAAAAACGTCTTAACAAGCATCGAACTGATACTTTTTTTGCAAAGTAGTAAAAGTATAAATAAGTCTAATATATACTGACCGATTATTGATTGTACTAATATTTGCTATTATATTAATAGCAAATATTCGTCTCACAATTATTGTTTACTGTGCAAATACAGTAATGTCTTTTATGATTGAAACTTATTTATAATAGGTCTACTTTCCGATGATTCATAGATTGCTGCTTTAAAAGTAATAAAGCTAATTCAGTTAAATGTATCAATGAATTTTTTTTCTTCGATTCGCCATACTTTGCTTTGAAAAAATACGAACACTGAATCCCCCTCCCCCTTTATTTTTGCAAATATGTTCTTCTATCACAGTTAGCCGCTTTATCGAGATTTTTTATTACCATCATTTTATTACCACCAATCTGTATATTGAATAGATTTTTATTTTTTTCATACACTAATCTATATATTGAAAAGGTTAAATATATCATTTAAATCTCTAAACATAGGGAATTACGTACAAATTTTTGATAATTAGACTTTTTTTTAATTTTGATATAGAAGCGCATTCACACACACGAAGTCAAAGTTTCAATTTTGAGGTTAAAGTGGCCTTGCACATTTAAATCATGATTTTTAATCAATTTTCCCTGAATTTATCATCAGCAAATCCCTAATCTGTAATTTATTAGCTTTTTTAAATAATTTCACTTTTATGATTCACAGTCCTTGAGTTGTGACGACTTAAATATATATTCCCAAAGCGTAGTACGGTGAATTCTATTTTAGTTAGCTTTTTTCTCTCTATAGAATTTCGGTAAGCTTCGTTTACCATGTAAGAAAACTTTTTTTATCGTTTGTTTACAATCATTCTGAAATTTAAATAGATTCATGTGTTTTTATGAATTGGAGAATGAACTAGCATTATGATAAAATATGTAAAAGGAAAAACAATTATGATATAATTTTTCTTATCTCGAATTTTTTTCCTTCAAGACGTTGTATGATTTTTGCTTGATTTTTTTTTATATATATATATATATAATTTAAATTGTAATTCTTTGTTTCAGTCAATTGTTTCAGTCGTTTCGCTGTAATTTTATTCTTTAAGTTACTTCGCTTTACCGTTTATTTCACTTTAAATTCACGAAACAAATCAATTATTTCACAATCATACTTTGGGTTAATTGTTTTTTCATGAAATTTCGTCTTATATCTTCGATAAAAAAAATTTTTTTTTACTTCTATAAAAAATATCTTTCTATTTCATACTCCATAAAATCAACACAAAAAAATGACCTACATAGAATTTTCAGAAAAACGCCACCAAAGATACACGGTCACAAAGAAGCATGATGTTGCATTAAATGAAATACAACCATTGCGAATTTTAGAAATACGGCAGCTGATTCTATCAAACATCAGTAATGACACAGAAAATTTCCACTTCCCCTTACCTTATGCAAGAAGGTGCATACGTAACACAGCAAAAGTTACCGAAACGGCGAGAAATAAATGTAGAACGAATTGGGAGTTGAGTAAGAATAAAATATAAGAGAGTTTGTACTACTATTTCCACATGTCACTTCTTCAAACAAAATAGTCGGAAGATGAAACTGCGTTCTCAGAATTCCAACTTGTTTTTTGGGAGCTTGTCACTATTTCAAAAAGAACTGAAAAGTAAATCTAGATCCATCTTTCTATTTTTTAATAAAATTCTTTCGATGTATTTTACTGTTTGTCAAATATAATTTTCTTACTGTCATCATCCTAATTGTTCTGTCATTTGCATTTATCTGTATAAAGTAAAATTCTTAACCCTTTCATTTAACTATGTGAGAGTTTATTTTAAGAATTTCTGAAGGTACAACGTATTTAAAATGTAATTGTTTCAGAGCTTCAATCATAAATAAAAATTTTGAATAAATAGGAAGGTAAAAATGTTTAGTAATTTTTAGCAGTAATAAGATAAGCATCTTAAAAAAACTTACTAATGTTTTTACCTATACATTTTCTACACGAAATCAGTGTATACAAATCCCAACTTTTACTTGCTGCAAGAAGTTTGTTTCTCTTAGAGTAAGTCGAACCTTTCACAGTTTTCGGTTTATTCTAAATCTCAGTAATGCATTTGATATATCAGGTTTAGATACTAAGTCATACCTGTCATTTTTTACTTGGTTCAAAAAAGTTTTTTTCTTGAAATAATTATTGAAGCGATATTGTAGGCAAGTATTTTAATTCACTTTTCACCATCACGTAAAACACAATAAGATAATTAGTCAACTTTCTTTATGTATGCTTAAACTATTTAAATGTAATGGCAGTTGAAATTATAATAAATCAAAATTATTAGAACAGGAATTAAACATGAATGCAAAAGTTTTGCCACCACATTAAATATAAAAATCCAGATTCTTCTAGAAAACCGAGAAAAGTTGGCAGGTATGTTAAGAAAGGAAGACAGCACTACTTATAGACTGTTGTATTTTGCGAATATCATTTTTTCTAAATTTATATAAGACTGGCATATTATATAATAAAAAATCCTGTCAAATTAAGCTTTTGTTTTGTCACTTTAAATTTAATTTCATCAACGTTAGCGGGATGAACTTATTTTTCTTCTTTGATAGTACTTTTTCTATAGTACTGTTGGAAATACCTCACAAAACCAAGTCTAATTTCAAGACTATTTTACCCTTTTAACTGAGAAAGTAAAATCACTCCTCTTAGGATTATAAGAATTCATTCAGAAATAAATTTTCAATTTATAGAATACATTAATTATTACCGTGAGCAGTATCTTTAAATGATTTTGGAACTAGTATAATCTTTTCGGACCTGGTAGTTGTTAATATTCAAAATCCAAATGGCAAAGACTCACAGTATATGTGCATCATGAAGTGCATGTGTCTATTGTTTTCTTTTTGTATTGATATCCAAATAAGAAAAATTCATTTTAAAAAAGGATTGCTTCAGAATGAATTAACATTACGTTGTTGACTCACTTTCAATTTGGAATTTTACAAGAGGCTAAGAGTACATTTTTAGAATAAAGCGTTTTTGTTTTCATAATTGATAAACTTAGTGGGAAAAGTAATCAGCTGACATTTTGAAAAAGTAAGAAATCTTTGGTTTAAAAACACGTCATGTTCAACAGTATGTATAGTATCCAATTTTTTGACAGGATATTAGAGAACACGAATAGCAGTCTGCTGTTGCTGTATTATGATCCTAAATTAACAAAAATGTCAGAACCGTCTCACATTAAGCTCTTTAATTATGAGACATAAAAATTTTGATATCCATATCATGGTTTAGCATGTCAAAATAAATAATTTTCAGCTTTAAATATGATCGAAATAATACAGTTTCCCTTTCGATAAATCTGGAACTTTATTTCTCAAATTTTCTAAGATTATTTTTTCCTTTATACTATTTAACAAACATAAAAACGCTGTTTTCATTTTTTGGAGAAGCACGTTTATAATATTAGAATAAAAACACCATATTTGTATTCTTAGAATAGTACTAACTGAATTTTGTATTCTTAGAATAGTACTAACTGAATAATTGAATTACTCGGTTAGTTGGAAAAAGTGCTTATTTTCTTACGAATTACTTCATGCATTCGTAAATTCTGACTTAAAAATTGTACATTGTTTTCAATCGGTTTTAATACTTGTTTTATGATACTTCTTATTAAGTATATGTTCGTAAAAATATTTTTTTTAAATAAGTTTGATTCATACTTGTAATAACAAGTGTTCAAATTTAGCGCTTATCCTCGAAATAATTTATCATACTTAGTTTGAATGTAACGAGAGAAAAAATTAAATGATATGAGTATTTTCTAGAACTGCCTATGTCTTAGACTTCCTCAGGGGAGTTGCTTTTACCATATACACACGAAGCCTACGATCTCCGCTGTAATCATCTCTCTTTTTTCGATTTTTTATAAACGCCAGACTGAGTTTATAGCACTATTTGATCAGTTACCTAGCATTAGTTAGTATTTTCGAAATTTATCTGGTTTTATTTACTTCCATATAATTTGCTGTTCAAACAATGTTCCGACGCATCTTAACGAATCTGCCATTAAACCCTTTTAGTTCAATTCTATTTTATATATGATACTTTTATAAAAAAAATTTAAAACCAAAAAGTTTAAGATATTCTTTACAGATACAAGCTCCATATGTTTTTTTACAAATTTAAAAAAAAATGTCTGCAATATTATGAAACTAAACATCGCGTGACATTCCTCGAGCAGCTATGCATTCATTTATTTGTGAGAAACGATCCCTCTCACTATTATTTAAAAAAAAAAAACTCATTAAAAATAGGATCCATATGTCATTTGGCGACATAAAAGCGGGCAGCTTTCATAAATGCAAATAAAAAAAAAAAGGCTACACCACGATTCGCTTTAAAAGATTTCTGAAGTCTCACCTTGAAAATATTGACACAGGCATGCGTTTCTTACGCACTCGTTTTTAAAGTATTAGGCATAAAACATTACTATGCGTCGCCTTTATGGAACAGTCATAATGACGCCTTAATTGAACTTTTGAAGTAAACTATGAAAAATATGTAATTTTTCTTTTATTTAGCAGATAGTGTTAGATAGAAATTTTATTCCCATATTTTCTCTGTATTTATCGTTTAAAATCGATAACTTTAAATAATATTTTAAAAGTTAAGTTTTCCTGTGGCAGCTTGAAGCCCACCCAGCTTCAGCTAGATGTGTACCAACTTGCGTGTAAAGTTGCGGTGACCAGTGCTGACCACATGACCACCACCATTATGGTGTTGGTTTCGAAATCATGGAACCTTAAACGCCATGACCCTCTTGTCTGACGTACTTTCTGTTGCGGTATTGCTTTATTTAGATTTTAGAACCATTTCTTAGTAAAGCCTATTTCAGTTTAATTCTGTTAACTCGTCAATTTAAAGTATGTAGGTTCTTTATCACACACTATTTAAACTTAAACTGATTACTAAGGCCACTACCCAACTAAATGATCGAAAAATAAATATAACTTAGTTGACACTGTTGTTTGTATGATTTTTTTTTGATTTCTTAATTTTCTTTAGTCATCATTTACTTTGTTGATAGCATGAATATACTTTTGTCTTACAGTTGCATGAATACATAATATTTTCTGACGAACCTTTTAATCCTTTTAGATACACTCCAACTCCGCACAAGAACGAACTTACCAAATCTCGAAGTTATACCGGTTCTCTTCGGGTACCGAGACGTTGTCAATCCTCATCTGGTCCTGTAAAAGGAGATCATTTAGCTCTGAAAGAATGTAACAGGTATTTATGAAATTTATCGGTATTTTCAGGGCCTCTTGAATTCGAGTTCTCTCTGGCATATGAAATGAGAACACTTTTACCAACTTATTTCACTCTCTTCCTATTGGCCTCCCACTATGCCTGAGTTAGCTTTTTACTTCCCATTTTTATGGTGGCTATCATTCGGCTTTCTAGTTATACTTAAAATTACTTGCAGGCCAATTCCTGTCACAAAAATAAGCTAAATATGGAAATAAGTCAGAGGAAAGTTAGAACTTATTTTAAATGTTATTTATGCTGTATATGGAAGCCTGAAGTTTTCTCTCCCCCCCCCCCCGCCGAGACTAGTTAGTCCCTTTTTTGAATTAACTGAGAGGCAGAGGTGGTCTTCTTAAAAGGAAGATACTTGAATATTACTATCTGAACAAGTGTCGCCGTGATGGCTCAGAAGATCGCCTACCAATGATGTAACTCTGGTTCGAATCCTAGCGATAGCTCGCATCGACCACAGTGCTGATGTAAAATATCCTCAGGGGTAGACGGATCATGGGTTAGAGTCCCCTTGTCAGACTAACCGTGGGAGGTTTTCCTCTCTATGTAGCGCAAATGCTAGTTAGCTCCATCAAAAAGTCCTCCACAAAAGCAGATTTCTCTCACTACTTGATCTAAATGTTCTCCTGTCTTCTGGATTGGGTTCAAAATTACAAGGTTACGGAGTTGAATATTGGTAGCCGTAAACTTAAAATTGGGTCATCTGTTCACGGTTAGGAAATGAAATTTTTAAAAAATATCTCAACAAGTAATGTGTTGTTTACTATGTAATATACACAGAATCGAGTGACGCCATAACAAAGTCAATTAAATTGTTCAAGGAATTTAAAAATATAAAAATAACAGTTTTCTTTATGATATTACGCATCGGAAGCTCTCTAGACAAGTAAGGTACTTAATACGTATTTTGTTGTACCAAATCAAATGCAACCAAAACAAGTCGTTAAGACTAACAGTTTCTAACAAGTTATAGAAATTTTTATGCATCCGAATTTCAGCAAAGCTCACAGATTAACTTCATCGCTTGCGTGAAGGTATTAAGGCAATTTATATTTTTATGGTTAAAAATTTTTTTTTAAAGCAAAGCTATTATTCCTTGAAAATTATACTATCACAAGAGGAACCGATAAAATTAAATTTCGACAGTTCCCTTAAATTTTTGTCTCATTTCTTCTAATTTGCATTTCTAATTATCGTTTTGTTTATCCTGTTAACGAATCGAAGTTTTTACAGTTGAACGCAATGCATTATATTAGTATTATTGCATTTTCCTTTATCCTATGCACACATAAAAATTTAATCAGAAAATTACCTTTCAATAAGATACCTTCATAAGCTTCCTCATAACGAATTGGCACATAAGGACTCGGATTTTTTTCCTTCTTTCTTTGGATAGGCAACTGGTCAGTCTTCCATCCTTTCAATCCGGCTTTTTTAAGGTCTTTTATATGCATTTACCACGCTAGTGTCCTTTTACCGTCAGGTAACCATATGCTTTCAACATTTGCAGGATTTTTTTTTAAATGTGGCTAAGCCATCCTTGTTTTGTTATAGATTTGTTAAATGATAGGATAATATTAGTTTTTGTAAGGACGTCTTTTTTTGATATGATATTGGTTCAGAGGATTGTTAATTTTATTTTTAAACGTTTATTTTGTTGGGTTTTTATCCTTTTCTGATTTCTGGAAGCAGATATCTGCACAATTCGTATAGTAGCCTTGCATGCATTAAATTTATACTTGATGCTCTCCAAAAATTGGGTAGACTTCTAAAGCATGATCTGGTGATTTTCGTGGTTTTTGAGAAATATAGTCGTTATTTCCATTCTATTTCTTAACCCTTTGCTTACGGTGTACCGTGTTGCACCATCACATGTGGTCCACATGTTGCACCAGCCGTAAGCAAAATGTTAATAAGGACTTGAAAACAAAAGAATCAACCTCTGACCGAGAGTTGATTTCTGTTTTTCTAATAGATATTTATAATGTAAAATCCTGAATATTAAAAATAAGATGTTTGATTGTTTGAAGGCTCACACATTACTCAGTGTTAAAAAAAACTCTACAAACACATTTTTGATTAGTATTTATTTTATATATAATCTCTGTGCACAATGTGTGTAAATACAACTTTTTATTCTATGAAATCAGTTTTTCTTATTTTACTAAAAGTTTTATTTTTATAGACGACCTCCAACACCTCTGTCCGTGTTTCCCGATTCACACCATTGCGTAAGATTTGACGAACAACTTCAACTCTCTGAACAGAACATTAGACGATCTTGCAGGAAGTTATTTGCCACACTCTATGCTCAACGGTTTTCATATCCATCGCATCAAGATCCTTCATCACTTCATGGACGCAGCAACTCTGTACATTCACGCATCAGGAGTAGAACCGTACCGGAGCTGGATCTCCGGCAATACGCTCCTATGCCTGCCGACATCCAGGTAAAAAACGCCCGGAATCATACAATTCCGGAAGTTTATCAAGAAGAAGCAAGACCCCCTAGTTCGGCTTGGAGTCGTCGAGCCGTACAGAAATCCATGTCTGATGCCAGTATTGGCGAAAGAGTAAGCTAGATAATTTTATCGCATTAATTTTAATATGTATATCGTATATTTTATTTACCACCTTTTCATATCTGAAAACTATGAAAAAAAAGTTTTACATTTTAAATTAAGAGTTCGATTTTGAGATAAAATTGTCGTTGTTTGGAATACAGTGTTTGATTTTAATTTTTAGTCATAAAATGAAGTATGGGTACGCTCTCACGCTTTATTGCATGTAAATATCTGTAAAATTAATAAAAAATTTCAAATTCGTTATTTTTCGTGAAAAAAGAATTTCCTAAACTAATACATGACGTATTCATTATATATTTATTAACTAAACAACCCTGCTTTATACGGGGTGAATAGAAAATAATCAACAGCTCAGTACTGGAGAACATTACGGAATCATGCACAAAATTGAAAGACATATACCGCACAATTACAAATGCTAAAATTTCTATTATTTTAAAATTTATTATCTGATGTCCTTCCCGGTGGCTTCCCGTTATTAAATTAAGCAAAATACGTTTTTTGTAGTATCAGAATATAGATTAATTGCCTTCAGCATCACTGGGCGTGAAGCCATTATTCGCGGTTAATTCACGATAATCAGAACTGCCATATTTCATAGCTCTCGGTCGGATGATTTAGTCTATAAAAAACAGAAATTTATTTTAATATATAGATTGCAACATTATTTTTTAACCATAAATTGGAACTTTGCTTCTTACACGTCCTCTCCATGCAAATTTAGATCAAAATTTTAATTGCATAAAGTTCTCGATTGTCGAAAATTTGAAGTGCTTTAGTACTTATAAAGCAAAACTAGAAAAATGCGCTTTGTAAGATCCAAAATTGTTTGTAAATGCAGGCTCATCATAAAAATTGCACTGAACTTCAGTATACCGTAGAGCTGTATTGCTAACGAAGCATCAAAGGTACAATAGGAAACAATCTTTAACATGTTAACATTTTAAGCATGTATATTTTCCAAAACAAAAGTAACTCGAAAACTTGTTAGCAATAACAATAGACCTCTTTCTGCATCAAAGTTTAATTTGTTGCTCACTCTCCTTTTGCCAAAATAATTTTCAATTTACATTTTATAGTAGTAAATCAATGATTAGATTTGAAGCATCAAATTTACATTTGGCATGTCCTTTTTCAACTATAAAGATTCAAACTGTGTCATTTTAATTATCAGCTCCTTCTGACTCAAATTGATTTGTTACTTTTGTCTTTTAATATAAAAAAATACAAATTTAGAAAAAAATTATTAATTTTTTAGGGTTTGGGAACATCTCCTGTTCAAAGATACAAATCGAAATGCAACTACTTTCCCATGGATTTACCAGAAGACAAAGTCTGTCATACAGCATCGACTGACAGTGGTTTGGGAAGCCTCAGGAACAGCGGTCAATGTACTTGTCATAGCCATCAAACGGCTGTCATACCTTCTAGTCAACCATCAAATGTCTCAACATGTACATGCCGATGCTGTAGCTGCAATCAAGAACTGTCCACAAATGTGAACAATGCTTCAAAACTATTCAAAAGTAGCAGTTGTTCCACACTTTCCAGCACTCTATCTCATCAGAGCAGGCCTCATCTAACTCAATTTCCCCCTCGAACTTTAAGAAAAGTAATGTCCCATAGCGAGGATAAACCCAAAATCAAATACCTGCAAAAAACTTCAAGTTGCTCGAATCTTCTGGACAGGCCATCTAGTGGCTATCATATTGCTAATGTGCCAGTTTACAATGACAATATGGTGCAGGCTTACGCTCATTTAGCGTCTGTTATACCAGAAGATTTGAAATCGAGCTGCAGTTCTCATGGTGGTCGAAGAGCAAAAACTTTGAATAGGTTGAGGTATACAACTGATAATGTTTTCACTGAACCCTATCGTCCCCATTCTTCCTTTTCTTCAACCTCAGAACCTCCTCACTGTTCAGGAAAAAGAGATTACGCAGAACAGATTCCTTTCCAAACCTCTAGTGATAAAGATGTTTTTAATAACAGAAACAATCCAAGTATTAGTTCTTTTAACAATGCTGTGGGGACAACGGAAGCGGATACAAAAAGTATAGTTTCTGCTGAGATTTATAGTCAGATTAATGATGACGATGTTAGTTCCTCGGAAAAAACATCACACCGGGAAAGTTTGAAACATCGAACATTTTGTAGTGAAAGACCAAAGAGTATCGGTGTGGTTATCCCTAACCGAGGACCAAATCCAGTTTATCTGAAATCTGCGTTAAAAAAGCCTACTCAATCTGCGATTATTAATGGTAAGATATTTTTCATTGAACATCTGTGAATATTTAACAAAGGATTTTTAATTAAAGGTTTACATTTTAGTGTTTATGATTACATGAGATCTGTTCAATGAGTATCCATCCAGATAAAAAAGACCTAGAGTGCGGGGCTTAGTAACTACTAGTAGGCATACCTTATTGAGCATGTTCAGTTTTTTGTCATGGCCATTGCTGACACTCAGTTAATGTCAAATTTTTAAAGAGTAAGCACGTGTTATATTAGCCAGATTTCATTTTGGGACAAATTAATTAAAAAGAAATAAGAATGATAGTGATGAAAGTTTCGCTCTAAGATAGAGGATTCTTAAACAAAAACAATCCTCAAATTCTACTTGAAAATTACCAAGCTTCAGATAAAATTTGATCCGGGAACGTTGTTCAACTTATTCAGTTATTTTGTCTCAAAATAGAAATCCGACTACTCTACCTTAGACGTACGTACTCTTTAACGGTATGGTGTCAACTGAATGATCCTATGGTCACGAAAAAAATTTAGTTTGCTTACTAAGGCTTCATTAATTGCCATTAGCCTTAGTCTAATTATTACTTAACCATTAAATTATTACCATTTCTATTTTTTTCCTATTGCGAATTACTATTATGATCGGATAGTTTTTGAACAGATTTCGTCGCTACGCAAAGAACCTTTAAAACATGTTTAACTACTTTAGATTTTTTTCACTAATACTTTTTTTTAATTTTCGTTTATTTACTCTTAGTGTATTACCACATTATTATAGAAAATATTATAACCGTCGTTGAACAGCCGACCCAATTTTCGAGTTTACGACAACCAATGTTCAACTCCATAGGTTGCCTTGTAATTTTCAACACAATCCAGAAGACAAAGAAACTCCTGGCTCAAGTATTGGGAGAAATTTACCTTCGTGGGGGACTTTTTTAATGGAACTAACCCACACTTGCGTAACATGAAGGGGATAACCTCTCTTGGTTAGCCTGACGACAAGGGAACTCTAACCCATAATCTATTTACTACTGAGGATATTTAACGTCACCACTGTGGTCATTGCGAGCCGGATGCCGTAGCAACCAGCCATCGCTAGGACTCTAGTCCGGGTCACCTGATTAGGGAGCGAGTGGTCTATCCACCACGGCTCCATAATAGAAGATATGTCGGTATTTGCTGAAGAATATTTTAAATATTTAGTCTTACATTCTTTGAACATCTAGGTTTTGAGCATCCAACTTTTATAGTCAATAGAAATTTTGTCAAAAATCAAAGTAATAAAAACACATAAATAACAAAATTTTTTAAGAAAACGGTTGGGTTGAATAATATGCAACGGAAATGCCCTGCAGAGCCCCTTTAATCGTGTTGAATGCAATTATAAAAATGGTCAAAGTTTGAAAGCTTGGGGCAGAAACGCAAGTGACGATCGTCGCTATAGTTGGGCGTAACAAGGCACTAAATGCATACCCTTCTATCTAGAAGATTATCAAAGTTATTAAAATAATCTATAAAGTATGAATTAAACTGCAGAACGTGACAGCCATACGTAAAACGGTGATTAGCCTATGAACCAGTTTTTAAAATTAAATAGCTTTACAAGCAATTTTTAAAAAAATATTGCATAATATTTATGTAATTAAACTTGTTTCTTTATATTTGACTACACGTAATTGATGTTTACGATCAAAATAAATGGGTTTTATGTGGATATCTTAATTACGTGATATGACTTATTAATCAATGTTAAATTTAAGTTTCTTATTTAGCACCTCCATATTTTAAAATATGACTTGAATCTTAAACATATAATTTACTTTTCCAAATCTACATCATTAATAAGAAATGATGTCATTTGCTGTTAAAGATAGTAATGTTAAAATTCATTTCTAGCATTCTTTAATTTAAGATGCTTTCTTTTGTTTTTGATGAATTGCTTCAGACTTCCATAAAATAGCTATGAAAAACCTTTTTTGATTATTGGAAATTGAAGCAAACTGTAATCTAAATATATTTACGGTGCATTACGTCTAACATTATTGTTTACTTTAGTGAACGATCTGACGGATCTGGAAACTCAAGTAAAGGGAATTGCACCCAAGCCATCTGAGGTTGAGTACGCTATGGTGGACAAAACGAAGAAAAATCGTTTTGCTAGCTTACCAGTTTTAAATGGAAGCAGTAATATCATTACAAATGAAAATGAAGAAAAAGACCCTCCCGTGCCACCCAAAAAGAACCTTCACAAAAGGTATGTTTACATTTTTTTTCTTCTACAAAAAGTTATTTAATGTTTTGATGATAATAGAAGCGCTGTATAACAGAAGGTGTTAAATCACCAAAAAAAAAAAATTTTTTTTTTTATAATAACACCCCATCCTCAGATGTTCACATTTTTTTAGATCCAAGCGACATGCATTAACCTATATCAAACTTTATAAAACTTTATGAAGGTTAAAGCATTAAATATGCAACTTTTGGATAGAATCTTCCACAGAAATTGGGGGAAATGAATAGAAGTTACATCTTCCACAAAATGAATAGAAGTTAGACAGAAATTAATAGAATAGATTTTTGTATTGGTATAGAATGTGCAATACAAAAAGCGATTAAAAGTCAAACTCTATCTAAATTCTTTTTAAAAAAACATCGAACATAGCCGAATTTCAGCGAAATAGATATTTTTATGTAATGTAATCTGTTTATTTTCAAATTTATCAAAAAATGTTACCTATGTTAACCGACGTCACTTTTTTTTAATGCATGCGTCATTGGCACAAGGGATAGATAACGAATCGTTTCAGTTTTTTGTACACCTTAATTTGGCATTTGTTTAGTTACAGTACCATACGTATCAACAGCATTCTACATGTCAATCAGTTAGGAAATAGTTTGATAATCAGCGCGTTATCATAATCTGATGATAGGTATAATTTTTGCATTAGCTGGGTTTGTTTCATTCAATCGTTGGATTTTGTTTGTAAAATAAAGAAGCTCTTACAAGACTATCTAAAAATAGTTGTTATATTCGAGAAAAGCAATGATTTCTGAGAAAAGGTAAATTTTTTATAAAGCTTTTAAAAATTATTTGTATGCATAGTTATGTGTGTATTTGCTATGCACAATTTATTTTTTTGTTCATAAAAGAGATCTTTTGAATAATTTTGTATTTATATCTCTTAAATTTTCCCATTTCCCATCTTAAATTTTTTTACATAATTTCATTATTTTGTCTTTTTTTTGGCAATTTAATTTAATATTTTAATTTAAAAAAGATCTGAAAATATACTGGATTGAAAAATTAAAACTCAAACGCATTGTAGAAATTTTCATTACTTACAAGTTAAAAAAATATATAATATCTTTATTTTATGTTAGGAGAAATAATACAATTTAAGATAAACTTGATTCCTCGAACGGGACATTTACAGGAGAAAATTATTTGATTGTGGTAAATTTTGACTGTCATGAGTTGCCTCAAGTAACAAATGATACCGGATGCAGTTAATCTTGATTTTGATGGGATGAAGGACTAAATACGTATTTTTCTTAATTTAATAACGTAAAGCCAAGAAGGGCAACATATAATAACAAAAAAAAAATTGGAATTATTTTACCTTTTATTATTTGTGTCGGTATTTGTCTTAGAGTTTAGTGCATGATTTTGTAATGTTGTTCAGTACAGATTTATTGATTTTTATCTTTTCACCCCGTGCGAAGAACGGGTATTCAACTAGTTTAAAATAATAAAGTATTCTGGAAATATATTGACAAAAACGTAAAAAACACAAATTATGTAGATGGTGTATTTTATAACTGTCCAGTGTTTGTGGCCTTCCAATATCAAAATTTTATAACATACAAAAATAGACAATTTTAACCATGTTCTTTAAAAAAAAAAAAAAAAACGGTTTTATACAGCCTAGCCCACTTAGATTTTTCATCAAAAATCTGGGCTTCAAGTTTTTTTTCAAAATTATATTACATTTTTATTCCTGAGTCCTGAATGAATAAGATTGTAAGATTTGTTTCGAATATGAAAGTCAAATATTTGGTATCAATTTAAAACTTGTTTTGTTGCAATGCAACTATTTTTTGGGAGATTTTATATTGCTATGTTGTTTTTATTTCCTGATGACAAACATATTGTAATATGAAACATAAAAATTGCTCAAATGAACGATCCCAATTTTTTTTCTTTGCATTAACACAGGTTTCTTTGCATTAACACAGAATCCATTGGAATAAAATTTTAACCCAACTAAACATACAGTTAATATACAACCACTTAACATATACAGTTTTACTTTCTCTAAATATCATATTTGTTTTTTGAGTACTATAAAACTCGTTGATTTTTTTTGTCGCTTACATTGATTTCTCTATTGCAAGGCAGAATACAGAGATTTCTGCTTTTTAGGTAATAATCAATTTTGCATTTACTACCGGAACATTTTACTACCCTATATACCGGTGTATCAATCTACTTTTCAAACCCCCAAAATTTTACGAAAAACAGAGGTAGGCTTAAACACCGGTGATAAATTCGGACATTCGTAATAGTGAAACATTGATGCATTATAAACAATGCGATCAATATGAATTCTGCCAATTTACCTATAAAAATTGCCCCTTTTCATAAACTGTTTAATATGTTAGATGCAATTAATTTTGCATTTTTTTCATCGTATTTTCTTTACATATAAAGGTATTTTATTTCGAAAAAATACTTTAAATTACATTCGAAAAGTTAAAAATCAGATAATTTATTCAAGTGTATTTCAAGAAATATAACGCAATGAAAACTTTTAAAACGTACCATAAAGCTGCAAATTTATTATAATTATGAATCATAAGTGTCTGATTCGTTAAGGTTAGTTGTGTTCTCGTGCGTATCCCGCTCGCCAATGGGTTCTACTTCATCCTCGTCTGCTGAGTTCCGCGAAAATTCGTCTTCTCCCCCCCCCCCTCCTATAGAATTCGAGATTCCACATTAAAAAAAAAAATACTTTACAATAACATTTGAATCTTTCCACTCGTCTAGTATCATTTCACTCATGACGTCGATAGATATAATAATCGACTTACCGACAACGGTCGACTTAAGCGCCCGACCTACCAAACATTTGCGTAATTTAGAAAAATCTCGCTATCAAAAATAGGGGGTCGACTTATACACCGAAATAATACGATATATCTTTTTCGTTCATCTCTAAATGGATTCACAAAAAATAAATATATTTGTGCTTTTTATGGATGTTCCATTTATACAAATAATTATTTTTTTTCTTTCAGTGATTTCTCCTTATACCGTAGTCGCTCCTCGTCTCCTAAGAAAACCATCTTAGAGAGGATGCAGACATTAACGAAGAATGCTAAGAGCGCCCTGCAAAAGGCTTTCTCAACGGAGCGCATTTATCGGCCGGAGCGAGAGGAGCGGATGGAAGGTCAAAAAGGACTCCAAAGGTCAAAATCTTTCATCCGAGGCCTCACCAGTAGTTTCCGAAAGAAGAAAAGGAAGAACAGGGGATCTCCTACAGCAGAGGTCGTACCACAGACTGGGTAACTATCTCATCTCCTAGGACTTGTTTCATTTCGCTCTCCCAATTGGATTAGGTGTTTTTGAGATTCTTGTTTATTTATTTTTATGTATGACACTCTGAGCGCAGTTTTAAAAGGAATAAAAAACATTTTGTGAAACTTTGAAGATGCAAATTATATTAAAGATTAAGAAATTTTCATCACTTTGCTTTTATATATATTATGGTATTATAATTTTACAAAAAAAGAACACAATTCTTATCAATAATTCATGAGTAAGGTCCTAATTTTAATGACAATTTTTTTTACCAGGTTTTCCTCTTTTTTTTTTTTTTTATAGAGCATTTTTAAGATTTTGGAATATTTTTGTTTCTAAAATTTTCTGTTTAATTTGAATCATTTGTGTTCGTATTAAAATGAGAAATTATTCGAAGAACTTTTTTTCTTAAATTTTTTTTTTATGAAACAGACGTTTTAAAGAGCATTAATGTTTACTAAGAAAAAAAAGAATGTCAATATCTATTTTATATAGTATTTTTGTAATCTAAATATCTAGTATACTATTGCATCTGATTGATGCTAATGTGGCTGATTCTTGGTTTTGGCGTGGCGCCGACGACATTGCCTCTTGTCTTACTATACACACGTTTTGGAAATAAATATTGTTTCACATTAAACTTCTAGTTCAATGATCGTCAATACATAAGTTTACGGGCATGTTTTACAGTTTTTAAAAGTTTTGTCATTTTTAACAACGTTTTTTTCTATTTTAAAGAAAATTTTTGACATTAGTTTTTGAGTAACAAACCCCAGGATATGGTTATTTTTTGAGTTAGTATAATCACCCAAAATATAGATTTGTGAACAAATACTTTGAAGTTAAATAAATAATCCCCAGAAATTGTTAAAGTAAAAATTTCTGAAAAGAAAAAATTTCACCTAAAATAAGAATATCGTACATTAATCCAGAATCAACTTTACAACTTATTTCCTCATCAGACTGTTTGTTTTCTTTAGGTAAACTTGAATTTCACGACTAAACTTTTCTTATTATTATTAATATAAGACCTAATTTTGTAATACTTTTTATTTATTTTTATTAATTATTTCTGATCATTAATTAATATTAAGTGCATTTAAATCAGCGTTTGCCAAGTAGGCCTACTTTGAAAAAACCCTCCCGGGATTTATAGGGTGGGCCCACCTTGAAAAAACCGACTTGGAACACTAAATGTGTTGTTGCAATGCGTTATTTAAACTTATTTTAGTTTTGTTACATGTATTTTATATTGACTTTTTATGGATTTATTTCTATTTTTAAGCTTATACAACACTTTTTAATAAATAAATTATTTACACAGTAAAACTTTAAAGTTTATGTTTACGAAATGAAAAAAAAAAACAATTTTCCCCGAGTTTTTTCAAATAAAACCCAATTTCCTCCAGGTTTTTTCAATAAAACCCAGGCGGGTTGGGTTTTTCAAAAAGACCCGGGTATTTTCAAACCCTGATTTAATTATAGTGTGTAGTTTTGGTAATATTAAGCTTTTCGTCAAGACTCACTATTATAAAGATAGCCTGCAAGTTCTTTTTACCACATTTTGTGGAATTACAAAATGCATTATGAACTTCATTAGAATTGCAGGATCTTCGAATTATTACTCTTAATAAAGTTTCTTTTCAGTATCATCATGAACACTGGGATTCAAAAAATTTATATTTAAGCGAGGAAAAATAAATGAAAATGCTACCATAATCTGACGATCAATCGTCTGTCTTAATTAAAATTTTATATTTTGGAGCATTTTTATTTTGCTCTAATAATTGCAATCCTCAATGTATATGCGTTTTGTCTTCATTCTTAATGAGTTTGAAAATATTAGATACTATACTATAACTACGAAACATACTATAACTTGAAACATCGAAATTAGAGGAATTTGATAGCTTTTACTTCTACTCTGTACCCTAGTAATGGCAAACGTAAAGTTGTTACTTTGCTTTAATTACAAGTTAAATATTCAAGAAAAACTAAATTTAGTTTAAACAGCCAGAAAAAGCAAGTTTTAAAATTTTTAATAAAATATTAGTCATTTTCTGATGCAATTTTTTTTTTTTTATCTAGAGCCCATAAAAAAATTCATATTCTTTGTTGTTCCCAACTTTTGTGTAAAAGTTAATAAATTTTTATTAAAATTAATTAATGTAAAACACTAATTGAATCAGATTTTTTTTGTAACTGTAAGCAATTCGTTTTATGTGATTTATAATGTTTTCTAAGTTGTCGTTTCTTTTTTTCAATTGACCGTATATGTATAAAACAAGTTATTATCAATAGTAGTTCTTGCATTTATTTATAGAAATATTTATTAACATCTTTTGTAAACATTTCAGTTCAAATTCGGAGTGGAATGATCAGACAAATTCACAGAATACTCAACTAAATGTGTTGGGACAACTACTCCAGTTGAATTTAGATGGCTCACAAGTTGTGGAGTTGACCAAACCACCTACAAAACCATATGGTTTTTTTGTAGCAAGAGGACGAGTAAGGAACTCCAAAGGTAACATTTCTAGATCTCCAGTTTGGGAATATGTTTTAAGTCTGGAATCACCTTCCTAGCTTTCAAAAGAGGGGTCTAGATATAGTTAAGTGGCGATTCTAGAAAATTTCCGATACAGCGCCATCTGGTAAGAAATAATGAGTTAACTTTTCTAGTTCGAAGCGATGGGAAGATGAGGGAATTACAAAATTGTAAAGCATCGTCGCCTTTCGTACAAAAAGTGTCCATGTTGTGTACATTAATGTGCATCTGTTTGCAAGCGATTACTTACAATTAATTCAATGTGACAAAAAGGTCTTAGAAGGAAAAAAGAAAGAAAACAGTAATTATGAGATAACATTGTTTTTGTTGTAGAAAACTTAAATTCATTGAAAATAGAAGTATATTTCTTTAGCTAAGCTTTTTCTTTTCTTTAAGAACGTTAAATATTCGCTTCAAGTGATCTTACACAAAATGCCTATCTCTACTAACTTAATCGGTGACGCTCTATAACTTGTAACCCTTCACTACCTTTTTTTATAGATAAGTGCTAACTTTTCACCTCTCCTCCAGGTGACGCTGTAGAGCAGTGGTTACCAACTGGCAGCCCGCATCCGGCCTGCGAACCAAAATATATTAGTTGTCATTTTTTTGCGGACAATTTTCGTGGAAATTCTATATGGGTTTTAAATACTTTTAAGTTTTATATCTTAACAATTTAATATCTGTTTCATATTAGTAATCGCTTAATACATAAGTGCATATTAAAGTTATTGTAGCCAGAAATATTTAATACAATTTTTTAATTATTTTTGATAATCCAGTCTGACAGTACTATGTTTAATGTTCCTCCAAACATAAGAGAGTCCTACATAAAGTTCTGATAATGTTGCTGCCCGCCATTTGACTGGTGTTTTTAATCGCGGCCCCCGGTCTCGTGTAAGATGGAAACCCCTGCAGTAGAGGATCTTTTCAAATAGCACCCAGCGACTTAACCTTGACTCCTAATTTTAAAGCTGAAGGGAGTGGTTCCAGACTTTAGTATAATTTTTATAGTGTATTTTCCTGTATATTTTTTTTAATAATATTTACTACCAGCATTGAAATGCAAAATTTTCAACTACTATACATTTCAAACAACTCCTTAGGAATCTTTCACTATCAAATAATAGAAAGTTCCTAAAAGCAGAAGAAAATAATCGTTTTTTTTTTAGAAAATACGAATAGAAATGCACTCATTTATTCAATTTTGTCATAGTGCTTAAATTTAATGAATAGCGAAATGAAAATGGAAAAATTTGATCTTCCAGTCTTAGAAGGTAGTTTAAAATATTCAGTTGTGTAATGTGTTAAAGATCAGCAACATAGAAATATACTAAATAAAGTGAAATAAATGGAAATCGACGCATAATTTTAATTTTTGAAATCATGTCTTTAATATATATTATTTAAATATTATATAAGTTAAAATGAAAATCATTTAATTATCTTTTCCTCTTAAGAGTCATATTGTTAACAAAGAAAAATTAAATAAAAAAAATCGATTATCTCAACTTCAACTTTCAATATGAAAGTTAAACTTATATTGCCTAATAATTTTGAACAAGACTTAGAAAATAAAGCCCTCCTGTATTATCACAAATTTGCGTTCGCTGAGAACTTCTTGAGTAAAAGTGATATGCATTACACGGAGATGGAAATTACCAAAACTTGCCAGGACTAGGAGAAATTTCGTTTAAATTTGAAGCAGCAACATCGATTCTGCCTCTTGGGCCATTAAACTCTATATTTCTTCTTATGAATTATAAAATGATTAAGATTTTTTCTGTTCTACATAAAAGAAAAAAAATTGATTTTCGATTACATATAAAAATCGCTCAATCAAATATGAAAGCGTCCAAGGTAGACGTTTCTTCCTTTTTGATGAATATGATGACCTTCATTCGAGTATTTGTAAGCAATCATCTTTTAACAAAATGTAAAGCTTTCGTATACATTTTTGAACAGCAGAATTTTGCACAACATCCTCATCGTACAGTTGAACATTGTATTTTATTGTCTGTTAAACAATAAGGATGTATGTTACGAAACAAATAGCGATGACTCGACACAAGGATAAAGCGTCCTCTTATATTTCATATTGCTCAAATGTTAACAGTGATCAGACAAGTTTATTGATGATGAAAAACTTAGCATTATAATTATTTTGCTTTCTTAACCCTATAAAAGTTAAATAACATTAGAATTTTGAAGAAAAAAAATTCCCTTAATTTAAAAGGTTTTTTATATATAAAAATAATGAGACTAACGTTTTATAACGAAGTCAGCATCAGAGTTTTACATTTTTGCAGAGAACATGGTGCAAAGTGTGTGCAGAATCTTCAAAGCCGTATTTTTTTAAACTTCTTATTTCAAATTAGCATAATTCATAACTCGAAAAATTTTAAGTTCGATTTCAATTTTAAACCGTGTCTTTAAAATTACGTCCTTTATAGCAATATATTATTTTATTGCATAAATTTTTTAAACAATATCCTGATTACTTTAATCTGAATTTTAAGTTTTTAGTGGGTAAAACATGCACTATTTTTGCAAAAATTGGTTTATTAAAAAATTTCGTTGATTCTATTTGTATACATATTAGAAACAAATTTTTTATCCCAACTCAAAAATTGTAGGTGATGCTTGTCCAGACGAATTCCTTTAAAAAAATGCGTTATCGAAGAACTGTACAATTACCATTTTGTTTTGTCTTAGGAAAATAGTTTTTACAAATATCTAGTTATGTAATAAAATACCCTTTTCAGACTTTAAATTTATTCCATTATCTCGTCAAGAAAAAAAAAATACCCACAATATGCTATTTTTATTTAATTATATCGTAGCTAAGGCTTAACCTTTTAATAATTTTTAAACTCTTTAATTTTTAAAAATCTTTTATAGCTGTGAAATCAGTTGAATTTTATGATTTTTTTTTCCTTTCTCGAAACTAACTCCAAACGTCAATTATCAAGGAAGTACGTTACAACTGTGCCGTTTGCGAAAAACTTGTGCTTAAATTTTTAATTGTTTCAAATTTTTAAAAATTTTATTTTACATTTTTATTTTTAAGGTTTATTACTAAAATACCAAGTTCCATCTGAAATTTAATTTCGCAAGTTGTGTACATCCCTCTTGTTAGTAGTTCAGAACCCACTCTAATGTAATGTCTCCTCGGTTTCTGAGCGGAAAAATTCTTCCCTAGGTTGGGTGGTTGAGGAGTGTGGTGTGGAAGCCGGGTGATTAATAACAGAATCTTCCCTCCGATTTAAATTATGCTAGTGTAGTTTCTTCGTTTCATCATTAAATGCAAATCCCAGACCGTCAGCAATAGCTCATTAATGTTTTAACAATGAAAGCTAATCCAAATCAAAACTCTCGAAAAGGAGAACGCTCTCTTGTAAATTTCAAATTAAAAATCAATGCACAATTGATTTAGAAAATATAATAACTATTTAACATTAATAATGAAAGTATAAAAGAATTTAAAAAATCTGTTCAAAATATATAATTAATAAACATAATAATAATGAAAATATAAAAAAATCATTGAAAATTCTGTTTGGAAACTATAATCATTTAGCATAAAAATTCATCATCAATGACTTGACCGCCCAGGGTGGGCCTTGGCCTTTTCAAGAAGTTTTTTTCCAGGCTAACCTTTTTTTTTTTTTTTTGCTAGTGTTTTCCAATTTTTAGTTTTCAAGACCAAAAGGTCTTTCTCTCTAGGCCATCTATACATCTCAAATTCGGCCTGCCTCTTTTTCATGTGCCAACTGGTCTGGCATTGAAAACTCTTTTTGTTGTACGGTCTTCGTCCATTCTGATAAAATTTTATTCTTTGTCGTTTAATAAAGTTAATAATCTCGGGTTTATTATATGGGTGATAAAGCTCCAGATTTGATCTTCTATGCCACTCACCATTTTTTTGAATTCCTCCAAAACTACTTCTCAAGACCTTTCTCTGAATGGTACCCAACATAGCCTCATCCGTACAAAATATGGTCCAGGTTTCACAAGCATATGTTAAAATTGATCTTATAAGAGATTTATATAACAAAACTTTTGTTTTTCTATGAATTAAATTAGATTTCACGTATTTTCGAATTCCATTAAAGCAGTTATTGGCTATAGTAATTCTTCTTTGTATTTCCATTGTGGTATTGTTCCTGTTGTAACATAACAATTATAAAAAATCAATGTAAAATCTATTTTAAAAAATTAATAAATACTCTACATTAATTATGAAAATATAAAAATCAATGCAAAATCTATATAGAAAATATAATAAATATTCGACATTAATTATGAAAATTGAAAATATAAAAATTATTGAAAAATATGGAAACTATAATAAATATTTTATGTAAAAATAATGAAAATATAAAAGTCAATGGAAAATCTATTTAAGAAATGTAATAACTATTAAATAGTTGTTAACAATTGCATTGTTTTTAATTATTGTTCTAATTTTATTTTTCAGGAGTGTTTGTCTCCAGAATGAGAGATCAAGAAACCCAAAAACAATTAGCCGGTTTGCTGGACATAGGAGATGAAATTTTAGAAATTGACGGGTTTAATGTCAAGGATGCAGACATAATGGAAGTGAATCGCCTTATGTCCAATAAAAACACTATGTTATTAACTGTTCTTCCTTACATATGCAGAAAGGACATTTAATCTGAGCAGCATTTGTAAAAATGAATTTTACAGTATTTAAATAATTTGTACATAGGAAGGGGTCAATGAGACATCGTTTATGAGCTTCATAAATTGATAAATAAAACTAAACTTTTTTATGAATCAAACAAGAAATTAGAATGCTTTAAGTATAACGTAATTATAGAAATTTTGCTTGAGTTCTGAAAAGTTGTAAAACTTTTGTATAGTTACAATATTAGAAAATAAGAGCATTATTCGATGTTTTTAAATGTTATGTAATTGTTAATTAATTAAATATTAATTAAAAAAAAACATTTGAAATGTTTTTTCAATTAATATTGTGAAATTTAAACTTATGTATTAAAGTTTAATAGATTATTTTTTTCTCTACATCCAAGCAAATAGCGCTGAAATTCTCTGTGATATTAAAACCACATCTTTATCAATTGTTAGCTATTTTAAAGTTTTTTGGGGCATATCATTTAATTTTAATAAAAATGTTATGATTTTATGCAGAAAAAAACATCTTAGCTTTTTTTAATTGATAAAGTATTATTTGTAAGATATATATAAAATTACATTGCTTTGTTTATGTAAATCATTTTCCAAAGACAATCATGTTTCTGTCAAAGTTTAGACATATATTATATAAATCTGATAAATAATTTAGAATGAGAATGTTATATGAACCACGTACTTGTATTGATATTTTTACACATTTTAAAATTATTATCCATAGAAAAAAAAATTAAGATTTTAATGACATTTCAGCTTATTGTTATTATCACATATCAGAAATAGCTTTTATATACTAAACCATAACCAAGCTACCTTAATCAATTTCATTTCAATTAACATTAAAAAATAGCCACTAACTATCTATGAGTGATGATTAACTGTCGTTAATACCAGCAGGGCGATGTTGTAGGGCATTTGTAGCTATTTAATACTTACTATGTAGTAATGGGGAGTAGTTCTTTTATGCTTAGGTTCGTAATTTTCTCAGTTACGTTTACTTCAAGCTTCTTATGAGTATGTGTAGCTATTAACGCCTCACACGCCCTTGCCTATTAACCTCTAATACCTTTTTTAACAAATAAGCTTATTTTTAACCACATACTACCACCACTAATTAAATCTAATAGCACGCTTATTTTCATAACGCCATTATTAGTCATTATATAATAAGTTGCACTTTATTTATTGCTTAAATAAAATGAATTCTGTACAATATCGCTCCATTTATTCTACAGAAAGTACTCATTTACTTAATTAATAAAATATCTAATAAAGTGATCAATAATGCCTTAATCAGTTATCTATAAAACTTAAATTAACGAATATACATTGTTACTCATAAATTTTTTTAAACCTAATGAATGTTAGTTCTATGTAATTAGCTAAACCTGTAACTTATGATACTAATCTATAAAGCTAAAACCAGTAGGCTATACGAACAATTTACTGTATAATATTAATAAATTTATCGTTCATAAGTCCTCCCTCTTTTTATAAAAATACTATCTTTCTATACTATACGATAATAGACTATACTGTCAGTGTTTTTTGATGTAATTAATGATGATTTAAAAATAACTTTTATAGTCTTGAAATAGTTTATTTGTAATTTTATTAATTAGCTTTGTTTTCAGTAGCTGTACACATAAATTTGAGCTATTAGAGTGGTTACAAACCATTAATTCGCTAATCTCTGATAGAAAACTTACATTTCGCCGAAATAAATTCTTTATTTGCTTTTTGTTTTGAAAGTGCCCTAAGAATTTTTGATAACTTTTTGTAATCACTATAATAGCTTGTATCCAGAAAACTAGAAATAAAATTTTTAAGAAGAGAATGAATTTAGACACGGATGGAAAACAAAACAATGGGAAACAAAACATGCGCAACCAATATGTTTTTTTCTTCTTCCAATTCTGTTAGAGGTTAAGGGTGCGGTGCAGGCTAAGCTAAAGAATGAGAATGAAACATTTTTAAAAAATGTAACGAAAACTTTCAAAAATTTTAAAATAAAGCAGAATTAAAAATGTTTAAGATGTGTATTGTTAATTTGCTCTGTACAAACTTTTTACATGTTATGGTCGGGAGATGAAAGTTGGTCAATAATGTATTTTTTATATCAACAATATGAAACATTTTGAAAGGGTGTTTTTGCATTTAACGGTGTATAGATTTTATATGTAATTATATATTTTTATTGTTTTTATCTGAAGTGTATAAAATATATGGTTTTTACTCATATGAAATAAATATATTTTCTGATGCATTTTGGTGTTTTTCTTCAATTCCCGTTTGGAAAAAAAAAATTTTTTTGTTGATGGAATGCAAACTTAAAATCTTAATCCTTATTTAGGAATGGTTTAAAAAATATATTAATTCTCGGAGCCAAATATGGTAATTTTTGCTTTGGAAACAAAAATAAGAACAAATCAATAAGCTCACTCATTCTTAATATTTACGGTGAAACACATGCAGGGTGTTTCGTAATCACCGCTCTAAATTTATAATTCTTTTGAATCGTTTTAGAAATGAAGTGATAAAAATATATACATACATTGGAGAAAATAAACTAATATTTGATTTAGAAAACAAAACACGCTTATGAGCATTAAATGCAGAAAGCCCTGCTTACTTGGGCAATTCAACAAAAGGATTAAGCGACGAATTTTAGAAGAAAAAAAATTTCAGTTAACAGTTTTAGGTTTTTATGTATTTTACATCCGCTTTCAAAGTCAGATTTCGATGGCTTGTTTGTTTCGAGAGCTGTTGTGGCTCAGGGGACAGAGCATTCGCCTCCCACTGAGGTGACCTAGTTTCGAATCCCATCAGTACGTAAAATATCCTCAGTGATAGACGGATAATGGGTTAGAATCCCCTTGCTATCGGACTAACTATGAGAGGTTTTCGTGGTTTTTCTCTCCATGTAATTGAAATGCAGGTTAGTTCCATCCAAAACTCCTGCCCTTATTCAAATGTCCCCCATTACTTGATCCAGAAGTTGCCCTGTCTTCTGAATTCAAAACTACAAGGCTAAGGAGTTGAATATTGATAGTTGTTAATTTAGAATACCGACGACTGTTCAATGCCGGTTACAAAATAAAAACATGTTCGTTTTTCTTTATTTAAATACTAATGTGAGCGTGAAACTTTATAATTCATTTTTGAGAAGCATTTAAAAAAAAAAAAAAAAGAATTAGGGAGTGATGATTACTGGACAACCTGAGTAACGATAGTGTTTAATAGTTCTTTAAAAATTTGCTCCCACTGAGCACTAAGCAATTGTCCATCAAAAAAATGTTTGAGATAATTTAAAACTTATATTAATTGAAAAAAATATTTTTGTCTGATTGTAAAATTATTTTTCTGAAATATATCCGAAACAAATGCTTAGTTGGTGTGTAGCGGAAATACAGAGAATGTAAAATTTTTATCTATAAAGTTTTAAGCATAGAGACTATATATTTATTTAGATAAAACAAAATACTTCCTTACCAAGGTCTCAATAAGTGTCTAAGGGCAATGAGCCAACAAATATTCTTTGGGAAAGGGACAAATATTTTCCATCACCGACTGTATCGTATGGACTTAACAAAATCTTTCATGTAGTGTACTTTTATAAGCTATCGATTTAAACCAACGTTTTGATACATCGAATGCAAAATGAAAGTAGACAAATTAATATCAGCGATCTAATCTGCGTAGATGCTTCACCTAATGACCCGGAGTAGCGACCTTCCTTTCCTATTTCTCGGGAAGGAACTAAAACGTAAGAACGATAACACTCATTTTTTCGGAAGTAATTGTTATTTTTAAAAGCTGCGTCTTCCATCGACTATCACTTGTAAAAGATGGATTAAATAAAGATACATATTACCATCACGCATTTACAAAACATATAAAGGTAAGAGAATGCTTCGTAATCATAACATTTAAATAGCACTGTATTTATATGCTTAAAACACCCATTAAGTTGCTTGGATTTTTATATATTTCAAATAATATATGTATATATAATCTTATGTGACACCATAAACTCTGGTATTGGCAATACTATAGTTATTATCAATTTTGTTAGGTTGTCTTAAATAATTTAAGTAGTGTTGAATAATTTATTAGTTAGAATAATTTTGTAATTTTATAGAGAAAAAAAACTTAGTTACAAAGTAACTATTTATATTAATCCTTTCTGAAGTGGCTTTAGAAGTTTTAAACCTAAACGATGCTATGATGCCGTACAATGTCATACCTATTGTTTGATAACGAAGCTTGCCTTTTTCGCGCAATAGCACATATATATTACACGATACTCAAGTTCAGGATCGAGAGGTGCGTGAGGAAGTAGTACAGCAAGTAATTGAGCGTAGGGATGAGTTTTTCATCTTAATTCATGACAGTGATGGAAATAATATTAATATTTCTGCTGCCTATTATTATGAAATGTACCGAACTCATACTTACGGAAGTTTGTGTTATTTAATGGCTCCCGGACAGATTTTAAATTATTACTAAAATTCAACACATAAAGGACTTGTACAATATCGTGGACATTCCTTGAAAATAGTAAGAACTGAAATCGAAGTACTTCTGCGCGGACAACAGTTAGACGGTGAAAAAAATAGGTTACTATATTGTTTGAAATTGGAGGATCAATCGGAAATAATCGTATATAAAAAGTGTGCTGTGCATTCGGCTATGTTACGATTAAAGTTTATATGCTGCCTAAGGTAATTCTGAAAGGTGATCAAGCAGGTCGTCGAAGGCGGCTAGTATTAAAAATTATCTATTAATTGTGTAACAATCAAATTTTCTTAATTAAGCTGATGAAGCGAAAATTTTCATTAAATTATATTCTAAAAAATATTATTAAAAAAGATATTTTTTAATATTTTTTTATAAACAATTGATTTGCGTGAGTTTCAAGAAATAGATTTGTGATTGAATTATTTAAATCATTTAAAATAAGAAACATTTTATTTCCCGAAAAACGTACTAATAATGAAATAAAGTATTTAAAAGTTATCAGCTTGCTTATTATATTCATCAAACAATTTATGTTAATATGTATGACTATCATTATTGCAAAATAAAGTTAAAATTGATTTGAAAGTTTCTGATATCAAGTTAATAATACATATCATTTTTAAGCAGGAAAAAATTTAAAATAATTTCATTCGTTATTTTCTAATGTGCTTATTTTTATCTATTATCTAACTCATTTTATGAGACAAATTTAATTTCAAGCAACATTTTTTCAGTATTTTCAATTATCTTTTTTTACTCTACAGTAAAACTTGCAAGCTGGTAGGAATTAATATTTTTTAAAGTTTATACATAGTTACAAAAGAAAGAAGTAAAAAAAAATACTTCAAACTTATTATGTAAATTAACAAATAATTTTAGTTCTAGTTATATTACGCCTTTTTTAAAGTTAACTCCGTTGGGAAAAAAACGAAAACTATAGTTAGTTCATGCTATAAATTAAAATTAAAACTAAAAAAAAAATTTTTTTTTTTATTTTACCATTGCATATAGAAATTGTGTCAAAAATTGAATAACTGCTTTGGTTTTTTTTCCAGTAATATATTTTCTTGTAATATATTATCTATGTAATGTATTATCTTATTTCTGATTTTGAAACCACAATAATTTTTAACTGCAATAAAATCATTAACAGATCTGTAAAAGAATTAATTAAAATCATTTCATGCTTATTTTTATTAAAACCATTTCCTGCTTAGAATGGGGCTTTTATCACTTTTAATGAACTCTTTCTCTTATTTTCTTTTCTTTCTTTTTTTTTGAAAACAAAGCTGTTGTTTATTCGGGTTTGATTAAATGGTTTCATAATGATTATTTGTAGCACTTGTGTTGTATATTTTATCTTTAAATTAAAATTAAAGTAAATAAATTAAATTAGAGTAAATTAAAGAAAAACTGTAGTGAACTTTGGCAAACAATTTTCTTTTTTACTTTTAATTACAGTAAATAAACGTAAACTTATAAAATAAGCATCTCAAGAGATAAATTACTTACTTTTTTTCGTGCTTTAAAAGATATATGATAATTGTTTAATAAAAAAACTAAGAAAAAATTGCTAAAATATTTCTGAAATTGCAATAACATACTGAATAACAAATTAAGATCAAATTGGGTAAACAATGAAAAAACTTCTCAGTCAGGAAGTCAAATTTAAATTGCTCTGTATAGCTGTATTTTTTTGGGTTGCAGATTAACCCACATGGTATTTCTTACAGCAAGTTTAATAGTAAATATTGTTTATACTAATTAACAAATGTAAAAATCTCTTATTTCATCTTGTAAACATTTCTACGAGTACCAGTTATCTATACGTTTCTGTCAGGAAGTCAAACTTAAATGCTCTGTATAGCTGTCTTTTTCTGGGTTGCAGATTAACCCACATGGTATTTCTTACTACAGGTTTAATAGTAAATATTGTTTGTACTAATTAACAAATGTAAAAATCTCTTATTTCATCTTGTAAACATTTCTACTAGTACCAGTTATCTATACATCTTCATAATTTCAAGTATCTTTTTGATTCTTCCGCGCAATAAAATAAAATGTAACATTAAGTTGGATAGACAAGACTACGTCACTTACGATTTTTTAGAGAGATACATGAATCTAATTTAAATCTTTTTTTTTTAATTTCCTTTTTTTCCAGGGAATGGTATGATGAATAATAAACTTTATCTATCAATCATTGGAGTCATTATACTGCTGATATCTCTCATAAGTATAATACGTGCAGGTAATGTAGATACTTTTTGTTATATATATTGAGTGATCACGATTGAACTAAAAAAAGATTAATTTGTTTATATTTACATATCATAAAACATTTCTAAAACATAAATGATTATGATTCTAAATGCTATCTCCATTATCAAGAAAAGATAGTGGAAGGAACAGCCTAATGCAACTGGCTTTTCGATAAAAACCCGTATTTTTCGTTTTACAATGAATGCATATATTAATCATTGTAAGATTCTAAATTTTCTATTAGTAACTAAGGGCAAAAACGAGAAGAGCAAAGCTTGCTGAAAATATTGGAAAAAAAGGGTATTCGGTGATATGGTCGATCAGAACATTTTTTTTTTGAATTACTGTAAATATATATATTTAAAATTTAAATGGAATAAAAATTAATACATATGTAAGATTCTTGAAATTTTGTAATGACTGACTTTTTTGTATAGCATTTAATAATGCTATAAATTTAAATAAAATAAGAAAAAGCTTATTTTAAAATATTCACAATTAAGAGAATTTTAAACGAAAAAATAGTTCCTATAACACTTCGACATGTTAAATTATTTTTTAAAAATGTACGAAAATGATAGAAATCGACCGATTAAGCTACAATTTGTATTTTGCTATGCAAAATTACATTCTTTAAAATGGTGTGAAAATTTGTAAACCTTTTCAAAACATTTTCCAACTATTGTTAAATAAAATAATAAATATTTACTCAAATGAAATTACTCCATGGAATTTATCTTTGGATAAACGAATTGTGAATTAAAAAGTTTAAATCCATTTAAGAAGTGAGATATTACTAAAAACGCAAAAAAATATAATTAACTTTAAGAAGTGTAAACTTTGGACCGCTCTCCTGATCAAACTATTGAGATCATATTTTCCAGATAGCGGCTATCCCCTATAGTTTAGGGTCAGAATCAGTCGAAATAAAAACATGTTTATTCAGAGTAATCAATCTTTTTGTGTCTGATTTCGTAAATTATATGGTTTGCACTAATTAATTAGCATATGTTAAACCACCCCTTGAACTACTAGGATTGAGTCCTAGAACGTGAAGATCTGATCAATCGAATCAAAAGTTTTAAATGGCAGCCCCCTTATTTTCTTGGCTCACTTACATAAAATGCTGGAAATTTTAATGTACTCTAACTAAAAAATGTGTCATTACAACACTGCATGAACCCAACATTGAAACAGACTTTGGGATCTATATAATAATCTACATATTTTCCTTGTTTCAGATTGTCCGTTACCAAGGAAAAAACTGGCTAATGGAAGAATTATATACCAAACAAAACTGGACTCAAACATAACTTCTGTTCCTGAAAATTACCGCCTCCGATTCAGATGCAATCATGGATACACACTTAGAGGTTCACAGACAATATTTTGCTTTTCAAACGAATGGACCGACACCAAGCCAAGTTGCTTAAGTATGACAATTTGAAAATTAAATAATTTCCTAACTTAACATACTGAAATAAATAGTTTAAAATCTACAATTTATTTTTGTACATTTAAGTATTAGCGTAATATTGACGTCATTGAATTTGAGTATTATGAAGTCTCAAGACCTCTTACTGTAGAGTGTGTTCTAAATTATAATTTGCAAAATAACCTTTGTCTCGGTACTTAACTCGGTACTTTAACACTTAACGTATGCACGGTGCACTGTTAGAAGAAATAGTAGAACAAATAGTAATAAAGAAAACAAATAGTAATAAAACAACTTAAAAAGAAATCAAATCAAAACAGCAAAAAACTCGAGTTCTCTCCTAATAGAGCAATCATGTCGCCTTTTTTAGCAATATATCTATTAGTAACTAAAACAAATTCTCACTTCAAACTCACCAAGATCTTAATAACATTAATATCTTATGAAAGGCAACAGATTTGAGCTTAGAAATATTATTATTTACTTCAACAAAATTATGTGTGGAAACATCGCCTCACACAATAAGCTGTAGAAAGCAGCTTTTAATTTTTTTAAAACCAGAAATCGTAAAAGTAATGAGATCGAGATTTGTTTTTTGTTTCTTTTTAATTTTATTATTATTATTTATTTATTTCATACATTTATATTGAAAACACCGTACATACTAATTTCAAAACCGTCGTTGAACAGACGACCCAATTTTGGGTTTGCGACTACTGATGTATAACTCCGTAGCCTTGTAATTTTGCTCCCAAACCAGAAGACAATGGAACTCCTGGATCAACTATTGGGAGAAAATTGCTTTCGTGGAAGACTTCTTGATGGAACTAACCAGCATTTGTGTTACACAGAGAGGAAAATCACGAAAACCTCCCACGATTAGCCCTAAGGCAAGGGAACTCTAACCCATGATCCGTCTACCACACACTTTTAGCCAGGTGCTGAATTCGTATCGACCGGCCATCGCTGGGATTCGAATCCGGTTCACCTCATTGTAAGGCGAACGCTCTATCCCCTGAGCACAGCTCCATCCATACTAAATGTCAAGCCTCGCAACAACATGAAATGCAATTTATATAAAATTTATTTCTGTTTCAGAAATGACTTGTGGTGCTCCCACATCAATTGAAAATGGTAGCTACAAAATCAATAGTGGTACTACAAACTTGCCAACGTTTGGCTCTACTGTTGAGTACTTCTGCGATGAGGGATTTGAAATGGTGAATTCCACTACTTCAATACTCACGTGTAGTTTATCTTCTCAAAAGAATAGTGCGGTGTGGGAAGGAGATATTCCAGGTTGTAAGGGTAAGTATCTGCCAACAATGACTTTTATATGAGTTAAAATATCTTTTTAAGACATAATTAATTTATAGAAAACTAAATTCTTGTTCTATAAAATCCTTATTAAACCTATGGCTCTGAGACATGGTGAACATCGACAAGATCTGGGAAGGCATTTTTGAGTACGTAAGAGCGGAAGATTTGAAGCGCTATTCTTGGAGATGTAAAAGAAAATATAAAACGGTACAATACTGATATATAGATACTATAAAAGACTTAAACACTATAAAACTTAACTAGCTGAATAGATTAAACTAGATTGATCGTGTGTTTAAAATTGAACTATTTAAATACAGTAAAAGGGCTCGTTTTGGTAAAGCCCTGGGGACACAGAGGAAAAGGACATCCAAGTTGCGATGGACAGGGGCAGTAGCAAGAGATTTTGGAATGCTAAAAAAGTTGAGAATTGGAGGACTATTTACATCCACAGAAAAACTTTTCAAACGATAGTCATGGCCCTTCCTAGGCAGTCGTGTTGTACTGATGAGGATTATAATCCTCATCGTACGCATTCATGCAATCGCAAAGAAGAAAATGAAAGGTAAATTTAATAAGTATCAAAACAAGTCATTGTGTAGTTACAGTAAAATATTCTTGCTCTTCTGTTTCTTAAAGATACCCTTAAAAATTTTGTTAATTGGGTATAATATAGCCTACGTCACAGGTTGTGTTGTTCCTACTAAATTTAACCCATGAACGGCATTTTCTGCGAGCCTAACTTCAAGCCACAAATAAACAAACGAAGTGTTCGATCGTTCAAATAGCTGCTCGCCAGATTTTATTGCATTATAAAGAAAAGTTATTGAAACTAAATACAACTAAATAAACAACAACAACAACTAAAACAAATAACAACTACTGATAACAATAACTAAATAAACAACAACTAAATTCCATTCGTTTAGCATTGCGTCATATGTTGTTCCTACTAAATCGAAGTAGTTGTGTTTTTTTCATATTATACCCAATTGAACAAAATATTTTAAACACATTTTTCTCCAAACAACCTTTTTGTCTAATTAAATTAGGTATAGATCCACAGCCTATGCATCTTTTATTTATTGTGAGTAGCAAATCGACTTTAGACATAGAAAATACATTTTACATTTAAATAATTTTAGTTGCTAGATTTTGTCCAGTTTCCAGTGTAAATTCTAAGAGTGTTTTATAAATTTTATTTATTTCCTTATTTATTTTGCAATATAATGATTATTTTAATATCTAAATTTTTTAAATGTAAGTCATGCATAAAATTACCTTAAAACCATCTAATTTTAAGGATTTTATTTCTCAAATTATTAATGCTCTTGTGCAAATTATAATTTAAATGCACTTTAAAAATTTTACGATTATCAGAAAAGGAATCGTGTCCCGATCCTGGTGTCTCAGCGGATGGTGAAAGGATTGCAAATTCCTTCTTTGTTGGCAGCGTTCTGGAATACTCCTGCAATGATGAGTTTGAGATTGTTGGAAAAGACAGAATCGAATGTTTACCGGGTGGCAGATGGAGTTCTCCAAGACCCCTCTGTCGACGTAAATATTTTTTATTCTAATATTTTATAATTACGTATTTTAATCATATATAAAAATGAAGATTCTGTTAATTTTCTAGTATAAAAATCCCCGAAAGAATAATTCTCTTAATTACTTTGCCGCTAACACGCAAATACACTTAAAAAAGTACCATGAATCGAAAGTACCGTGAATCACCAATGATATTGATATTTTGTAATTTACATAATTAATATTTATTATTTTTATAATTCGGTAATTTTAAAAAAGTCGTATTTTTAAAATTTAATTTGTTAGGAAATATTCGACTGATTTTGCTCAAATATTGTAATCTGCAGAGTAAAATTTCATTATTTAAAATGATGCAAAAATTTGTATTACCTTACAATTCAAAATTTTTTGACTGTTATTAAATAAAAGAATTTAAAAAAAATATTTACTAAGAGTTATTTTTTGCATTGAATTATATTTAATTATCTATCTATTAAATTAATATTGAGGGGTTCAAATTTTCGATTGCTCTACTGATAAAAACTATTGTGACCATATTTCCCAGATTGCGGCTACCCCCTATATCTTAAATGTCCGTCCAAATCCGTCAAAAAAAGTATACTTATCCAGAGAAAGTAAGTTTTTGCGTCTGATTTCGTAATTTATTTCGATGATTTCGTCTGCATTAATTAATTAGCATATTTGAGGCCATCCCTTCGAATTATTTAGAGTGAGCCTTAGAATGTAAAGATTCGATCATTAGATAAGAAGTTATTCATAGTCCGTTTTTATCCTCACACTGAACACTTAAAAAATACCCTGAATCGAAAGTACCGTGAAACGCCAATCATGTTGATATTCTGTAATTAACATAATCTTTTACTCTACGATTGGGAAATTTTTAAAAAAAATTTTTGACATCTCCTCAATTATGAAAACTTCACCATGCGCTTATAATTTTGAAATATCATACTGTTTAACTTGTACTATCCAAACCTCACCAAAAAATCCCAATTGATGGTTGATGTCCATCAATAATTATATCCCCTATTTAGGAAATAAATTTAGAATGTATATTTTTTATTTTACATTATCATTCCTTAACTGTAGAAACAATACGTATGGTACCGATGATGTTTGAAACCAGGCATTCTATATATTCTGACAAAATATAAGATGAGCAAAAATGTCATACGCTGCCTATCATTCATCATTTTCTTTATAAGAAAGGTACAAAATTTTAGTGATCAGCATATATAATTAAAAACCAGGCAGGAGTGTATGAACAATTGCCTGATATTAAGTTAATTCTTTTTCTAAAGGGCAATAGTCCGGTATTTCGTACACCGATGTTTTTAAAGAGCTATTTCCCAAGCATTCTATTCAATGATATTTCTTTTTTAAAGTAAAGAGAGAGATATTTCCCGGTATAAGACTTGCCGTTGTATGTAAGTAGAAGAGTTATTGTCCAGTTGTCCAATCACCAACGTTTTGTTATTTTAATTTTAAGGGTTAGGGTTCATAACTAATGTTTTCCTAATCAGATATTATTAATATTAACCAATTAAGCCGGTTAAATTGAAGCTTATGTTTCATAAGAAATCGAATTATCAAACAAAGAAGATGTTATTACAATTTGTTTGTCAACTTAACTATAATAATAATAAAAAAAGAAAGAAAGAAAAATAGAGAAAATAATAATGAGCCTTCTTCTCAGTATTTATATTCTCTAAACCAAAGAATATTACAACTTTTAAATTCCAAAATATCTTATCATAACCTGATTTAATACTTTGCCAAAAGAATATTCCAGGTATTAAATATAATGCTTAGATAAAGTACAATAATAATTTCAATTTTTCATAGTTTATTTAAAAACGTCAGACATTTTATAGAATGCCGGCGTTTCATACATTTCCGGTAATATATACATATAATTACATATTATTATTATTTATCATATATAGTGTGTAACTTTTCTAACCGTGTCTGTTGAATAATTATGATAGGAAGTATTATTAAATTTTCAGCTTTGAGTGATTATTGCGAATTGCCACCTGGTATTCCACATGGCGTACCTAAAGGTGAAAAAGAAGGCGATTACTATCGACCATATGACGAAATTGAGATAATATGTGAACTTGGCTATTCTTACAAGGGTGTATCACAGTTCATAATGTGCGAAGAAGAGGGACAATGGGAGGAAGAATTCGGAGAATGTACAGGTAAATATTAAAAAAAATCAACAATAAAAGAAATGTCTCAATATTTTAAATTAGTTCTTAGATCAAATCTTAAAAAATTTACCTTTATGCATAATGTTTTGTTTAATGCTGAAGTATATAAGTAATTTTAATTCATCTCATAATTATAGTATGTAAGAAAAGAAACTTTCAAAATTAATCGTAAAATTTAGTTTTTTTAATTTTATTTATTGAAAAACATGAGTAAACAAAGAAAACGATAATGGGATCAGGAGGTTATTGCATTGTCTCTTAGTTCATGAACTGTTGTTATAAACGGTTTTTTTTATCGATTTTAATTTTATCTAAGATAAATTTTGAAGCTAATGAATCTCCAAAGTTCAGTTCTGCATTTTCTTAAAGCTCTTTTTTACAAACACATGGAATGCTAAAACTCGTTTATGGAATACCCTATTTTACCATTAAAACAGATTTCAACATTTCGCTTCCATTTTTTTATTTTTTTTTATTAAAAGAAAGTAAGACTTTTCATTGAAAGGGCATAAAATAAATTTATTTTAATGAAACAAAATACCAAGTGGCTATTTTTTATAATTTACACTTTCTTTTCTCAGAATTAATTAAGAATGTTAATTTTTTGTCTCCATGAACGAAAATAGTGACACTGCTCCAACTAGGAATATAGAAATTCTAACTTCGAAACATTTTATGAAATGAATCAAACTAAAATCAAGTGAGTTAATTTTTAAATTAAAGAACTTAATGAACAGAACATATCACTAAACTGCATATGTCTAACTGAGAATAATAGTAAAATTTTCACACACAAAAAACTTATTTTGCCTTATAAAATATAAATTAAACAACAACAAAAATCAATATTTTTCAAATGAAGATAAGGTATGCTTTGGGCTACGTTTTGAATAAAGAACAAATAATCGCAAAAAATGATTAGACTACAGTTTCAATTCTATAAACAAAAACCAGCCTCGGTATCGAAACCCAAAACTACAGAAGAATGTACGTGACAAACAAGTTGCAGTCAGAGGGAAAAAAGTAATTTAACCAAAAGAGGGAGAGGAACAAACTTAAACAAAATAATAAAAGGAAATAAGAACCGCAACTATGGTATGTTCATCATATTATTTGTGCTTTATTCTCGTTTCTGAAATTTATTCAGTTATAGACTTTAAATTAAATAATAATTTTGATAAAAAGATTTCAACAATACAAATGATGTTTACATAAGACAAAATAACTCACAAGTAGGGTCCGTATAAACCTTATATTACCGCAATACTTACATCAAATACCTATATTTATAAGTATATTAGGTACCTGCTACTGCAATAACAGCAGTACCTATTACCAAAATTATACAAATTGAAGCAACATTGATTCTAATAATACTTTAGCATTTTTTTACAGCCTTCCCTAAACAGTGCAACATCGAGTTAAATTTCTATTAAAACTATTATCCCTTATAAACTACGCTTAAAATTAATAAATCTTTGCTTCATGAATATACTTAGTGAAAAATAAGTTGTGTATTTTTCTAGAGGTGTATTGTGATTTCCCCCCACCATTGGAAAACGGAAAGATCCCAGAAATCGAGACAATCAATGCTACAACTTTGCCATTCAATTTTGAAGTAACATACATTTGTGACAAAGGATATCGACTCATTGGTGACAGTTGGAGATTTTGTGATGCGAGAGGATGGTCCGGAAGTGAACCCCACTGTGAAGGTACAGTTAACAAGATTTATTTTCAAAAATTGTAAATAATTCCAAATAAAGATCCATCATAAAGTGTTGCCAATACTTTTAAAATACTTAATTGAACAAAAATAATGTTTTGAAAAGTAAAAATTAATTTTAAGAACCAGAAAATTGAACAAGAGTCTAAAATTAATACATTTTCAGCGAAATGTGCCTAAACGAACCATTTCAATACGTTTTTCATTAACACTGTGACGTATTTTTCTCACTAATTTTATTTACTTATTTATTCATTCATTTTTTTGCTCTTTCCGATGGTTTTGAAGACATCAATACAATAATCTATATTAGAATACTAGTCTAAGTACTAAATTATAATTCAAATACTAAATAATATTTAAAATACTAAAATATAGACATCTATATTAAAATACTAGTAACTCAATTGGAGTAAACACTTTCAGTTGAGAAAATTTAAAACTAGGCTATTTTTTTTAACTTGTAATGGTTATAGTCAGAATCAACTTCTTGAAGATGCATAATTTTTTTCATTTGAAATTAATTATATGCTTTCGTGATATAACATTTAAAAAAATTTCTATGTTTGCCCTAAAATGGGTAAGGAGATACCGCCGGCTAAAGACAGCTCGTCTATGTACTTCATGCTAATTCTACACACACAAAAAAAAATTACATTTAGGTATTAAAGCTTTCTTTCACACAATAGAAACTATAGAAGAAATAATTAAGTTTTTAATGAGAAAATTTACAATTTCCATTGAAAAGTAAATTTTCGAATGGAAATAACACTATTTTCTACAGAAAAATATCTATTAACGCATTATTCTAGACAAAAACTTTTTTTTCTCTGCTTAATCAAATAAGGTTGAAAAGAGTTTACGTCTGCTCTATTAAATATCGTAACTTGAAGAAATGGGGAAAGAACTTTAAATACGCGTTAAAAGCGTATGGTATACCATCAATAATGAAATAACCAACAGTCAAATAATCAATAATAAAGTAACAATATAAATTTTCAAATTGTATTTTACAGTAATTGTATTGTATTTTACATACCCTGAATAACTTTTGACATACTGATCTGATTTTTACGTACAACAAGTATTTAATCTTAAGTGTTCGAAAGAGTAATCTTGAGTGCAATAATTAATCAGTGCAGACTAAACTTTATTCTACGTAATCAAACAGCAAAACGTATTTTCTCTAAATAAATGTACCTTTTCGTTTCGACGGATTTTGATTCTTGATCCTCAAAACAGGTTGGATAGCCGCAATTTGGAAGATACAATCACCATAGTTGAGGCGGGAGAGCAAGCGAGGGTTTGGTTCCATTAATGTTAATTTCACTTTTTGCTATATCTGGAGTACTTTTTAAACCAGTGTTTCCCAAACTTAGGACTTTTGTGTACACTTTCTAAATTTTTCGTAACGCTGTGAGACACTATTAAAAAAATAAATATGTTTTTCACTATCAAAAAATTGCACAAAAGTAAAAAATCACAACTGGCTGTTGACACCACTAATTATTAACTGCTAACTCAGAAAAAAAAAATAGCCAATAGAAAAATATGTAATCGTAAATTTTCATGGCTAGCTTTGTTTTTTAAAAAAAAATGTTTCAAATTTTCGGTTGTTGCAAGATATTTCGCATAAGAACGCGTACCCCAAGCTTAACTGTTCCCGTATCCCTGGGGGTACGCGTACCACACTTTGGGAAACACTGTTTTAAACGAATCGGAAAATTTTTCAACGCAAGTATGAAATTCATTCGTCTGAAGATAATTTCATTAAAAAAAAATTTCTTAATAATTATTTATATCATTATTTTATTTAATAATAGTGGAAAATTGCTGAATTGGAATTTTTTAATGTAAATAAATTTTACATCATCTTAAAGTACGTAGTTTTAAATAACAAAAAACAAAATTTGAAAGGTATCTTCTCGAAATTCTTCGAAAAAGGTAATTCTCGAAATATCAAAAAAATTAAATATTAAAAACTTGATTTCTCAAGAATTATCATTTAATTAATCTCAAGAATCATTATTAATTAATCTCAAGAATAATTAATCTCAAGAATCATTTAATTAATTATTAGAAATTTAACGATATCGAAAAAATAATGAGACACTTTATTGATTTTTAGTCATCCACTGTCCCGATCCTGGTGTACCAAAACAGGGTACCCGAATTCTGGATGGTTTGAAAATAGGAGACAAAGTGATATTCAAATGCTTTACTGGATACGACTTGATTGGATCATTCGAGAGATACTGTATGCCGAATGGCCAGTGGAGTGGTGAACTTGCAAGATGTGATAATGAAAGTAAATGATGCTCAATATTCCACTACAATCTCTCTTTGTTCAGGTGCATTTTCTAAGGCTGGCAAATATTATGCAACAAAAAGTAAATTAATGCTTTAATGAATTGAATTAATATCCTTATCACCCTTTAAGATCGGATTGTACGAAAACTATTTCATCGTGATAGAAAACCAAGTTCTCTTTTGCACCCACATGCAGCACATAAAGCCATCGTTATTTCGTTCCAAACGGAAGTGTTTTTGACACGCGCCAAGTGTTTAAAAAAACCTGTGTTTATTTATTTGGGGGGGGGGGGACTGGAAGGTACAGTAAATGTTATTTTTTCTTAGGTCATTCTAAATACATTATTTCATATTGATAGACACGAGTTATTTTTGCCTACTGTAAGTTATTGATTTTTAAATCCTTATTAGGATTTAAATCAAGCAACTGTTATTCTTTTAATAGACGAAAATATCAAATTAGTTTCAACTTTTAATTCTTTAGCACTTTCCATCCATTGATTAAATGTTCAATACACAAGGTCGTTTTAGCGCTTAGTCTTAAACAAATAGGCCTTCTTTTCAAATTAAAGGCTATCCAGAAAATAATGGAAGATAAGTAATGTTATAATCTATATTAACTTCAATTTGAAAAATGTATTAGTTGGGGACATTTTTATGTATTTTTGAAGCAAATATACTGTCGAAACAAATAAATACTTAATGCAGATTCTCTGAACAGGCAATAAAAATGTCTGTGTTAAATTTCGGCAGGGTGACGTAACAGACAGAAATTAGTTCAGAATAGATGTGCAATTTCAATCTTAATTCCCATCAATGGAGAATAAGATTGTTAATTTTAAAGAGGTAGAATGATTTATTTCAATCTTTTGAATTATACTTTTAGAAACACTCTGTTCTGAAAAAAATGCTTAGAAAGTTATTTTATTCCTCTTAGAAAATTTAAATTTTAAAGAATGAAATTTATAGGTGAGTAAATTTCAAAACAAAACCACCATTTTACAGCCCAGATAAATTTTATTATAACTAACAGATATTTTATTCTAAGTAAATACTAGAATTTTTATCCTTTTCATTATTTGCAGTTTAATTAAACTAAGTTCTCTAAAAAGTTTTAGTAAATATATGGAATTTAAATTTGTAATGTATTTTTCTTTGTTTCTACCATTTACCAATATATTTCGAAATTCACATCTTTCCCAATCTGGTAAAAACCAGCAAAATTCTCACCACCAAACGAACATCTTTTGTTTAGATGTTATTTTATTTTGAGTTGCAAAACCTCTTTCATTTGTAACTGTGCAGTTATTGGCAGCGTTAGAGTAATGTCCTGAATTCAGAATCCATGAAATATGTACACACACACAATTGTCACCCTCTCTACATTCACTGATATTACTCACTGACTTATTTTCGACGGGAATATTTTTCTGCTCAAATGTTTTACTAAAAAAATTTTAATAGAAAGAAATATATAGCGATTTCTCTCTTCAAAGCTGAAAATTAATAAAAGTGGATACTCATGATTGTGACCACTATATTATATCGCAAGTTAAGAAAAAACCATTATCCTATGGAGAGAGTCTGTTTGCATCCAAGTGCACGCCAAATGGATGCCACCTCCCAGCGCGAACGTATTTCAACATAGCTAAGTCTTGAAACGAGTTGCACAGCCTCCTTTTTACTTGCTTCCTTATAAACAACAATAATCAATTAACAAGTAAGAAGAATTAATAAAAATGATATCTAAAAATCGTAGCAAATATGCGTTTTTCTGTTCGCATTTAAAGAAACTGATGAAAGAATAATAAAAATAGTTTTTTTGCAAACGACTTTCTTCAACAGCCATACAAATCTTTTATCCTACATTTTTTTAGCATGTCAGCATAATAAGCGCCATTTTTAGTGATCCAATCAAATGCAATGCTCTTGCAACGTCATATAGTTGTTCCTTTTCAAGAGCGAGTGTTCTTCGTTATACAAATATGTCGTCAAGTTTAGAATTCCAGTAAGACTACGAAACTATAACATTTGTTTAATAATTTCCACGATATATATCGTAAAAGAGAGCATGAATTAAATTTATGACTGACGTGTTTAACTTTTAAAAGCTCTTATATTGTTTTGAAAGCATATTTGCATAATTTGATAACGGAACTGTTTGCAGTCGTGGATGATTGCGCAAATCCTATATTGCAATGGTCTTTTCTTAACTTACAAAGGAGTACAGATCTTAATTTTTCATTCTTATCTCTAAAAGTCAAACAACTTAATCTCTACTAAAATATTAGAATAATAAAACGCAGTTTAGCATATAGAATTAAAATTCCATGTCATTAATCTAGTTATTCAAATAATATTTGCAATTTACTATATGTATTGAATCAAACATTTCTGAGAAGTTATTTTGCAGTATCAAGTAATAATAGACAATAACCGTTTCTTAAATGAATGTTTTTAATAAAGTTGTCGTGCTACTCTCCGACAAAGACAAGCAAAAAGTATTGTCTTCATACGGATTTTTCACAAATACTTATAAGACATTTTTTTATGCATTCACATTCGGTGCAAAGATATTTCAAGCATAGAGACATGTTTACAATTTTTTTTAATTCAAATATTCCCTATTTCTTTCTCTCTGCTTTTTCTGACATATTTTAAACTAGTATAACTATTATTCCCATCTTAGACAACTACTGTCCGGATCCTGGAATACCTATTAATGGAATGAAGAACAGTACTAATTATGACATGGGTGAAAGAATATGTTTTAGTTGTCAGTCAGGATATACTTTGTTAGGTACAGAAGTCAGAGAATGCTTGCCTCATAGGATTTGGTCTGGTAATGAAGCAAAATGTGTAGGTAAGTCTCTAAATATGCATGATTTTAAATGGTTAAAGAAAAAATATATGTATTCTATACTCATTATTACAACTATTCACTACTTTCTTCATGTTATAAAAACGCTATGTTAGTACAGACTATATTGTTTACAGTAAATAAGAACATTAGATGGGATCATTTATTTCATTAGTGAAATTAGTTCCAGCAAAATCTTACTTTAAGCACTTGATATGATATTAAAACATTGTCATCTAAAGGTAAGATTAATAATTTAATTGCGAAAAGGCTTTAAAAGTAAAGAAAAATACAAGCTAAAAAAGATGGGTTTTTTTTAAATCGAATTATGCAAATGTGAAAATAAAATGAGTCCTCAAAAAATTTAGAGAAATGTTACAAAAAAGGGAGAAAAAAAAACATTTATCCAGACATAACTACAACTATAAAATTCCTTATTATTAATCCTATTATAATCCTAAATCCTATTATTACAAACTTATAAAAAATGTCGTCATGATCATCATCATCATCAGTAGCTCGACAGTCCTCGGTGGACCCTAGCTTTCTCAAGAAGACTGCACCAGTCCTTTCTTCTGCTCGCCACGGCTTTCCAGTCTCTGACCTTGATTGTGGTAAAGTCCCTTTGGAGGCAATCCGCCCATCTCAGTCGGGGTCTGCCTCTCTTTCTAGCTCCAGTTGGCCTTGCCAAAAAGATTCTTTTAGTTGTTCTGTCATCATTCATTCTTACAATGTGTCCGGCCCATTTCATGCGCTGGATCTTATGGTACTTCAGAATGTCCGGTTCTCTGAATATCCTGTAGAGTTCAGGGTTAGTTCTCCTTCTCCACACTCCCTTGTCACACGCACCACCAAAAATGGACCGGAGTATCTTCCTCTCGAAAGCAGCGATGGTCCTCTCATCAGCTTGGGGCAAGGTCGAGGTTTCAGATGCGTAAGTGAGAACTGATCTTATTAGGCTTTTATATATTAGCAACTTGGTGTCTCTTTTAATGTTGTCAGATTTAAGGAATTTTCTTATGCCATAAAAGCACTTGTTGGCTGCAGTTACTCTCTTCCTTACTTCTGTGGAAATTGAGTTTTCGGAGTTGATTTCAGAGCCAAGGTAGGTGAAAGAGCTCACCTTTCCAAATTTATACTCTACAATCTCGATGTGCGTGGAGGTATCGGTATAGTTGATACATTGCATATGCTTTGTCTTACTCTGATTAATTGAGAGGTGCATTTTTTTGGCCTCTCTTTCCAGGTCCAGGAATGCCTGCTTTAGGTCTTTAGGGGTTCTTGCTATGATATCAATATCATCAGCATAGGCCATAATTTGAACAGATTTTGAGAAAATAGTTCCTCTAGTGTTAATTCCTGATGATCATCATTGAACTTTAAACAGAATGGATGACAAAGCAGAAACGATAATCTGCCAAACAAAACGTGAAAGCTGAAAAGTTAAAGTATTAAAACCACTTTATAGCATGCAATAATTTCAATTCGAATACATTTTTAGAATCCTCGTAAAAATGAAGTAATGCAATACTTTAGAGATTTGCAAATTAATATTTATGTGAGAAATTTTTTTCCTTCCAATTCTGACCACTTTAAAATGTAGTGTTTATGTCATTATAAGAGATCAAAATTGGGGATTGTTGACTTTCACCGGTGAATGTCTACACGCTTTTGTTATGTGTCAGAAATATATGCTACGTTTGATTTGATATTAATTTATTCATCAATATTTAAATATTTATTCGATATTTTAATATTCGATTAGAATAGATTAGAAAAAAAAATCAGTGACGAGAATACCGGAGAGGTGAGGATAATAACCGGTATTCACCTACCTAATGTTTTTAAGATTAAAAATTTTTGCTCAGGGATCCCTACGCCTACACTGATGCTTTTTTCAAAAAGTTAAGAGCTATTAACCCGGCATTGTAAATGCTGATATTCACTGGTGAAAGTCGACATTCTTAAGATTTCGTTCTTTATCCCTTTAACGTAGATGTGACACTAGTGTCCCAGAGTTTTTTTCTGACGCTCTAATAACAAGTAAAAATATATTTTGATATTTTTTAATAATAAAAAACAGTCTAATAGTTACTTTAAAATTTGTTAGATTATCGTAATTATATTTCCACTAAAATGTTAACTCCCAAAAAAGTAGTTTGAGAAATTGCTTTTTCGTACATGTTCAAACATTTATCAATAGTTGATTTTGTTAATTAAGGAAATTTCAATAATGAATAACTGTTTCAGATAGATCGAAATAACTCCAAATAAGTGCAAATTTAAAAAATCATTGTTTGAGAGTGAGCCGTGTTTGGAAGATTAAGACCTTTAACGCTAGAAAAAGACACCGGTGTTTCATGCTGTATTTCATAACCATAAATTATTAAAATGATAAATACAATATTTTTTGCTTATTAACGTAGAAAAAAAAATTCTGTAATAATATATTTGCGTTTATTAGGACCTTATGATTTCGACAACACTGCGAGAGTGAGTGACATTTTGATGACAGCTATTGCAGAGAAGGAAGAAGAACAAAAGCGAAAAACGAAAGAATATCGAAAAGTATTGTATTCTTCGTGGCACAATGGAACTGTACTACCACTCGGAAGAGTATTGGACCTCAATTTCCCTGGAAGGATAATTCTGTACTTTGCTTTTGATGTTTCCGGCAGTGTAGGTCAACATAATTTTCAAAAAAGTATTGAATTTGCAAAAGCAATCGTTAAAAGGGTAAGTTTCTACAGAAAACGTTCTTTTAGTTATTTCTGCCATCATCAAGATTCGAACCAAAGTTACGAGCAAAGGAAGAGAGCATTCTATCTACTAAGCAATATGATTCCACTTAAGTAACTTAGCATATCAGTCCACTTAAATTTCAGTACAAGTTCAATGCCCTGAATCGCTAGAAGCAGAAATAATTAAAATTAAAAAGTTTTCACTCGTGTTAGAAAAGTTGCAAAAGTGGAAATAAATTTATGTGTACAACTATACTTCGCAAAAAAAAAAAATTACACTGGAGTACCAACTAAAATACTGACGATATACATAGTATAAAACTATGGTTTAATACAGGGCTCGAAAAACCGCCCGTCCTCGGCGATCAAAAATTCCCCGCGGACAACAAATTTCTCGAATCCAGCGTCCGCGCGAACGGTCATTTTCCCGTTAATGTTCGTGATTCATTTTAAATTTTTGTTATCTAACAAGAGTCTAGCGCCTCACTTTTAAAATGACCCTCTAATCTCGAAATACAGCAACATGCTGCGCATGGTGGAATTGCTGTTTTCTCTGTCTGGGAGTACTGTAGCGGTTGAAAGGGGCTTTTCAGCAATGAACTTATAAAAAAACACATTACTTAGTGGTCTTAAACAAGAAGCGTTAAACGCATTTATGAACATCTACCTAAATGGAAAACCTCTTTCAGATTTCTGTGCAGAAACCTCTATAAATCTTTGGCTTGATTGTGGAACTGGCAAACGTCATATTTGATTCATTTAAAAAACGCAGTACCATCGGATAAATTGACATGATATTTGACAGATAACTTAACCTTTGTTATTTAAATTATTTCATCAAAAAAATAAATTATTTCATGATAGAAATACTAGGTTTTACTATTAGTAACCTTGTATTTCTCTTATTACTGTATAACGTAATCCTAGTATTTGTAATCCTAGTAACTACTAATTCATTGTGCAATTTATATAAATGTTTGTAATAAATAAGAGAAAATTATATTTTTATTTATTTAGAAGCGACGGGTTAGTTTCAAAGGAGGACGGGTACATTGTTGGACAAGCCGTCCTCGGGGACGGGTAAAATTTCTGAGTTTTTTCGAGCCCTGGTTTAATATCTCTCCCAATTTGATGTTGAACGATCCAAACAATTGTGTAAAGGAACACTTTATTTCAAGTAAACGTTAATGTTTTCATGTTCAATTTAAGGGGCGTATTTAAATTTAAACAACCTAAAGCGGAAAAAGATTACACCAAACTCATGCGCATTCACACAATAAATGAGTTATTTTCATTTTAGAAAACATCAACGTTTGCACTTATTTGGTTATTGCTAGTAGTTTGTTTACATCGAGTAAAAATTGGCATGAGTTTGTTGTTGTTTTTTAGCCGCTATATAAAATCCACTGAAACAAATGTTTAACGTTAAAATATTTATGTTTTTAGTTGTAGATAATTAAGGATAGGATTTAATGATAATTATATTTTAATTTTCAAATATCTGTACCTGTAATGAATAATTTTAAAATATTTTAATTTCCATCCGCTTAGGTTTTGGTGACCCTAGTTTGAATTCATATTATTATTCTCTTTGTGCTGTATTTATGCTTGATTAAAAAAAATTCAATTATTTTAAGAAATTTTGCAGATATACATCCTCTATTTATAATATTTTGCTTTGTATTATATCATAAAAATAACTTCATAGTTCATAGCTTTCAGGTGTATTATATCTTACTGTAATTATAAATTTTAGAGTTACTGAGCATCAAGTTCTGTCAGAAAACATTCTAAGTGTTTCACTATTTAAAAAATTATCCTCCTTTCTTGGTATAGTGAAACATCTAGGACCAAGAGTTATATGTTATGTTTTCTTGTATGTGGTGTTTCCACTTTATTTGCAACCATTTTTGGTGTAAAAATACGCGAAAATTTTTTACAGAGTATAATCATTAATATTAAGTGAAATAGTATGATATATGATATCAAATACATATGAGAGTGCATGCGCAGTTTCTTCAGAACATGCGTACATGAAACACACGTAAACATGTTCTGAAGTAATTACAATCGCCCACGACATAGGTACTACAGAACTGTGAAATTAAAGCTACTTTATAACATGTATAAATAAATGGATAAGAGCATTGAAAATAACTGGAAAAAAAATTCCGTCACCATTACCACGATTAAAGAGATTAAGCCCCAGAAAATATAGCATATGGCAAATATATATAGTCTCATGTCACACGAAAGAGAAACTTATTATGAATATTAATCTATATTTAAATATCTAATTAAAATCTATTTAAGTAATCTATTATTTTAACAATTTATTGTTTGTTTGTTTTCTTAATGAAAAATTGCAGCTTCAACGATATTTTATGAACATCCTGTACATTTATGTTTCAGATAGGCATTTCAGAAATCGGTGCTAGAGCAGGTGCTTTAACCTTCAGCTCAAAAGCTGAAACCCAATTCCTTCCACTTGAATACAAAACTACTGAACAAGTTTTAGATGCTTTAGACAAAGTTGATTATACAGGTAATTAAACAATGCCTGTTTTTAATATTATCAATAAAAAAACGCATTTGTATGATAAATAAGAAACTGGTATAAAGATAGCTAAAAAGGGCCCTCGCTAAGCATTCGCCACCTAGCCAAATGCGATAAAATCGTAATTTCAACAACAACAACAAAATTTTTTATTTAAGCGAAAATATTGGGGGATGATTTTTTCTACAATTTTTCCGAACAAATCCTGTATTTTCACTCTATTAGTTATATCCGTTAGATACATCGCATAACCAATTAGAATTAAGTCCCGATAATGTAAGTAACAAGAGAGATTATGTAAGCATGACACAAACTACCGTAAAATACAGATTACCGGGTCACGGGATATCACGTGACAAATTTTTTTCCAGTTTGTGTCAATAAAACTGATTATGAGGTAGCAAGATGCATATTATCATCCATATATTTTAGCAGATAATATATTTGATCGTGACAATTAACAATAACATATACAATAACGTGGCAATAACAAAGTTGTCTTATAAAAGGTTTTGCCTTATAAAACTGCTCTAGTCTAAGAAGCTATCAAAAATTAACCCAACTTTTTCTCATATCTTTTCCTCGATAATAAAACATCTACATTTTTCATCCTCTGTCCCATTCATTGTCTTTTTTACTTTTCCCCAACTGCAAAATAGCTTTTGATTTGAAGTTTTCTATGTTAAAATATCAATCATAAGAAATTGTTAAGATTTGCCTTTGGCTAAGAATTTTGAAATTTGGTTAATACTTCTGATATTTGGCTAATTTACTGGCTAATAATTGGAAATCTTTAACACAGGCCCTGAATAATATAAATATAAACATTACTGAGCGCATTTAAATTGCTCTTTATATATATGGGCAATAATATTTCTAGATTATAATTCATAATTCATATTTTCAGTCATGAAAATTTAGAGAATAACAAGGTCATACGCTTCATAATACTCCTATTCACACATTATAGAATGTTCTTCAGGTATTTCGTGCAATAAAGTGTACAAAAACAACAGTACACTTACGAATCATAAAATCAAGAATCTAAGAGCAAAGTCTCAAGTCGACTATCACATTATCATTTTAAAGTAATTCTAAAAGGTAAATTAAATCAACTATTAACGATACAATTTGTAACTCACAATTATCCATTAGGGTATGATTAAGGTAATTTTGTAACAGCTTATTATCATTTTAATAATGGTAACAGTTAATTGAGTAATGGAAATTTAGAAATCTAATCAAGCAAACTTTCTGAGTAAAGTAGTACTTATAAAAACAAGATAATCTTGGTAATTAAATATTTTGAAAGAATTGTAACAATTTTGCAATTCTTTAAAAAAAATCGAAATTTAAGAGAAAAACTATTAATCTATAAAACGAATTCCAATTCCTTTTTCATTCATTATTATACAATAGAAAAAAACTTTATTTTAAAAAAATGACATTTTCAGAAAAACGGAAACTTTCTTCTGAAAGGACCCAACCCCTTTTGAATCTCTCTTCAGTACGTTCCTATAATTGAGACATCACAATCAACTCACAGAACAACATTGAAATAATCCATGATCTCCAAACTGTTCAAATCCTTAAATAAAATTGCTTAAATTTTACCACCATCAAAAACTCAAGACTAAATTTCGACTAATGACAAATGTCCTAACTGTTCTCCAAAATCTTTTGCGGCACTCATTTTGTATGCAATTCAATATTTGGAACTCTTCAAGCTGTGTCGGTATCTTGTTGCGAATACGAGATATATTTTCAGTGCGTTTCTAATGATTGTTTTAATTCTCCAGGTGGAGGGACATCAGCAAGTTCCGCTTTAGCTCTTATCAGGGAAGAACTCATACCCCTAACCCAAGCTGTGCTTTCAAAAAGAGGACAGAAATCAGTTATATTTATCCTAACAGACGGTAAGCAAATTACATTGTGTTATAATCAATAACTTTTCACCAGAATCTGTTAGGTTTGCTACACGGGGAAAAAATAATTTGCTTATCAATGATTAGCTGAATGTAAAGCAAACAAGAATGCTGAAAGTAGGCTTAGGTAAGAGTGTTATTAGTATTAAAAAAATACCTCAATTAAGCACACAAATATCACGTTTTTAGCATCAAAGATTTAATTATTGTAACAGCGTTATCTTATGTTAAAACATTTTTGTAGGGTTATTGATATTTTTCAACCAGAATTATACTTACTAGAAACAATTAAATCAATGAAATTGTACTGCATAACATAAGAAAATTCTTATATGATTTTTATATCAAGCTAATGTTAAGTAAAAAGTATAACTATTACACAGTCTCTCTCTATACTCAAAAATAAAAATAGAAATATTTTTTTCGAAATTGCATTACGTCTTATTTCACGATTCCAGCAACTGTTCCGTGAGATGCTCCAATACTTACTCTATAATTTTAGGCCTCCATATATTATGCGTATCCAAAATATACAACTCTATGATCACTATCTTAATTTATATCTAAAATTGCGAAGCCGACTTCCATGATGTGGTATTTCAATCAATTAAGCTCATAAGAAGTTTTTAATGTTAGTCTAATTTAGAATCTGTCGCTTTAACAACCGAAAAAAAAGAAGCAAATACGGCCTAAGATTAAGCGCATTCAAAATAATCATCTCTATAACCCCTTATCTTAATTCACAGGTGTCTGAAGTTGCGCCAACTCCTATGAAATAGTATTTTAATCAATTAAGTACATAATATGTTTTAATATTAGTTTAATTTAGAATATGTCACTCAAGCAAACCTTTTTTTTTTTTTTTAAAGGCAAAGCTAATATGGGTGGTGATCCACAACAAGAAGCAGAGTTACTGAAAAGAGCAGGTGTCGAGATCTACTGCATCGGCATCACTAGTACAGTTCTACAAGACTCCTTGTATAAAATAGCGTCAGAAAATGAAGCTGGCTCTAAAGAGGAGTATGTTTTCATTCTACAGAATTACGCTACAATGGATTGGTTAATTCAACGTATCACAAACGGAACTATAGGTAAATAAAAAAAAGAAGTATCATCGAATCATTACTAAAATTATTATAAAATAATCATTGATTTTGCCTTATTTCTTTAAATATTTCATTTAATAGTGTGATTGCGTTGACGTAATAAACAGTATTTTTACGCTACACAAATATCATTATGTTAATAATGTTGTATATAATGTTATGTGATGCTGTGTTGCAGAGAAGTGTTAGTCCAATAATCTGTGTGTGCAGAGAGTTTTTAGTTTTAGATAACTCTGTAAGTACAGTATGCGTTGATTGTTTTCCCTTCACATTCGAATCAGAATTTCATATCAAAAATTTTTTCTGAACCTGCAATCACGAAAGATAGTTATAAAATCTTTTATCTTTTAACCCCACTACCGAGATAATTCAATGTCATACATAGTTAATTCAACATCATACATAGTTAATTCAACATCATACATAGTTAATTCAACATCATTTCGTCGATTGTTTATAATCTACAAAAATGAGAGGACATAACTTTAAAATAATTAACTGAGATATCAGCTCAAAATTTCGTATTTTCACTCAATGAACTTAACCAACTGTGGAAAAAAAATGATGAAAGATTTCCTTTCCCTTTAAGTGTTTAAGTATAAAATAAATAAATAAATAAAAACTAAAACTAAAATTAATTGACAAGAAAAAAAGTGTAGATCTTTCGGGAAAGTACAGTACAGTTTAAAATCCAGCAAAAAAAATATCTCTCTTCTGTTTCTCTTTTTTTTATGTTGCACTTAATTTGCAAAACCTTTTGACTTCGTTACCTTGAAAACGTAAAATCGTTTGAATTTGTCGCAAAAGAACCGCTTCCAGATTCTTTACCGTTAAATTGCACGTTCAGCTCGTTTGATTGAAATACATATTGTTTTCAATTGCCCCATAGATTATTCTCAGTGCGGAGTAGGATTGGAGAAGCTTGGTAAGCAAACTGGCAGAGGAAGAATTGTTGGAGGTCGCCGAGCTCCAGAACCTTGGCCATGGATGGCAGCTCTCTATTTTACAGAACAAGGTTTCCAATCAGAGGTATACTTTTTATTACATAAATTTAAACTGTTAAACCAGTACTAGGTGACTAAGTATCTACTCATATTTGGATTTTTTGCGGGTAAATAGCAAACTTCCTATTACGAATGCAAAGTGCCATAAATAGGATATATTTTTGTGTAAAGTTAGTTCTTAATATATTAAAATACTTTGTCTTCTAAGAATTAAAAAACGAAGGCAAAGCAATTTACCGCCTAAGGAGCAAGAGAAGAACAAAAAAGCTTTGGATAAATATGTGTTATGAAAATCCAAAACAAATTCAATACTGTGATTGGAAGGGGACTACTATGGAAGATGTCAAGTGCAAGCAAATTATATAAGTGATTGAAAAAAGTGCCAGATACTTAAATTGGCAAATGAAAGGGAGCTACATTTCGACAATATTAATTCAACGCGTAAGTTGAACGCTAAGAGGATTAAATAAAATGGTATATCATCTATACATAATAATAAAAGCGGCTGTGTGTGTGTGTGTCTGTAATCACAATATATCGCCCCAGAAGCCTCGCCCAGGCACGAAACTCGGCACATAATTGTGTTTTGACATAATGAAGAAGTATTTTTTTTCTTTTTCAAAAATTTGGATTAGTTATTTAGTTATCAGTCATTTTGTAAGTCTATGCTTTTCGTCTGCTTTTTCGTCTTCAAAGAGCCATATTCAAAAAACTATTAAAAAATGCATATACTTTTCCCCACTCTTATAAATGTATGCTAATGCGAACCTTACAATTGAAATATTAATTTTCGACAACTTAAACCAATAATATACGAAGGAATTAATAATTTAATTGTAAAGTTCGCATTAGTTTACATTTATTAAAGTGGAGAAAAGTTTAACTTTTGTATTAAAAATGTGGCAACATATTCGATACGTAAATAGAACGCTTCGCTTTGATATATTTGTCGCTGTTCATAATTGTTATAATAAGTTTTTCTTCTTCTTTCCACGCTCTATTTTTTTTTTTTAAGCGAAGACGATAATTTTTGTAGCGATATTGTAGTACTTTGTACAACTAAAAATTCTTTTCACAACACTTTAAAAATATTTACTTTATTTTCTTTATATATACAGAGAACAGTCGGCAAAGAATTCGATTAGGTTGAAAAACATTTCGCTAAAAAGGAACGAATTCCAAAAGAAAAAATAAACAACTTAAAGAATAAAAATGCTGATGCCAGCCAATTTTTTGAAAGTTAACTTAGAAATAACAAACCAAACGATGTTAAATAACAAACCAAACGATGTTAACAAAATGACGTAGAAAGCGCAACTAGATCAAAATTATACAAGCACAACTAGATCAAATTATAATACCTGAGTGCTTGACGTAACAGATATAGAAATAGAATTTGATACCATAAAAAATTATATAGAAATAGAAATTGATACCATAAAAAATTTATTCGTTTTCGTGTTCTTTTCATGTATTTAGCATTTTAGTTTTTTTTTTTTTTAAGCGTTGTAGCTATATAATTTCAAACATCCTCAAGAGCTATAACACATCTGCAGCAGAACTGGATATGAAGACAAAATTGCAGGACAGGAACACTTTAATTGTCCACTAATCTTCAGATTTCCTGCTATGTTTTAAAAAACTTTATTTGTGAAAACCTTCAGCGTGGCGGACAGCTGGTCGCCTTAGGCGGCTAGTATATAATATATCTTAAATATAATATAGTGGCTGGGAAAGAGAATAATATTCTAGGCGTGTATCTTTTTACTACTCATCAATAACGAACGTCATAGGTCATTCCTACCGCACCCGACTCCCTAGTGTGTACCTGCATAGGGTTTTTTACTTAATTTCCTTTTATTTGTAGTGGGTCACTTATGAATTTTCACTTCAAATAGAGAAATCAGTAATCCAGATAAAAAGCATTTAAAAAAATAATAATAATTATATATATATATATATATATATAATTTTTTTTAATGTAGTCTGGATTACTGACTGGGTAGTAAAAAATGTTGGGATGTTCTAAAATATCTATTTCGTCTTGATTTTCTGTGCATTTAATTCTCTTTGTCTAATTTGAGTCGAAAAAAATTTAAAATTGTTGAGGTACTTTTAAATACTAATAATGGAAAATTATATATCTTTATATATTTATTAAATATGCTGAGAACTTTCATATTTTTGTGTTAAATGCATTTCGTCAAACGACAAGATAGAGCTAATATTTTTTTAACCAAATATTGTTAAACATTTTAGCATTATTAAAAAAATATGCCGTGAAAATCAAATTTTGAAAAATAATATTAATGAGTATTTTTTAAAAGACCTAAATTTATTTTATTTTTCAGCTGCAATGTGGCGGCTCAATCATTCATGAAAAACTTATATTAACAGCAGCTCATTGTTTATTTACCAAGAAAGGTGAAAGAAGGAAGGATAAAGAAATCATTATAAAATTAGGTGAGATAATGAAGTTTTAAAAAAAATTATGGTAATTAAAGATCGAAATGAAAAATTTCTGATAATAAAAACTGTCATTTTTATCCCATGTCAAAATTTGCAGAATTATTACAAAAAATAAATATCTATAAAATGTTTTACAAAAAATTTAGTTTAAAAAAAAAATTCCAAACAGTGATCAAATATTCTAACAGCATGTCAATAGATAAAATTTACGCGTGTACGCTCTAAATTAGTAATTAATCTATCTCAAACAAAAATTACCAGTACTATACTCCAGTCCAAGAGATGAACAAGCATTTAAGGGTGAAATATTGCTGCGGCAGAGTAACGTATTTTGCAAGGATTCTATTGTTTCTCTATAAACTGCAATAAGCAATGCTTAGTTGATCTGCCGTAGATTTATAGAGTAAACATTCTACAGTTTACTCAGTCATTTTTTTAAAATTTATTCCGGTTATTTATCTTTCATTTAATTCTGCTTCATGTTTAATTCTACTATATAAAAAGAAAAGTAAGCCTATCAATAATGATAATTTAAAGAAAATCAGTTATGCATAAACAATAATATTTATTCTTTTATTAGTATAAAATAATTTATAATGCATGTGAAACAAATAAATCTGCACCAAATTCAACGTACTAATAAATTTAAGTGCAAGAAAAATAAAGTACTTAATCAATTCTTGTTTTACTTTAAGTGCTAAGAAGAAGAAGGAAAAAAAATTTTTTTTCATCATTAACACTCGACATTCTTAAAAACATATCCAAGCATTTTACAAGATACATAAATCTATGTAAATAAAGCAGAATGCTTATATGTATGTATGTAACTTATACACATGCAGAATTCTAAAGCGATCCGCACCATATTTAGTGTATATACCAGGGGTTTCCAACTTGCATGAGGCCGGGGGCTGCAATTAAAAACACCAGTCAAAGGGCGGGCCGCAACTTAATCAAAATTTTAGAAAGGACTTTTAATGTTTGAAGGTACATTAAATATTACTGTCAGATTTTTATCAAGTTGTACAAAACAAGTATTGAATTACAAATAATAGTAAATATTTTCTTGAAAAAATATTATTTTGGATGCAAAACCTGAGAAATAAATTTTTTTGCACTGTTGCTATGTTAAATTTTACAGAAACGAAGAACTTAGGGTTTTTTAACAAAAGAAAAGTATTTTAAACCCATATAGATTTTTTACGAAAATCGTCCGCAAAATAATATATTATAGTTCGTGGGCCACAAAAAAAGGCTTCGCGGGCCACCCGTTGGTAACCACTGGTATGCACGTTTGATGACACGGCTGGCCAGTCTACTTTATAATTTCCTCCGACAACCAGTTCGCGCGTTACATCCCAAAGAAAGAGTGTTCCTTAGGGTTTGATTAAGATTTTATAATATGAGTGAATTGCTAGCAGCAGCTCTAATAAAACAGAAGTTTTACCGCACGTTTTTATGAATTATTGTTTGTTTCCTATGTTGAGTTATCACAAGTAAAATTAACTTTAAAAATTTCGGGACTAATCCCGATGACGTCATCCAATTATTATTTTAAAAAGTATATTAACTACGTATTTCTATCGATACTTATGCCTTTAAAGCGTGTAAAAATATTTATAAAAAAATATTAATAAAAGTATTAGTACCGTTATTATGCTAATTATTTTCGAGAATTACAACTTAAGAATTTTGGTAATAGGTACAAATTGGGGGGCAAAAATTTTTTTCTCCATTACAGAGCTAAATTAATGGAGACAATGTACTTATTCGTATACGAAAAATTGACATTCTATTATTGACGCCAATAATAAGTATAAAATTATAAGTATAATTACTAATATAAATATAAATAATAAGTATAATTACTAATATAAATATAAATAATAAGTATAATTACTAATATAAATATAAATAATAAGTATAATAACTAATTTTAATAATACTTTAATTAGGTATATTTTTTTTAATATGTACTGAATCAGGGGCCCCCATCAGGGGAGAAGGTGGGCGCACGATGCGGCCCACTTAAAGGTTGGGGGGGGGGATTTTTACACTAAATAAAACGAATAGTTTGGGGGAGGGGAATTTAGACGAGAGAATTTTTTTTTTTAAGTACATAAATAAAAGAAGCAACGTAGCACTATTTCGAACAAGCTAACATGGAAGGGGGAAGTTAGCAAATTTTTTTTGGGGGGGATGGGGGCCACTGTACTGAATATACTAATATTGGTACCAAGATATTAACTATATATACTGAGGAATTAGGGTTCATATGGCCCAATGAAACTTATAAGTACCAGAGGAAATAGTTGAAAATGATAATTGACGATCGACTATGGTTAACCTCGAATAAAAGATGCCAAATGATACTGAATATAGTTAATCTTTATTTTGATAGGAGGAACTTCTAAAAACATGTTTTGCTTAATCTAAAAACTTAAAGACACCTGGAAGGATAATAAATACTTTCGCAGTGTTGATCAATACCGATTTATTTTTTTTGTTTTTTCCAACCGTACTAAGAACGGGTATTCAACTAGTAGAAAATAAATAACTGCCATTTTCCCGCGCTTTGAAAAAAAAATATACATGCTACAGCATTAGATTAGAAACCTTAATACTTCTTTGTTCTAACATATATATAACACATAATATAAATCATAAATAATAATAATTCACTTCTTCTATTCTTGCGTGATAATTTAATATAATAAAAGAAATTATAACAAAATATTAGTTGAAAAAGAATACCTTTTTCGTAGCAAACGAAACGAAGATTTTAATAATATTCTCTGACGAGATTACACTTCTTCACATAAAGAAAGAAATGCACAACATAATGCCTGTGCATATAATTCTAGAGCCAGCTGCTAATTTCTTCACATTTCGATAAGTTTATCGTTTGCGGTTAATGGCTATTAATCGTTTTACGGTTAAATTTTTCTTTGATTCAATTCATAACATTCACGTGACGTCATTATTCTTTATTTAATAATAATTCTTCGATCAATATTTTAAATATTCTTTTCAAAAAATAAAACTACAATGAAAAGTTAAAATCTTTTAAAGAATAATAAAATATAATTCACGATATTCAGAAACTTAAGGAACATTTCTACTAAATGTGGTTTGGTCGTTCCACTTTAAATGCACTAATCGAATTCTCATTTTCTAAATGTATATTTAATATAAATTTTTATTTTGGGGAGAAAACATCTAAAAATTATTGACGGTGCAGCGTTGGATTGTATTAAACGGAAAAGTTTGTTCTTAAAACATTTGAATTTTACACAAAATAGTTTATTTTTAACAAAAAGGAAAGATTATCTTTCCAGTTTGTTTTCTGAAAGGCAGCGTCAGAACACTAAAGAACAGGCTCCAAATTACGTGCCGGAGAACTAACCTTTTAATGACAATGAATTAGATACCTTTAGAATTATTAGTTATGACAAAATTATTATCATGGCTTATTTAGAATTATTATTATGGCTTCAAATAAAAACGAATTTTGAAGGCAGGTGCTATAAAATTTAATTTATATAAAATAAATATTAAAAAAATTTTAAATTTTTTTTGCATTTTATTACCGATTTCAAAAAGCACAGAGAAGGCGACTAAATACATTTCTATAACAAAAAAAGGCAAAACTTAAAAGCCATGACTTTGATTGAGCCTTTAAACAAATTTTTTTTAAATAGTTTGGAGCGTGCAAAAATATTTGCCTTAGGTATTGATCTTTTCTTATCTATGCTACTTTTTTTTTCAATTATTTAACCATCTAATAATTATTTAACCATCTAATCTTAATAATTATTAAACTACTTATATTTTTTAAAAAATTTGCCGATGAACTTAAAATAAATTTTTTCTTTTTTACATTTTCAAAGGACATGTAAAACTAAACTGCCTAAACAACTTAACCTTCAAATATACAATTTTCCAAATAGCAAGTTCCATCTAAGTAATTATTTTAGTTGTAACTATATTATTAGTAGCATACTGAAATAAGTTGAATATAATTGTAACATATGTATATGGTACCAACAACACAATGATGTTCATGTTTCATGTTTTTAAATACTGTCATTGCCTGTAAAACAAAATAATTGATAATGCTTAAAAACTTTTCAAAAAAATCATAGTTTTCAAAAGAAAAACATCTGACATTAATAATTACTAAAGAATATAAGTTATGAGATATTAAAGATATGAGATATTAAATAATTAAATACATATATGAGGTAACTAAATTTTCCAATCTATTTTTCAGAATTAATACTTACTTACTCCCCCGTTAGCAGAATTTTCTGCACTAAACTGCATCAGAATCTTCAGAAATCAATATTTGTCTGCGACCCAAACGCAATCAAGTAAAGATTAATAAATAGAAATTAGGCTTACCTAAACCTATAGCAAAATTTCAATTTACAAAACGTAAATAAAATTTAAATACAAGAAATGTATGTTTAATTTTAATTTAAAACTTTTATAATAATGCTTAAGAGAAAAGAAAAAATAAAACGATAAACATCTAAATAACTAAAGAGAAAAAAAATTAATATCAAGTTAAAAATTTATTTAATGAATATCGAAGATATATTACTCCAGATTAAACTTTTTCAAACTATTATTGGAATAATTTGGCTTACTCAAACATATATATAATGAAATTTGCACCTGCAGATAAATATAGAACAGATGGAAAAAAAATCTATATAATTTATACTTTTTTTAATAAAAATTTAATTTTAAACTTATGCAATAATACTTAAAAAGAAAAATGAAATGAATCCATAGTTGGAGCTTCTAAATATCAAATAAATTTATTCTATATAAACACATAATCTAATCAGAATATCAAACCAGATTATCTCATATTTAAATTAGAAAAGAAAAATCATATTAAAATTTAGGTTTTTAAAAAAAAAAACTTAATTTATTTTCGCTCTTTAGAAATATATTTAAGTAAATAAAATTGTACCAGTCTTTAAATAAATAAATAAAATTTCCGCAAACTTAAGTTTCGCAACTTCATTATTAAAGCACTTCTAGCAAACTGCACCTGCGTGCTAAATGTTTTGGGTGTCAGATTTCATATGGGGAAAGATGATTCTTTATTGTTCATCAATGGGGATAAAAAAAGGTACTTTTTCTATTAATCTCTATTTAATGCGGCAATTTTATTTACTTTAAAAAGATTTTTAAAAAAATCGCTATTGTCTTGCTAACAGTTTCTTCTTATTATTATTGGAAAATTAGGACAAAAAAATAATAATCAGCAGCGCCTGCAGCGATTTTGGAGGATTTCTACTACTGGGTTTACTCCTTAGTTTCCCAACCTATGGAGGAATCTAATTTTAAGTTGCATAAATATTTTTATACATGAAGAAACATTCATGTATATAATTAAACGGTCTTATAATAAGATAATTGGGATGCTTAAAAAAATCACATATTTTTAATGGATTGAAAACAGTCCTGTGTATTTTTGAAATCTGGAAATGCTAAACAATGCAATTGTTATTGAATGTTCTTAAAATAAGTGCAGAACACATTACTATATACTTTTCCTTTCTATACAACATTCCAGTTTTCTTTTTTTTCTTCCTATTTTGTACATATGGGTATACTATCTTTTCTCCTGAACTTATTGTGCTTTTTAAAAAAATAAACTGTTTGAAACTTTAACGTCGTTATTTTCCTAAATTTTTACATAGATTTCAATTTTAAAAGTGCAGTAAGATGAGTAACAAATAGAGAGTTTATTTAAAAAAATTTAAGTTTTTCATTAAAAAAAATAAGGGACTTAGCCCCTGCTCGCTATCATACGCAGCATAAGTAAGTGACGGTAGAAAAAAAAATTATGATTTTACTACGTTAAGTCCCCCCCCCCTTTTTCTTTATATATAGAAAAATCAGATAACCTTTAAAACAAATAAATACTTAAAAATAAAATTAAAAAAATAAATAAACTATTGAATCGCTCCAAAACTGATTTAAAAAAAAAAAAACTAAACTAAATGAGACACCAGACATATGAGTAAGTGATAACAAAAATTCATAATTTTCCTGCTAACAATTTTCGTTAATTAATTTACGCAGCTAAAAAAAATTGCCAAATTTGGGATAAAATAATTCAAAAGCTATAAGCGTCTCGCGCCGGAGAGAAAATTTCCTGGAACAGTGGCAATAGTTACTTTTTTTTTATGTAGAGATTATTTCATGAGAATATAATTTGTATATATATATATGAGGGGATATGAAAAGTTATCATAACGAATGGAATACAATACATACACTTAAGTTTAGTTATGCCATATGTGTATTATATTCCATATATGTTACTTTTATTTTAATAAAATTCTACTTTTTTTTACTTTTTAGAAAACATTTATTTTCAACTATTGTGATAATTACTTATTAGAAATATACTACTTAATATAAATGTAGTTTTTAACATAAAATAATATTATATGTGCTATTACTTTATATAAATAAAGTTTTTTTAAGGATTGACAAATGTAACGAATGAGACCAATGTCCAAGAATATGAAGTCAAGAAATTCTTCATACACCCACAGTATCGACTAGGATTGATTTATGATTATGATATAGCATTACTACAATTGAAGAGACCAATTGAATTCAATGCATTCATCAGACCAATTTGCCTTCCACCAGCCGGTCAGACTTTTTTTTTTTTGTTGTTGTTGATGTTAAATTATAGAAATTGAATTGTTAATTTTAACATAGAAAATATGCGTTAATAATTTTATATATATAGAGAGAGAGAATATAATGAAAACACTTCTATACTGATATGTTTTTTTATCTTTCTCTACTTCAATCCTTTTATAAATCATTCCACTTTATAAATTTAGAAGCGTTTAGGGTATGCGATTTCTAATATATATCAATGGTGTTTAAAATTTTAAAGGTTTGTGGAACTGACAATAAATTACAAACGGAGAAAAGTGTTTTTGAACACCCTATGACAAAAAATGTAGCAATAAATTTGTAACTTGTGATAGTTGTTTTGGTTATTATATGCAACAATTGCACTAAATTTCGCAAACCTAGCTTCAATATTTATGAAAATAAGGATATTTTTATAAAAAAACTAATATTTTTTCATAACTTTAAAAGTATTCAATAAAATGGGGGGGGGGGAATATTTGGAGCAATTTAAAATGCATTACAAAATTATTGCATTACCATTTGAGAAAATTCGTTTAAAACTGTGCAAGATATGAATAATTAATGTAGTCATTTCACACTGCGCAAATGCGTGACGCATGCGCATTTTGGTGCATGAATGTTTATTGTAAGGCATAATCATTTGTTATTAAATTTTGTATTATGATGCAAAACAATATTTGTAGAAACCCCTTATCATTTTGAGCTTTCTTTTAAATAGTAAAAAAACTACTTATAAGATAGCTTGAAACTTTTTAAATTTTTAAGGTATTCAAATCAGACTTCTTTCATTAGTTGCCGAATACGATTCACTACAGAATTGTGAAGAAAAAGGAAATATTACCTATTTTTTCCGTGCATGTACAGTTTTACTGAACAACTTTAATTAATAATATCTTGCACAGTTTAAACGAATTTTTCGAAAATGTTAAAGCAATAATTTTGTAATTAATTATAAATTGCTCCAAATATTTTGCTTAATTTTTTTTTAAAAATTATTGAGTTTTAAAATTATAGCAAAAAATCACAAGACAAGAAAAGTTTTTTTTTTATAAAAATGTCTATTTTCCATAAATATTTAAGCAAGGATTACAACATTTTGTGCCGTTATTGCATATAACCAAAATAACTAAAAAGTTACAAATCTATTGCTACACTTTTTGGTACAGGGTGTTCAAAAATATAATTTTCCGTTTATTGTAAATCTCTGAAACCTCTATAAGCTCTTTAAATTTCATTGTTATGTATGAGAAATCCTATGATCTGCACACGTCTGAAGTTATAAAATGATTCTTTCAGCATTTCTTGAGAAAGATGAAAGTGTTTCCATTATTTTGTCTCTCTCTCTTTCTGTATGTGTGTATATATATATAATTTAACCTCTAAAGAGCCACTTAAACATACTATCATCAAATCAAAAAGGGCTTCCGTCTAAAAATTTTGAAAATTGCATTTCATTATGCATTACTCTAACCCTTTCTCAAAATTATTCACAGAGTTATTACACTTAAATGTTAAAATGTAGGTAATCTCTGACTTCACTTTTTCTATATGAAACAGCTCAAATTTATTTTTAAATTTTACATACCAAAATGATATAAAAATATAAAGCTGTTTTGTATTAAAATGCAATTAACTCCAAAAATAAAATTTTTTTGAAATTATTATTTTAAATTTTAAAATTTCTTTCGGCAAAGATAGGCAAATTTTTTGCATTCCATTTGCTAAATCTTACTGCAGATAACTTTTTTTTTTAAATCTAATCTACAATAAGAGTTAACAAATTGTCTAAATTTAATGATCTAATTTTATTACAAAATTATGTATTGAAAATTGAAATATCAAATCCAGGAACACTAGGAGTATATAACATCCATGGACCTTAGAACAAAATATAAAAATACTTCCAATAGAAAAAAAAATATTATAATTACTTAAAATATTTTTTGAAATTTTAGAATATGGAACAAAAGTTTAAAAATTCGTAAGTTTTCTGAAGGATTATTAAATTAGTAAAATAAAAGTATTAAAATTATTTTATGTATGAAATCCTATTTAAGCAACGAAAACCGTCAAATGATACTGAATTGTTTCTTTTTTTCTAATTGTAATTGAATATTTAAAAAAAAATGAATGCCTGAAAATTAAATAAATATAAATAACACCTTAATTATTGTAAAAATTATCTAAAATAAATTATTTATAAATAAAAAGTTTAAATAAAGCTTGTCGTTTATTGCAAATTTTGTTAATAGCGCTTCATTTCAAGCTCTATCATGCATTATTCAAATAATACTAATCATCAATGATATTAAGATTACTATAAATGAAGAACATGGAAAAGAAGCTAAATCTGATATTTAGTTCAGCTCTTCTAGCTCACAAAGAAAAACTATTAAGTTAATAAATGTGTTTTTTTATTAAATTTGTAAGTGAAAAAAAAGTTTTGAATGTATTAATGCATATTTAATTTAAAAAAACCTTCACTTTGAAATACTTTTAGAACCTTCACCAAACAGTACTCTTTACAAAGCAGGCCAGTATACAGTAGCAACTGGATGGGGGCACTCAGGAGTAGTTGAGAAAATGGAGAGAGTGAATACAAAATCTGTACAAAGTTTAAAAGAAATCATTTTACCAATTCAGTCAAGAGAGAGGTGCTTACAGAGTGCTGTTGAGAACCTAGTGGACAAAATTCCTGCAGATAAAGTATTCACCGATCGAATGTTTTGTGTGGGAGATGGAAATGGTAAATATAAGCTTCCTTAGATCTATTCATAATGTCAACATCTTAAGCAATGGTTTGCAACCAGTACTCCCACACAACACTGAGCTCCATAAATTAAAAAGAAGTTTTTTATTAGAATTTTAGAATCACTTAAATGAGCATACTTCATTGTAGTGGTCTTAACTTTTCATAAAAGAGGACCATGTCAATAAATCCTATGGGGCACATTTATTAGTTACTGTGAGATAAGAAATTAATAAGCAAGAGGAAAATTATAAATAATTTTAAGAAAGATACTAAATTTTTATGATTACAAAAATGTTGGTACTTAGTAAAAAATTTAAATAAAATTAGAGTATTTTATATACTTATACAACTTATTTTATACACTTACGTTATTGCCTGAAATGGAAATATTAACAATTACTATTGTTTTTTCTTTTTATTTTTTTATGAACGGCAGGCACTGAACTTTCGTTCTTCGCCTTAGAAGATGCCAGAAGTGTTGCTCATTTATCGTTACCCAGTGGGCACCTGTGAACCAAAGTCACGGAGGCGAGCAATTACCCACGCCACAAATACCTGTTCATAGGGTGGGCCACATTCATACATCAGAAGATAACACAGAGAGAGAGAAACAACCATGCCCAGAGCGGGATTCGAACCCGCAGCCATTGGCTTCGCAGTCAGGCACGCTAACCACTCGATCACCTGACCGGCACAATTACTATATTAAACAATATAATAAACATTACTGCAGTATTAGACTGTAAATGAAAAAGTTACTTCAAATATAAAATAGACGAATGTCATGTTTAAAGCTATTTTTGATTAAATAAAGCATCAATATTTGTAGTTACATTTCCGAAGTATTTTTCAAATATTATTTCGTCAAAAAAATTCCTATTTTCAATTTTTTCGTTTCTTTTTTTTGGAAAATTAGCCATTTTAGAGTTAAAAAAAAAAAAAAAAAAAAAAAGCCTCTGTTTTTTAAATACTATAAAGACTTAATCATTATTTATTATTTTTTTTTTGTAATAAATTAGCAACAGCTACGAATTTTGCACTACTAGTTATCTAAAATATTGTCCTTTAAAGATCTTTTTCATTTTTTTATAGAGCTAATCTTTTAAATTTAATGAATGAGATAATTTAGTTACAGTGGGACACCAAATAATTATTGAAGAGCCATGCATTGATATACTCTATTTCACTGCATGCACATTTAACATTTTACAAAAAAGAAAATACAATGAATTTTTTAATCCTGCACATATAGAAGGTAAGGCATAGGAGAAAAAAACAAAGCAACTTAAATAACTTTTGATCTAAGCATCGGATTTTCAGCATTCTAGGACTCAATCTTAATGGTTCAAGGGGACCACAATATGCTAATTAATTAGTGACCCCTAATATACTTGAGTAGACGATACTTTTAGTTACGCAATCATATACAAAAACGTACTTTTTATGAATAAACATAACAATTTCAACGGATATGGATCCCTGATATGAGTGTAGCAGCAAATGGGGAAAAAAAGGTCCCAATAGTTTGGTTAGAAGAGTGGTCGAAAATGAGGTCCCTTAATGTTAATATTATTTTTTGCAAGATATCTCCATGCAAAAAATGATTTGTTATAATTATTCATTATTTTATTAAATAGTCGAAGTTATTTCATTCATAGTCGAAAAAAGAAATACTAGACTTTTGTAGAATTCGATTTCTCAGGAACTATCAAACAGATTTTGTTCAAATTTTATAATTTGTCACACAAAATTACTTTCCTCAAATGAAGTAAGACTTTGTATAGCTTACAATTCAAAATTTTTTACCATGTATTATTAAATAAAATAATGAATAATTATTAAATTCATTTTTTGCATGGAATTCTCTTTCGTTGAACTAATTTTATAGTTCGGCATAAAAATCTTCCAATTTATCTTATGATAATGCGAAATATAATATTAACATTAAGGGAACCAAATTTTCTTCCGCTCTCTGGAATATAAATAATTCACTTCAAAGAAATTTTGTTTCAGTTCCTCCATTAAAACTCCCAAAACTGATCTGCCAGTGATTCAAACAAAGAAAAAAAATCCTATTAATTTTGAGGATTTTCTGAATTTCAATATGAGAAATATGCTTGTATCTCTACACGATTTTAAATATATATCTGTTTATCTCTGTTCCGTCGGTTTTAAAATATCTCTAATGCAGGTTTTTTTTTCCAGGTGGAAATGATACATGTAGTGGAGATAGTGGTGGACCTCTAATGCAATCACAGCAAAATAGTGAGGGGAACATTTACTGGACACAAATAGGAATAGTAAGCTGGGGAATAGGGTGTGGACTGCCCAATACATATGGTTACTATACCCACGTTCAAAATCTTAATTTTTGGATTGCAAATATTACTTCAACATCATAAGAGAATTTTTTAAATTACCATTTTATTTCAAAGATTAAATTATTCTGCTTTGTAAGAGTGTTATTGTAATTTTTTAAGCAAAAAAAAAAAAACTTTGGATGAAGTACTAGAAAAAAAATCCAAATTAATATAAGTTTATTATTATTATAGTTTATAACTATGATTTTAGAATAGGAGCACACAACCTGTAGCCCAAGAATGATCAATGACTGACTGCAATATTTTGTCTTCAAATCAAAAAAATAAATAAATTAGAAACAACTACATAAGTAAAAAAAATTGATCGTTGTTTTTCTAATTTCAATTAACTCTGAAAAAATACAGTATTTTAAAATTAAAAAATTTAGATTCATCTTTCCAATTTGTAATAAAAAAACTTTAAAATTTCTTACTAATTAAAAAAAAATTTTTTTTAACCAAAACATATTTATAACAAAAAAAAAAATTGAAAATAATATTTTTAAAAACCACGTTTTTGTAGTGGAGAATAATAATTTTAAAAAAAATTGAAAAACGAAAAACATGGGGCGCATGAAATACACAACAGTAATGTTATATTAGTGTGTGTATTTGTGCTCTTGAGAATATGTGTATGTATATCTGTAATTGTATCTGAATGTGGAATATGTTTGTGTATATCCATATGTATGTGGATGTATATGTGGCTGTGCATGTGTATGAGTAAGAAAATGTGTACATGTATGTGTATATGTACTGTTATGTATTTCATGCGCCCCACGTTTTTCGTTTTTCAATTTTTTTTTTAATTATTATTCTCCACTACTAAAACGTGGTTTTTAAAAATATTACTTTTTATTTTGAATTTTTTTATTTTAAACTATGATTTTTTTAATTTTTATTTTATATTTTTAAAAAATTATTATTTTTTAATTATTATTCTTCACTACAAAAAACGTGGTTTTTAAAAATATATATTTTTATTTAGATTATTTTTCTTAGTCAAGAGTAGTCAAGACTACTACAAGACCACTACTAAAGTAATAGAACTTTTATTTTAAATTAGGGATACAAAAATCTTTATAGAAAAACAATACCTTTACGACTTTCATTAGTTTTATGCTGATGAGAACCAAAACAATCTGGAAATGCATGAGGAAAAACTGGATCCTACCACGTGATTTTTCAGCCAATAAAAATACTCTGACAATAAAAATCTTTTCACCTGACATGTAATACTAATTTGAAATAATGGAATCGACAACAAAAGACAATGTCGACTTGACTCTAAAATGACTTTTTTTAAATTTTAATTTTATTTTACTTTGTATGTCTTTTTTCTCTTCATTTTCATGCATTGTCATCCAATTCTGAACTATGTGCCAAATTTAAAGTTTGTAGCTAGTCGGGAAGTTAGTTTAAAATCGATTACAAAATTCCACCCGGACAGACATACACGAAGGCAAGTTTATATAAACGTGGTAATAGTTCAAGGACTTATGGAAAACTCAAAATATGATAAAAAAAATATATAAATATTTCTGCAAAAAATAAAAATTTATAATTTAATTTCATTGGAGACAAAATATACAGAACTTCATATTTTATTTAACTTGAAAATATTAGACTTAAAAAAAAATTACCTAGTTTTTAATTTTTAAGACAAAATAATAATGTTTTCATTACACTTAGAAATAATTTATTTATTATTAAGCAATAATAAAACTGTATTTATTGTTTCCCCCAAAAGACAAAATTCTGAAGAAGGCTAGAAGATAGGAATATTGGACAGTTACTTTCATTAGGCATGCAGTATTGAAGAGAGAAAAAAAAAATTGGAAAATTGTAACTTGACATTTCAAAACTATTTTAATGCATTTTCAGAAAATTTACAAAAAGATACAAAATATATTTTACAAACAGTCATTTGAATTTTTGGAAGAACAAAGGTCAGTTTTATTTTAAAATAGTTCATGTCAGTGAAATGTTTAATTTTTCTCAAAATTTAAATTTATATTTTGCATTGAGCTGATTTTGTTACTAGAATTAATTCAGTGCATTTAGATAGAGAAAATTATAAATATCTAAAAGAAATGCAAACAATTTAAAGATATTCTTTTTTCACTTTATTAAAAAAATTATATATTTTCTTACAAATAAAACTTTAAAAAAAACGTATTATGGATTTTATATTTTTGTTTAAAACAATTACAAGAATATTAAATTATACATTATTTTTTAAAAAAAATATCTATATATAAAAACTTTTTTATATATGAATACCAAAAAAGTATTATAAATAAAAAAAATCTTCAACAAAAAGTTTTTTTTTGCAAAAATAAAAAAATTAAGCCTGTTTTTCAGACTTTTAAGAATGCTTCAATCTTAAAAAAAAAAACAGTTGCAAATTTGTTCAGTACAGAATCACTTCTTAGAAATCTTAACAATTTTCATAATAAATTCTGAATTCCTGATAATTCTTTTGAAGTTTAAGTAGATCAGAAAAGAATAAATCACTTTTGATAAACAGTATAATTCCATATTAAGGTTAAAATTATATGAATTTGCCCAGCTAAAAGTTTCAAATGCACAACTGCATTTAAAAAAAATATATAATAAAAATTATTAGAATTTGAAAAGAAAATTAATGTAATGTTTTAAACTAACTTTTTAAACAGTTAAAAAAATAAAATCCAGCATTCTTAGTCAATACAAAGAATGCTTAAACTCCACCGCCAAAATATGAAATGATATACATTTCTCACATTCCCTGAGTATTCTTTAGAATAACTAATGGAAAAATCTACAAGAATATTCTATACAATGATTAGGTCAAGTGTACAATAATTTTTACTTTTCATACTAGCATAAAAACACCATACATTGTGTAGAATGCTGGCATTTCAAACATAGACAGTATATACATCACTTTATGCATCAACAAGTATTTAATTAAAGAGATAAATATAAAATGCTTTATTTCAGAACGAAATAGAGCCTTGAAATATCCTTTGTCCACATAAAAATATGAAATAATAATTAAAAAATATAATAACACAAATGGAAATCTCAAATGCAAAAGAAGAGACATAAATACTTTGAAAATTTCACTTAAATAGTTCAGAAAATACGTAAAACAGACACATAAAAGTCTGTATACTATGAAGTATTGCATTATTCCTCTACTAAGGAAATATATATACATTAAAAAAAAGAACAAAACTCCATTTATACACTAATATTTTGGCTTCAAGCAAAAAATAGTCTCAAAAGTATACATAAAAACAAAAATAACCTTAGGAATAAAAGAACTATAATACATAAAGCAAATGGAATTCATGGAATATTAAATTATTTGGCTGAACAACTATTTTTCGACTAATATTTTGCATTCTGAAAAAAACATAAAAAATTGCAAAATTTTCTAATTTTTTTTATCTTTTACAATGATACAATAAAACAAAGTTGGGTGAAGAAAAAAGATTTTTCCTTTTTAAATTCTCAGAATAGCTCACTATTATATTTTTTACATATATATCCTTAAATCTAAATGAACCTTATTCTAAAGGACATTTGTTTTCAGAAAATAAAATGAAATGATTTATTTAGAGCTTAAACTATGGTTACAGTCTAAGCTTTTCAGTCTTAGCAACACCTAAATGAATCCTTATTTTACAATGAAACAAACATATTGAGAACATTCATAAAAATTAGATAAATATAGAAAAAAAATTATTTTTTATACTTTATATTAGAAAAGTAAAAGAAGTTGAAGAATTTGTAAATTTTTTAGAGTCATTTGTTACTAAAAGAAGAAAACTATTTTTTAGATGCTGTTAATGTATAAGAAATAAGATTGTTTTTCTGACTCAAAGATTTTTCACTAATTTATTTAATTTTATTAATTATTTTTAATTTAATTTTCATAAATTTTTCATTTAATGTTTTAAACCTGTTTAAAGCAAAGTGTTTAAACATAACAACCCAGTAACAAAGGAACATGAGAGCCGAAAGCGAAATTCTAGATTGTAAAAGAAAAACTCTGAATACAAAGATGTGCTAAAAAAGTTCATAATTAATATTTTTCATTAATTGTAATTTTTTTAAAAATACTAGAAATTTATTTCAATGAACTTCAAAATATCTCTATTTGTCTCACGTCCAAATGCATATAATTTTTTTCATAGCAGTTCTATATAAAATAGTTTAAAAATATACATGTGTTTTTTCTTATATATTTAACAGTTAAAACAAATATTTTAATAAAACTAACAGCTGAAAACATTATATATATTCTGATTATACACTAATAAGTAATTCACATTAATCATTTTCTGTCATGCCGAATTGTTCATGGATCTTTTTCACTGTTGTTTCTTCAATAATTGCTAAAAAGAGTATTAAAAAAAAAATTGTATTTCATTTGATATTTTATGAAATATTGTTAAACCAAACTTCATAAAGTATAATTATAACTTATTTTACACTTTTTATAAATGTTAACCACCTTCATAAACTTCCTAAGATTTTTCTCCATAAATTATTTGGAATAAATTTTAATCAACCACCATAATTGTTTATACTACTCACTATTTGAGTTTTGCTCATCTTGCAGACTACAAGTATGACTCTTGAAAAAAATTTGAATGAATTTTCATATAATTATGAAAATTGATATAAAAAAAATATTTTTAACTATGATGTTAATTTTATTTCGTTTAATAAACATTAAGGATATCATAATCAACTTGTCATCTTTTACTCTAAAGATTAATGCAATAGAAATGTATCAAACAATTTCTGAAAATTAACTGTCGGAAGACACAAAATTCTAATGATTTTTTTTATTTTTATAATTTGCATTTAATTATCTTCGGATTTATACAAAATGCATTTTAATTTTAATAATAATTATTAAATCAATGCCAAACAATACTTAAAAATTTAAAATAAATAAAGATCATGGCATACCAATTTGTCCCATGACTATTTGAGCAGCATCTTTAACTTCGTTATATTCATGTAATTTATCAATATACCATTTATATTGATCCTCTGAACAGCCCCTGCAGAAACAAAAATATAACATTTATGCTGATTCACAACATTATTTATTGGAAAATATAATAATCCTAATTTTAAAAACCACACAGTTTGTTATCTTACTCATTTTCTAGCTTTGCAATTTCTTGTTTCATATCTTCACTTTTTTGCCACATTTCCAGAGTTGATTTTTTCAATTCCTCTAAAGAAATATTTTCATTTTCTAAATCAACTTTTTTTTCCTGGAATAATTTATAAGATTATTTGTAATAAAGCAAACAATGCTGAAATTATAAAGACAAAAATCAACACATTAAAACTTGCATAATAATTAGAGATAATATACAGTTTATGTACAAATGGAAATAAAGCAACAAGCTAGCTATAAAATTAAATGGTAAATAATTCATATTTAAACCATTTATTATTATCAGCAACACTGAATATTGATTTCAATAATAGGCTGTCAAGAAAAATAAGGGGTAGTTAAAAAAAACACTAATTTTTTTTTTTTTTTTTTGATATGTGCAGCAGTTTTCTTAAAATTAGCAGAAGAATTTTTTTTTTTTGAATAGGAAAATTACCGAAAGTAAATAAATCTTTCACTTTTTCCATAATATTGCTTATTAAATAGCAACAGCAAAAGTCTGGTAATTGACTTGTCAAAAACATACAAATTTCGCATCTTTAACATAAACATTTTGATGGTGACTAATTATAATAAGTAGCTGATTTCTCAAATTATGCTATATTTATTACCTTGAGTCATTATAGTAATATTGAAAATATCAAATTAAGATATAAACATTGAAAAATATTTGATATCCCTAGTAAAAAAAAGCACCATACCTTTTTTAAATAAATTCTCATTTTAAAATTTCTAATTCTATTGTCATTTAAAATTAAGAAATGTAAAGAAAAGCAACCATAAAATTTTCAGTTTTGGCAAGGAAAAAAGGAATTTTGAAAAGGGATTCTTAAAGATTATCATCAATAAGTTTGATTTTGTGGTGTAAAGAATTTTGAAGGAAGGAATATTTACTGTGGTCTTAGAGTGAGATAATTAAATTATCATTTTTGTTAATAATAGCATAAAATCTTTTGCATAATATGTTAATAATTTTTGTTAAAGATTTTAAAAAGTGAACAAAATATTTTTAGTAAAATGTCTTCCTGTTATTAATAACTGACTGAATACCTATTCTCTGTCTTATTACTTGATCTGAATTAAATAGCACAAAACAATAATGCACAGTGCTACTTAATACAAATTGCAGAAAATACACAATTTTTGCTGATGATTTGAAAAACCTTATAAAATATTTCCAATAAAATATTTTTGTGATATCAATGACTGATGCAATTTTTTATAAATGTATATCCCTTTCATAATTATATTTTCTATTAAATCATGCATATACTTTCTGCATGCCTAGAAAAAAATCTGGTAAAACAATCACTTAAGTTTTAAAAAACTTACTACTTTATTGAGTAAAGGACTTTTAAATGCTGATGAGGGTGATGGAGTTGAGAACCTATGAATAAAATTTAAAAAAAGTTTTAATAAATAATACTGAAATTTCATCAAAATACTTAACTCATATGTATTGAAAGAAAATTTTAGCATAAATTTAAAAAAGTTGGGGGAAAAAACTCCAATATTATTAGTATATTTGCTGAAGTAAAAAAAATAAATGCTGCATTAAGAAAACATCAAAGCATTGCTAATTGTTTTTTAATGAAAATATTAAAGTTGGTTTTCCTTATCTTTGAATTCTCAAAGAAAAATTAAAGTAAGCTTTGTTTTAAATTTTCAAAAATCAAAGATTTATGGGTTTAAAAATAATAATAAAACACTATAAAAATATTTAACTTACATGCATTTAAAGAAAAAAATTTTAAAAAATTAATGAATATAATAAAAAATTTAAAGTATAAATAAATTGAGTGCACACATTGACGGACATATATAACAAATACAACATATACAAATACAACATATATAACAAATTAACAAATATAAAATGATTACAAAAAACAAAAAAAACTTTCATTATTTTAATTAAAACATCATTTATTTTAATTAAAAGAATTATGACGAATTGACAATTAACCCAATTCTAATAAGAAAAATGTAAGATTTATTTTAATTGCTTAAAAATAAAATCTGCAGATTTAATTGTTTAAAAATAATAAAATTCTATCAAAATATGTTTACATGGATTGGAAGAAGTTTTATTTATAAATGAGAGTTTGGATAAACTATAGTAAGTTATTTACTTTATCAAAAACTTAATTCACTTCTAAAATATTCTGATTGGAAATAACAGTGAACATGTTTCAAGTGCTCAAAAACAAAAGCCCTTTTTCAAGACTTGTCAGACATGAACGCGCCAAGCAAGTAACATAAGGCAAGATACCCACAAGATAAATGATTGTCATTAGATCATGTGACTCTTCTGAGATCATTCCCTAAATTAGAATTATGCATTCGGAAAAATGAAAGCCACTATATTGGTGTGGTGATGTAAGCATTAAATTTATTTTTAGCAATATAGTTATCAGAAAAAGAAAAAAAATATTAAAAAAACTAATATAAATAAATCGATTTAAACACACTCCAATGCATTGTTAATTTTTTCAGTGTGATGGGTGAATTTGCTGCTCCTTGCAAAGTTGTTGTTTTAAAAGTTTATATAGCTACTAGTATTTCTTGAAGATATTTCTGCATCATAACATTTCATTCTAACTACAATTGTCAAAAAGATTTTAAAGTTGCAAATTTAAAAAAAAAACATTTAGAGAGGGTTGTCCGAGGGTGACTGCGAGTTACACCTTTCAAACTGGTCTCCTTCTGCAATATTTTTTTTCTTTCTTTAGTTTCTCACAGATTCCTGCCCTGAAGTTACAAAGACTTGGTGATTATTCTGCAGCAGATCACGATATGGAAAACTATTTTTATCTTTATTTTCAAGCAAGGTTAGCTCCTTAAATAAGCAGCTTTTGAATATCCAGCTTCATACGGGTATGAAGTAGCAAACTGAATGAAAAAACTTTTAAAAAACATAATATATATTTGAGCATTGACTTGAACAACAACAATGAACATAAATGATGAAGATGATGTAAATGAACACAAAATTAGACCAAGTTGTGCACAACTAGTGGCAAACACTTTCGGAATCCCTAATCCTAATTTTTTTTTTTTTTTTAAATCCTATGAATCTACATTGGTAGTTGTGTTGATGAAGGAATCAAAATTAAAACTATGCGACAAACAAATGAAATCTTAAAAATTAAAATTACATTTTAAAGGCAGCAAGGCATATTGAAAATTATACTAATGAGGAATGTAAATATTGTACTGTAAGACTAAATAAAGTGATTTATGTTATACTGTGGAGCAAAAGGCACACAGTGTAAAGTAAAAAAAGAAATAAATGGATGGTGTTTTCTATACCAGCAAGCTTTACTGCCATTACTTCCGAGCTACTGTTTTCAGTGTATTTTGAAACAATTTAGCTCATATGATCATTGTTTCAAAACTCTCTTGCGTGTAATTTCCTGTAAACATGTATTTGGTAGGCTGATTTATTATTTGTGTTTAAAAAAAGAATCGTAATAAAAATTGTCATTGGAAGACCTGTTATTCAAAGACGGGAGATTTCCGTATCTTGATCTGTGGCAGAATAATCACCAAGTCTTGGCAACTTCTGGGCAGCGGCTCGCACGAAACTTAAAAAAATATCACAGAAAGGGAAAAACTCGAAATTTATAACTAGAAACCATGATCTACATGTTTTTGTTTAAAAAAATTTGCAAGTTTAAAATTTATTTGGTACCTTGGCGATTGTAGTTGGCGCAACAGATCAGGATACGGAAATATCCTCAAAGCGATAAGAACTCTGTCATTTGAGAAAAAGAATCATTATATAAAACACTTCTTGTCCTGTCAGCAATATACCAACTAAGAAATTTAAATCCAAAAGATAATTTGTAAAATGAACTTATTCCTTCTGCTGGAACAATATGCTAACACTAATGTATGATAGTGCACAGCTTGCAACGAGAACAAATAGTATAGTTAACTAGTAAAAAGAAGCCAAATCAAGACTTCTAAAAAAGCGAGTTCTTTCTAAATATAGCAACCATGTCACCTTTTTTAACAATACATCTATAAATAAAAACAAATTTTCACTGCAAACTCACCAGAATTAATTAATGTCTTATGAAATACAGCAGATTTGAGCTCAGAAATTTTATAATTTATTTTTTTAATTGAAAACAAAAGTATCTGTATGAAAATATCGTACCTCAGAATAAGCTTTAGTAAGTTGCCTGTATACTTCCTAATCGAAAGTAGAGCAAATCAGTACCTCGAGATTATTGCTGTTTACATTTATATTAAAAACACCATATATAAAGAGACAGCGAGACACAGAAAAATAAATATATATCGAGTCCATTCTTAGCACTATAAAAATAACACAATTCTCCTCAGAGTTAGAGATATTAATAACCTATAAATGCCTTTAAAAAAAGTATCTTTACAAAAAATAAGTATTAAGAGATCAAAAATCATAAGTATTAAGAGATCAAAAGACAGATCTCAACATATTAATGTATTTGGAAATCCAGAAAGATATCTAGTTACTTAAGAGAACTACGAAACCGGCGTTGTTTTGGAGTGGATGACATCTTCACATATAATTTTTTCCAATAGAAACAATCGTTTTATTAAAGACAATTGTTTTATTCTTATTAAAGAGACCTAATTTTGATTACGATTTTTTTCGAAATCACCGCTATTTACATTTTTCACTAGCAGTCAAAGATACAGTTATATTTTTCTTATTAATATTTACTTTTTTAACGCAAACATGCAGACTTCATCAGATTGAAATTGTTTGCAAGAAGTTATCATTTAATAAATGAAAGTAAGCTGATATTTAATATAAAAATTTAATAAAAAGAAGTATATACATATATATTTTTTCCTTAACTGCAACCATTGTTAACATCATGTGATTTTTCGGTTTTACGACTCTAGTTTCCGGTTTTTGTTTCTGCTTTTCTGCTTCTACTTCCAGTGTAAAGATTCGACTGCTCATTTGAGTGTGAAGAAAATCTTATATTTTTATTGCATTTATTCCATTTCTTACTCTTTAAAATATGTTTAAAAACGACTCTCAATCCATACAACAATTATTAGTTGCCGAAAAACGAGCAGAAGAAAAAACTAATCAAGCAAGAAAGCGTAAGTATATTAAATGTAATTTTATTTAGCGCGTAATAAGGTGTGGTTTTTGAAGAAAAAAAAACTGTAACTGAACTTTACTGGTCTTAATTCATACATATTTCGGAAGTTGAAGTAAATATCAATTTAAAAATATCTCATTGTATTTATCAAATTTAAATAATAACAATAACAAATTATTCCATTAAAAATCATACTTTGTAATAGAGAGAATGAATACAATCGATAATAAACATAACTATTTCGTTGAAAAAATCGTAACTTCGTAAATAAAAATTTATGGTAATTAATATTCTGTTTTTAAGCTAATATTCTTAGAAAATTCTTTTTTATTTAATATTTTTGTTGTTAGTATTCTCATACAAAAATACTAAATAATAAAATAAATAAGTATATAACGCATATACATTTATTTTAAATAAGAGCAACACTTTTCCTAATTTTTTTCGATTTAGAAATATACAAAGAAAGAAAATTAATAAATTTTGACTAAATCTATTGTTTTATAGGCAAAAATCAACGTCTGAAACAAGCTAAAGAAGATGCTCTTACTGAAATTGGACTCTTTAAAGAGGAAAAGGAAAAAGAGTTTAAAGAGCATGAGGCAAAGGTATTTATGATATAAAAATACACCAGAGTTGCATGTCAGTTGCTATAAACCTCATTCTTGTTACAAAATAGTGCTTTAAATAATACCAAATATTTAGAATTAAATAAAACTAAAAAGAACTATTTGATAACTTGGAGATTATTCTAGATCATAATTAATTCTTAAATAATGAATTAATTAATTCATTAAAGTCAAACGATATCAAAATTCATTTAAATCAATAAATATTTGCCTAAGAATAATTAAATTTAGTTAATATGCTCTTATTTTTTTAAAATTTTATAAATATCCTGTATACTGGAAATTTTTATTCATGTAGTTGCTATTTCTATTGATTTAACTACCATCCGTCTTCAGCGTCCAGCTGGTCTGCCCTATCAAACTCACCTCATCGTTGCTCCCCATTGGCGCGGTTGCCTCCGGCAGCGGTGCTTGTTTCTTCCTCACGACAAGTGGCTCACTTGTTAATAACTGACTTCATATAAATTCCTATCCTGAACATATTCAGATAAAATTCAAGAATATAAAATAATAAATATTAGGAATTGATCGATATTATACGTGGTTTTTTTTATTAATAATTTTTATTCTGATACTTCCTCCTCTTATAAACTGAAAAACTGTTTATAAATTTTATACAAATATTACTATCATTATAGACCAGTATTTCTCAACCCGATTTACAAATTGTGGCACTTAAAGGACTTTTTCACCAGTTTGTCTTGGATCATTCACATAATCCCTACATTGAAATATATTTTGAGCCTAGATCTATTTAAATATAGATAAAATTTAAATTAATTTTGATATAAATATTTATCCGCAGACAGGCACTTTTCCCCGGAATGTGAGAAAATTTTATAGGCCAATTATTTAAATCTTATTTTTTTTGCTATGTTAAATATGGTTACTAGTTTAATTATGAATAATAGTAAAAATTTGGGCATAAAAAACATTGATTTTTATGTATTTTTAGAAAAAAATTTATTGATTAATTGACTTTTATTTCTAACCATTATACAAAATGTTACTATCAGATTACGTTAGCGGTTTAATGTGAATTAAGTGTTTAGTAATATCTAAGGGACATCCATATTAGCTATATAGAACTAATAATAAATTCTCTGGTTAGGGGATTCAAAGGTAAAAATCCTGGGAATTTTGAAATGTAAGAATAAGCATGGAAACTTTTGGAAAATAGCCTGCAATTATTGGAAAACTTGAAAATTTTTAATTTATTAGTAATAAACATGAATTTTTTTCGTATTTCGATATTTATCAGCTAACTAAATAAAATTTTATAATCAAAATATAAAAATGAAATATTTAGGTAAAAACATAAAAATTAAAGCATTAAAACGCCAGTTTTACCTAAAGAACAATGCCTTAAAACTTTAGGTTCCCTAATTCTTTAGTATTCTTTTTAGTATTTTTTTTTTCTTCTTTCCCCGCCTTAATTTAATCAGTTTGTAGATCATAAACAAAAGATAAAAAAAAAAAATCAAAGCCTTGTCTGTTATTTCATAAATTTATTTGTTTATATGCTGTTAATTCGGTTGACATTGGATCATTGCGGCTTCATGAGAATATTGATAACTAGTAAAGATTCTTTCACAAATAGATAAGGAAAAAAACCTTAATATCCTTAGTGGCAGTTTTTTTTATATTTTTTATTTTTTTTATAACCGTCGTTGAACAGCCGACCCAATTTTATGGGTTTACGACTACTAATGTTCAACTCCTTGTAATTTTGAACCCAATCCAGAAGACAAGGGAACTCCTGGATCGAGTATTGGGAGAAAATTACCTTCGTGGTTGGAGGACTTTTTGATGGAGCTCTTCCGCATTTGCGTTTCATGGAGAGGAAGATCACGAGAAGCTCCCTCAGTTACGGCAAGGGGACTCTAACCCATGATCTGCCTACCACTGAGGATATTTCACGTCAGCACTGAATGTTTTTTTTCTTCCAAGTTTCGTAAAACCACCAGAAAATTAGAAATTCCAGTAATAGGGTTCATTATATTTGTATTGTGTTACTCGCATGAAAACCACTTAAATTCGTGTTCATCATTCAAAGCACCATATGTTATTGATATTTCTTATCACCCAATCATAGGAAAGTGAATAGGGGAAAGTTAGACAAAACTGAGTTCTTAAGATATTTTTTCTCTTGAGAAACTACTTGAATAATATTACTTAAATTTTATTTGAATAACAAAAAAGCTCATGAGCTCCAAAAACAAAAATTAATTAGTGTAAAAAAGAACTATATTTTTGAAGGGTAAAAAATTTGTTTTTAAGGAAGGATGTTAAAACTCGATTTTATCTGTCCTGGTCGATTTATTTAGAAATAATGGAGAAAAAACCTTCTATATTTTTCCCACTAAAATATTTATTTATGTCAATAAATTAATATTAAAACCCTCTTACACTGAGAATTATAGAGTGTTTAAAAATCAAGGGACATAGGGAATAGGTTTTGAAATTATCGTAAATTAAGTTTGTTTATCAGATTATAGAACAGGAACCACATACGAAACTTTTATCATCTTCCTTTTGCGATCATTTACAGGTGAGACAGGATATCCAACTTTCCAGGAATTTCGACTTGGAATATTGCGTATAATATATGGAGTATAATGTAACTTGGAGCTTGGAATATAATGTAACATTGAAATTGAAGATTTTACCTTTTTAACAAATGAAAGCAATAGCTAAATAGTTCAGTTATTACACTAGAAAAAAAAGTGAAATTCTTGCGAAAAATGAGCTTAAAATAACTTAGGAAAATTTAATACCCAAGATATTTTGACAAAAACTTTGCTATTTATTATGCTATTATAATTGATACCTGAAAACTCTCCCACTCTCCTCTGTACGCCCCCCCCCTTTTTTTTTGTTCCGCAGTGGACTGATAGTAAATACACAGTTCCCAGCAGATCACCGAAGTCAAGCTTCACTGGCTGAGGCAGTGTGCAGGTGGGTGATCGCTTGGATCAGTCTGCGTAGGGACCGAGGGTGTTCGGTATTAGTCCTCGTTAAACTGTTCTACCGTAAAGAGCTCGACTTCCCGTGCAGGTCGTCAGGCTACTGAGGCGGGGGTGTCATCCCCTCTGCAGAGGATCAGAATTCTGATGGCATGTCTTCGGATCACCCTCAGGGATGTTTCCCAGACCGTCGCCAATAGCCCATTGTGCAGCTCTAGTGCGACGTAAATGAACTACAACAACACCCCCTTTTCTTCTTCTTTTTTTATGTAAATGGGTGTGGTTAAAGAGGGAATCGAATTTCTTCTAGACCAGCATGTGAGGCATTGTTTCCGATGTATTTTCACTAGTATTATTTGCGTTAGCATTAATAGCGGTGTATTTTCAATGAAATTAATCTCGTGGCAATTGGACTAATATTTTAGGAAGCTCTATGCCTTTTATGAACGAAAAAAGGAATTGTATTTGTACCAATTTACGCGCCTGACATTGCTATCTAAGCAAGTGAGGCATTATCTCCTATGTACTTTTTTATTTTATTTTTAATCGAATGAAACTATACATGAGTCAAATGTAAAGAATAGTTCAAAAGTTGTAAGCATTTCTATGTATTAAAAAAATACTACTTTAGAAATGACTTTTTACTTTGTTATCTGGGACCGATGAAATTTTTTACGAGCAAATGAGATAAAAATTTGAATTGATGATTCTAGTTTGGAAGTTTTAAGAGTTTTCTTCATAAGTGTAATTTAAAAATAGTTCCCTTTATACAACAAAAAAAAAAGAAAAAAGATCTTTGAAATATTTGCCCTTTTAATTCGTGTTTGCTCTTATACGATTAAACGAGAAAAAATACAAAGAGAACAATACTTTGCTTATCTGTATAATAATATAAGATGTGTAAATAAATGCAACTACAAAACTGTGTTTTTTGAACATAAAGTGGGTATAGTTTCTTAACTATTAGTCCGATCGTCTCAGTATTTGTTTTATTCGATTAAGAGTGAAAAATTACGGTGGAAAATATACCTTAGATGTTCAAACAGTTCCTGGATAGCAGTGTAAAGGACATCCATAAATAAGCGTCAAAAGTTTTTTTATACAAAAAAAATAATAAGTAAATAAATCTTGTAACTTTTAAAGTATTTGCTTTATTAACTTTTGTATAGCTTCACTCGATTCAGTGTAAAAAAAAAATACACAGGAAACAATGTCTCGCCAGTTTAAAGTATCATATGCGTAAATAGGTTCAAGCATAAATTTGTACTTCCTAGACATGAAACCCATGTAACTTCCAAACTACTAATCCGTCTGGGGAGTGGTTTCATTCAATTCAACGCACGCAAAATAAATAATTAAAAAAAAAATACCTCGGAAAATATGCCTAAAGCCTGTTGGTATAGAAGAAAGTCTTCCCCTATCGAATCATCCCCATTTCTCTCAAAAAAGGGAGAAATTTTCAGGTATCAATTATAATAACGTAATCAAACTTTCCAAAAAAAAAAAAAATATGATATTAATTTTTCTGGAAAAAAAAGTCTGATTTAACTGGAGAAAAAAAAAAGAAATTCAATTAAATGTTGCAATGATCTAAAATAAATTTTCAAATAATTTAAACTACAGAATTAAGAAGGCGGAGAAAAATTAAAACTTTTCTAATCGAATTTTAAAAAACACAAACTCTAAAAAAAGGCCTATTTTGCTTTTTTTTAAAAACTCCCGTTTTAGATTACTTTTAAAGGCCGGAATATCGTAGTTTGTAGGGCGTTGGGCCCATGTTCAATAAGTCGCGAGTTCGATCCCGGACATCCGAAGATTCCCCGTGTAGCAAATAGAGGCTGATGCACGTTAAATCTGTCTGGTCACAAAGTCCTCCGTGTTCCCATAACAAATCTTACCTAGGGGAAACTGAATTGGAAATTGATCGTTCTCTGGTTCAGGTCAAAATTACGATCTATGGATGAATGAATGGGTCTGCGCTGTAAAAGGACTGTGACGTATGTGTGGCTGAAT